TACTATGCATAAGATAATTTCAATTCCTTTGCATTTACTTAAGCACATTCTGTGAGCTGGTATGTGGTCTGTTTTGGAGAAAGCCTGTGGGCTGCTGAGAAGAATGTGTATTCTGATGTTGAGTGGAATACTGCAGACGTCTGCTAAGTTCATTTGTTCAAAGATTGAGTCAGCCCTGATGTTTGTTGAGTTTTTTGTCTAGTTGATCTATTTTTGACAGTGGGGTTTTGAGATTACCCCATTACAACTGTATTAGTGTTTATGCATCCATTAGCGTTTGTTTTATGTAACTGGGTGTGCCAGTATTTGGTGCATATATATTTATGATAGTTATCTCATCTTTGATTGTTCCCTTAACAAGTATGCAGTAATAAAACCAGTTTACTTAAACTAAAAATGGGCCTACTGGGATTCAAGGCACACAGCAAGCTTCTGTCTGCAGGAGACTCTTGGCCACTATCCTATCCAAGTGGTTCATTAAATAACAAAGTGAGAAGGGAAACTGTTTTTCTAGTTAGGCAGGAGAAGTCACCACGGAGAAGTCATCACCTCGCTGTGACCTCCTTGTTACATCTTTGGACTTCATGTCTGCCAGGCTCTTGTGAGCTCTGACCTCAGGCTCCGGCTCTTCTGACCGAGACCTGGTCATCCTGACTCTGTCTTGGGCCCAGGGCCTCCCTAGTACCTGCTGTCCTCTGCTTCACTTGTCTGTTTGTGAAAAGCTTGCCTTTACTGTTCACCAGCTTTTCTGTGGCAAATTTGGGTCCCACAGGCCTCTCTGCTCTTGAGAGGAATGGGGTGACCCGGGGTTCCCGCTTGGCAGGGCTGCTGGGAAGACCAAGTGCGACACAGTGGGGACTCTCTTGGGGGACTGAGCGTGTACACAGAAGGACCCAGTGAGTGGTGGCTATCAGACAGGAAACCACAATTGGCAATCGGTCCTCCTGTGACTGTTGCGTTCATAACAGCTGGGAATACACTGGCTTCAGATGATTTAAACAGGCTTTGCGATTTTTTTTTTTTTTTTTTTTTTTTGGTCTTTTTCGTTTTTATCGGTATCAGGGATCAAACTCACGACTGTCTGCTTGCAAGGCAGGTGCTTATGCCGCTGAGCTAAATCCCCAGCCCCGATTTTTGTCCTTTCTTGTGACTTTCATCTTAAGAAGGCAGAGCTGAGGCCAGAAGGGATGTCCAGAAGAGGACCACAGGTGATATCGCGCATCCTGTGCCACAGGGCAGGACCTAAAGGGTTTGATGACCACGCTGTTTGCCCCGTGCTGGATATTCCGTGCGAAGGGGAGCGGGTGTGGGTCCAGGAAGTACACAGTGGTCCTTCTCAGCCTCGAGTCCCACTGCCTGCAGGTGAGTCTCCCTGGCAGCTGGGGTTTGTCAGGTGCTCTTATAAAAACCCAAGAGCAGCGGCAACAGCTGAGTGGTCCAGCCGTCTGCATCCCGAGGACTGAAGGTCATCGAAGTCACCCTGCTGTCGCCAACATTGAGGGCAGCCACTGCCCAGGATGGCCACTTTTTCCCTTGTTACTTCTTTGCTTTTGGTTCCTTATTTTCTTGATTATAAAAATAGTAATCGGCAGCTGTTCCAAAGATGTTAAGTAGTTTAAATTCCAAGAAGAAGAAAAAAATCACCCGTAATCCTCAGTACAGAGGTAAAATTAAGAATTTCCAGTACTTGGAAAATTCTGGACTCTCTGTTTATTTGCTTCCGATTCTGACTCTGATTCTGACGATCATTATGACTTCACGGGAATCAGCCTGGGGCCTTGTTTTTTTTTATTTTTTTATCGGTACTGGAGATCGAACTCATGACCACGCGCTTGCAAGGCAGGCGCTTATGCTGCTGGGCTAAATCCCCAGCCCCTAGCCTGGGATCTTGTATATGCTCAGCCTGGGCTACACCCTCAGCCCAGTTTGGGTTTATTATTTTAATGCAAGTAGTAGTGTTTTTATTTTTTATTTAACCTTCTGTCATCAACATTGCACTGTGTCAAAATAACATTTTTCTGTTAAATGGCTCCATAACATTTCACACTACAGTGGTACCATCATGTACTTAGTTTTGTCTCGGACCTTTGTTCCCATTTTCTACTTTACAAATATGTAGCTCTTTTAAATAATAATGTGTTTATAAATAACAATGCTATTATAAGTAGGAATCTTTCCCTAAGAAGAAAAAATGCATGTTTGCTAACTTATTTATTTGGGTGATGTCTTAGTAACAAAAGCTGTTAGTAAATATTTCTAAACAGTTTTCAGAAATATTTATGAATTTTTAGTCCTACTTACAGTAAATCAGTTTCTCTTTCACATTAAAACATTTTTAAAAACTGGGATAGTCACTTTAAAAAGTCTCTCTGTTGCCAGATGTGGTGGTGCATGCCTGTAATCCCAACACTTGGAGGCCGAGGCAGGAGGATCGCTGTGAATTGCAGTCCAGCCTGGGCTACCTAGTGAGTTCAAAGCAATCCTCAACTACATAAAAAGACCCTGTCTGAAACAGGGTTTTTTTTTCTCTTTCAGGGCTGGGAATCAGACGCAGGGTGTGGCCTACCACAAAAGTACATCCACACCTCTAAAAATGTCTTTTCCTTATGTGTAGGCAAAGTATGTTATATTGTATTTTGTTTTGTATTTTTTCAAGAAGAGACAATTTCATTTATTTGAGATTAATTTTAAAAAAGGATCACAATCCAGGAAAACATATTAAAGAAATCTTGAAAATGTGCTTCCTTTTTTGGTTTTTATTTTGAGATGGGGTCTCGCTTGCTCTACAATATAGCTCAGGCAGGACTTGAACTCACTGTGTAGCCCAGACTGGCCTCAAACTCACAGCAATCCTCCTGCCTTAGTCTCCTGAGCCCTGGGATTACAGGCGTGAGCCACCACACCTGGCACCTCTCGACTGTTTTTTTTTTTTTTTTTTGGTCTTTTTTCATTTTTACCGGTACCAGGGGTCAAACTCACGACTGCCTGCTTGCAAGGCAGGTGCTTATGCCGCTGAGCTAAACCCCCAGCCCCATCGACTGTTTATATTCTTCCAGATTCTACAAGTTTCTCCTTGTGCTGATTTTCAGTTGGGCAAACAGTTCCACAGCCTCAGCCCTGGTCCGTAGCCTGCGCTGTGCACGCCTTGGGGCGCTTTCCCTTCCTCTCTCTGTGGTGAGTGGGGTCACGAAGCAGGCTCTCAGGAGGAAGGTGCAGCACTTCCACACTGCGAGCACAGGCGATGGGAGCAGAGAGCAGGGCTGCACTGGGTATGTCCCAATGGTGGGGGGACAAGGAGCTCAGTCCCAGCTGTGCCCATAGGTGGCCTCCACCTTCAGGGGACCAGACCACTGATGGCCCACGTGGCTTCCTCTGCCGGGTTCCCTGGGTACAAGGATGAGGGCAGAGACCAAATGAGGTTGCAGGTTTGTGGTCCAGCTGGTTGGTCACTGTGGGCAGAGCCCAGAGCCCTGGGCCCCATTTCCTCCCGATACAGCATGGAAAGACAGCTGTGAGGGTCCTAGGGCCACATCACAGGCCACCTTTGTACTAACTGGTCCCTTGAATCCTGAAGGTCAGCAGGGTAGGAGTGGGGCCTCCCTCCACAACACGGGTTCACAGTGGACAGCCTTGGCTTTCCCTGCCCCCAGCCATGGCCACTGCCACTCCTGTCAGAACGCTGGGCTGCAGTGGAGCCTCAGTGCTTCTGCCTTTGCCCAGGCCACCATGCTGCTTCTGGTCATGGCCTTACACACAGTGCTGGTGCCCAGACTTGGGCCCTCAAGGTCCCTTCTGGCAGGTGCTGCCCACCGTGTGCTGTGTCACCCTGTGCCTTCAGCATGGCCCGAACCCAGAGAGAGCCCTAGTCCACTGGGACTCCCCTCTCTTTCTCGGCAGCTAACAGGACCTTGATTTGTGTTCCCAAGAGCAGACCTCAGGTGGAATCATCCTATTAAGTGGGGAATTTGTTTTGAACCCAAGGCTTTGCACGTATTAGCAAGCTCACCATCAGCTACACACACCCCAGCCTTTTAATTTTGCTTTGAAACAGAATTCACTAAATTGCGCAGGCTGGCTGCTAACTTGGGATCTTCCTGACTCATCCCCCCGAGCATTGGGGTCACAGGTGTGCATACCGGCTTAATTTCAGAATTTTTGCTAACTCTAAATTTTGAGAGGGAAGTTGCCAAGGTCATCTGGCCACAGAGGTTCCTTGACATCCCTGGGTAAATTTAGGGACCCTCAGCTGTCAAAGCTGAATACTCAGCAAATCACAAAAGTTCCTGTCAGGTCACCCTCCCACGAATGAGGCATTTGCTGAACTTGAAGAATTCGTGTAACAGGGCAGGGCTCATGGGTGACGCACAGGGATAAAGGGTCTGCCATGGGACTTTCTGACATTATCAGACGGAAGCATCTCGCACCTTTTCTTACTAAATAAGTACATAAAAAATAAGCCTCTGACCTCAGCAAAGGCAGTCACATGTGGGTACAGCACCCGGTGCACCCCTGTGTCACCTGGCTCCCTGCCCACTCAAGCTGGGAGTCTGGGGGGGGGGGCTGCCCCTCCCACCAGCCTTCCAGCCCTGCGCAGGGCAGTTTGCTCCCACAGTCAGAGTGTGTTAACAGTTAAATCCAGCTTGCGTCTGTGTGCAGCTAGCCTGCCCACTGCCTTTGGACAGGGAAGATATTTCGCTAACTCCACATCAGACACTGTGGCTCGTGTCCCCCAGGACAGGCTGAGCAGCAGACACAGTGGCCCCATGCCTGCCAACTGCCCCTCCAATACAGGGCAGGCTGGGGAAGGGCGTGGCCCCTGCTGCTTGAAAGTTTCTTTCAGGGGAGCCTGTTGTCCTTGGCTGGCTCCTGTCACCAGGTTGGGCAGCATGCTCAGGCTCTGCCTGGGATCCCAGAGCAGGCAGGACTCCTACACTTCTCCAGCTAGCCTGGGGTCTCCACACGAAAACCACAGCTCTCTGGCACTGCATTGCTTAGAAACATGTTTCCTGGTGCTTAATACCGTCTTCTTATTGCAGGTGTTTAGCTAGAGACAGACTCTCAAGCAGCAGAAAGAAGAGGAACCCAGGCTGCTTACGAAGGTCCCCTGAAATTACTCCAGGCTTCCCTGAGGTTCCCTTAAGCAGCCTCCTTTTTCTTTAATTTTTCCCACAGCCCTGCTTAGCTCATGCTAGGAGGCGTGGCTTGGCAGAGTGGCCTTGTTTTTCCCGGAGTTAAGGTTCTCTCCTCATCACCGTGCATCCTGGCTCTTCAGATCCCTCCTAGGTTTGGGGAAATCATGTCTCTGCACGCAACCTACTTTCCTGGAGCACGGCGTGGCGCTGACCGCAGAGCCTGGCCCTCTACTTGATGATGACGCTGTTGCCTCATTTCTTCTGAGCACTCGCTGGTGACGAGGAGCAGAGGGAGGGAGCCTTGCTAGGTCCTGCGGATCGCATGCCCAAGCCTCTGCTCGCTCACTGCCTTTATGATGCCACCAGCGAATACACCGATTGGGCTTGGATGAATCACCCAGCCGGCCAATCTCGACTGCACTAGTTCTCAGTGCCTGAGTCAGTGGCACTGTTACAGAGTGTGGCAGGATAGACCTGCCTAGCTGTCGTCGCCGGCTAACTGAGATGCTGGGTGGAGGAGATGGCAGCCAACTGCTCTGGCAGCTCTGCCTGCCCTGCCAACAGCTCAGAGCAGGAGCTGCCTGGAATGCCAGAGGGGCGCGGGAGCCTGGGACTGGTCTTCACTGTCGGGTCTGCCGTGATGATGGCCATGGTCATGTTCTCCCTGGGGTGCTCTGTGGACATCCGGAAGCTCTGGTGGCATCTAAGGAGGCCCTGGGGTGTCACCGTGGGACTACTTTGCCAGTTTGGGCTCATGCCACTGACTGCCTATCTCCTGGCCATCAGCTTCTCTCTGAGGCCAGTGCAGGCAGTCGCTGTTCTTATCATGGGGTGCTGCCCCGGGGGCACTGTGTCTAACATCTTCACCTTCTGGGTGGACGGAGACATGGATCTCAGGTGAGTCCTCCCCTGAACACCCTTCTGGCTGTTCCGTCCATTGCAGTGGGGATGCTACAAGCGTGAGAAAGACGTCGCCGTGGAAGGGCTTTCCTCTCTAAGCTCCAGGCTGGCATTGCTGGGGCTCCCTGTACTCTTCTGTAGCTCCTGCACCAAGCAGCAGCACTGGGTTCCAGCACTGGACACTGGTCTCCCTCCCCATGGACTCACCCTCACTTGAGGTGAACAGTTTCTTAGGATGTCAGACAGGAATCCCAAGCTGATGGTAGTGGACTGGTGCAGGACAGTGCTGGGGGTGATGCTGACAGGTGGCCCAACAAAATAAAGTCCTCATAGGTCTAATAAGTAATTGTTTCTTGAGCACTGATTTTGTGAAATAATACTTTTAGGAACCATGTAAGTAGTCTTAAGGGTACCTGACACACATGTCCCACTTGAGGTGCCAGTGGTGGGCTGTTAATTTGACTTAGGGAGCAACAGAAGGCTTTGTGACTGAAGCTGTTCTTTCTTGCTGTTTTGCAGATTATTAGTATTGGTCACTGGTGTAGATAAAAGCCCCAGGAGACCTTAGCTTTACCATTTATTCACATTTTAAGAAGTCCGAATAAATCCTTGCTTTCTTAAGAGATGGCACGCATGTTTTGATGCGGGAAACATTTGAGGAGTACAGAGAAGGGTCACATTGGAAAAAAACAGTAGTCTTTCTAGATTCTTTGCTTACAAGCACACTCCTTCACATACTGCCTGGGGAACAGTCCCATCAGTTGAGTCCTTCGCACTGTGTGTGTGTGATTTTGCTGAGTTTTACCGGACAAGGAATGAATCAGAGGTGAGGGCTGAGTTAAGAGTCAATATCAGTGAGTTGGCTGCAGTCCGGATTTCAGGTTTCCTGCGTGTGCTGTACTTTAACAGTCTTACGCTGCTCAGGCTGGCCGTTAACCTCAAAGCAGCAGCTCATCGGGAGTGATGTGGGAAAAATGGGTGAATTCTGTGCCTCAGTGTTTAGCTACTAATATGCCACGGATGCAGATTCAGTATGGTCGCTCCTTAGCATAGCTGGGAGATGTTAATGTTGGGGAGACAGCTCAGATCCCAGTGAAAACTCCCAGGAGTGGAAACTTTTTGGAAAGCAGAAGGAAACTAGTATTAGTTACAGCCCCTGATAGGCACAGGGTATACGCTTTCCTGCATCCTTTCCCCTTGGGTCCCATCACAGCCTTGTCAGTGACCTTTATTATGCTGAACTTTATAGCCGAGAAAATAGTATCACAGCCTAGGCAGTGGCTTGCCAAGGGCTCCGAATGAGGTGTCAGGACTCACACTGGGATCCTCATCTGTTTTATGTCCTTCTGCGCTTTTCTTCCATTACATTTAGCAACACAAATGGATCTTCTGTTTTGAGCAGAAACATTATTCTGTAAACAGTGTTTTCAAGCACTTCTGGGAAACACAATGTTTATTATCATCATCTTGTTACTTAGCACTGACAAATAAAATCAATGAAGGCACATCTGAAAAAGTTACTTTTACTTCCTTTTGCCAACTCTATCCTTAAATATCTTTTAAATTTGGGCTAATTAGTTAATCTAGGTACACACACAGACATGCACATATACACACACATAATGCCAGGCATATAGCAGGGTCACATTAATATTAGTTACTGTTCTTGTGTTCCAATGTATATATATATTTATTGTTGCTTTGTTTTTGTCTTTTTGAGACATGGTGTTGCTATGCAGTTCAGGCTGGTCTTGAACTCATAGCAATCCTCCTGTCTCAGCCTCCCGAGTGCTGGGAAAACAGGCCTGAGCCACCAAACCTGGCAGTAAAAAAAAAGGTGGTGTTGTTGTTGTTTTTGGTCCTTTTTGAGACAGGTTGTTGCTATGTAGTTCAGGCTGGCCTTGAGCTCACTTTGTAGCCCAGGCTGGTCTCAAATTCACAACAATCCTCCTGCCTCAGCCTCCTGAGTGCTGGGATTACAGGTGTGCACCACCACCCCGGGTGCCAGCAGCAAGAATTTTACATAGTAGAAAATTCAGTGAAGGAATATCCAAGTTCTTTCCCTAACTTCATACCTGATTACCAACCAGGGAACCTCTGCAGTGGTCACTGATAGGAATTCCATCTGTCCACTGTGCTGCATAAAACCCAAGAGCATTTCATGCAGGAAACTCAGAAACCGGAGCCCCCCACCGAGCTGTTCCTGCCTCCACCCTGTGCTTGGCCGGGTGTCCTGGTGGCTCTCCTGGTGTCCACTCCAAACAGGCATTTGGAGACCAACGTGCAGGGAGCAACGTCTCCCACGGCACCTGTGCTCCCTCCTGGTTCCAGGCTCAGCTCCTTGCGAGGGTGAGAATTGTAGCACCCCACGCACCCTCTCCCGCTCCCGGTGGGGTACAGCACCTCCATCTCGGTACTGGGCGCACCAGCCGGGCACTCCGCGTCCCCAGCTTCCGTACCTGCTTCCTTGCGGGCTCGCGTGGCGCAGTCCCTCAGGGTCGCCTTGCTCCCACGCGGCCCTCGCGGCCCCCTTCCATCCTGGAACAGCTGCTGGCGCCACGCAGGCCTCCCTTGAAGAAGGCAAGCGGCTGCTTATGGCCCGCCGACCAGACTGCGCCCCGAGGAACGGGAGGGGGCGACCCGGCACGGGGCACCGTCCTGGGATTTGCCATGGGGCCGGAGACCCCTGCCTGCCAGGAGGGGCCGGCCAGACGGTCAGAGCTGACCGAGGGCGCCGGCTTGCTGCCGGCCCCATCTTGGCCGGTGATGCGAATGCCTCTGACTCAGTTTCCCCACTTTCACGGGTGCTTGTGAGGGTCGCATGAGGTGCTGAGCCCCTCACCCGGCACACCCTGGAATAGGAACGGACTTTGGGGGGGCGGGTGGAAAACGCTGTTTCAGCCCCGCTCAGCAGCTGTGCGTCTGGGCGTCTCAAGTCCCGCTTACTCAGTTTCTTGATTTGTCAGGGACCCGCAGGCCCTTTTGGCCATCGATGCAATAACAAACCTGCCACTCAGACACTGAGTGTGTACCGTGCGTGAACCAAGGGCACCCGCATCGCTGTGCGTCCTCCCCACCGCCGGCCACCTCCCCAGACCAGGCCTCACTGCGCTGCACCGCCGGGCGGCCACGGCAGCCACAGCTGCTCCCTGTCCCGAGTGTGACCCCGGGGACATCTTACTGAAGTGGACCGGACACTGTTTGTCTTCTTGGGTCTGGTTTGTGTGATTGGGAGCAGTGCCTTCAGGGTCCCTCGAATGGTGGGATGTGCTCAGGGTTTCCTTCCCTCTAGGGCTGAGCCACATCCCCTGCTGGGACGATCCTGTTAATCACTTCTTCCCCTGAGGCCACCCCCTGGCTCCCCTCTTTTCTGACTGTCAGACAGGTCTGCATCTCTGTTCCCTCGGGCGTAGACTCAGGACTCAGGACTCAGACTGGACCTGAGGTTCTTTTAAGTATGAAGTGTTTGTGACCATTAGACAAGGAACGCAAATTATAAAATTCAAGTTTCAGTCTTCTCCTACCCTGGTTTCTAAAGTTTCACCAGAAACTGTGCTGGAGCTGCTGCCCTCTCTGTCCCCTGAATGCCAGGCAGGGACTTTCTCTGTTCTTCCCCGGAGGCATCGCAGTCAGGGGCAGCTTCCTGTCTCCCTCGCTGGGATGTCAGCTCTTTGGGGCAGCTGCAACGACCGGTGCAAGGTGACAAAAGGGAGCATCCTCGTGCCCAGAGCGCTGCCGAAATGCAGTCTGTGCAGGCACTCGTGTGCCCCCTGGGTCTCCTCCACAGCCCTGGCACCTGTGAGGTCCTCTCCTCCCCAGGACGCCTCTGTGCCTCAGCTCTTCCTCCACTCTAGTTCCTTCCTTTGGATTTTAAAGAAATCCTTGGTCCAGGGCTGGGGATTTAGCTCAATAGCTCAGGCGCTTGCCTGGTAAGTGCAAGGTCCTGAGTTCGATCCCTGATGAAAAACATCTAAATAAATCCTTGGTCCTTTGGCAGAGACTTGGGGCTCTCCTCAGCTGCCCAGATATGTCTGGCACGGGTGGTAAAGGCACAACACAGCACATGGTGCCTGGTGGGTGCTCACTGTGGTTCCCAGTGGCAGCAGCAGCAAGGGTAACATATTTGGGGATGGAAATGGGACGTGGGACTCTTTGCAGGGTCAGGTCTGCGAGTATGACCTTGTTGCCTACTCTGTGTCCATCTGAAGAGCCAGATAATTTTTCTTTCTTCCAGAGGGGAAGTGGGTATTTTAGTTTTGAGAAGTAGAGTTCCTGATTTGATGGGTTTGAAATTAAAATTTTAATTATTTAAGCTCCAGTTGTAAAATGCTATTGACACTGCATTTTGAGAGAGGGAGAGAGAGAGAGGGAGAGAGAATGATTTCCTGTTCCAGAGGAGGCTCAGGGCTTACCTATTCGTCCAGACCTGCCAGATCTCTGTCATTGTTCTCTGCAACAGCTTGGGGATGACACTGTCATTCTTCTGAATGCAAGTGGAATCTTGTTCTGGTGAAGTCAGACATTGCCAATAATTCTCCCTCGTGGGAACAGTCGGGATCCTGTTAGCCGCATCCTTTGTTTATGCTATAATTGGAATTCATGGCAGGAAGGCAAAGGCGTGGTTTGCTCTGTACTCACACCCACTGGCTGCATGTATCTCTAGCTTGGCTGTTACTTAGCCCTGGAGTCATCTGGTGCCATCTGGTGCCCATTTTACGAGCATTGTGAGCCAGAGCCATGGATGGAGGATAGATGCAAGAATCTGGGGGACCGAGCCAGCAGTCAGGCTGACGCCAGGATACACCTTGCCACCCACAACCGTGAGACAAAGGCGTATGGGTTGAGGGGTGTGCCAAGCTGGTCCCCAGGAATTCAGGGTTAACAAGATGTCCCATGGAATCCATTCCAGGCCCTGGCATATGGCAAGCCAAGAAATGCAGCACTGTTAGAGGCTAAGAATCTGGAAAAACTTCCTCCACACCATCCCCATAGACACAGAAGACTCAGGGCTGTGACAGTGTTGGAGAGCATTGAGGCTGAATACATGTGCCCGGCTGTGGCACATGTGGGTGCTAGCCCCTTTTGAAGTAACCAAGTCATAGACTAATTTAGGGGCCCCATGGAGGGATGGATGCAAATCCCAGGTCTGAGCTCAAAGCAGCTGTAGCAAAGCCTTTTGGAGTGGCCGGGAGCACCTGACGTAGCTGGCTTGAGCTGTGAGCTGTTGGGGCAGCCACAGAGCAGTGAGAAAAACAGAAAGTCCCTCTTGGGGAGTACTGGGCCTTCTCTCCGTCGCCCTTTAAACTAATACTAAATGACTCACAGAAAGGTTTCAAAGCCTAGAAACCTTTTCCTTGAAAGCAGCACCCTTCTCCCATGCTGCATGTAACTGTAGGCCCACCCAGCAGCAGACTTGCCAATGAGTTCTTGGTTCTGCCCCCTGTTCTCACTGGTCCCCCTCTCCTGGGCTCTACACCTGCCTGCTGTGCCTGCAGGAGGCCTGTGGCATGTGGATGACATCTCTGAAGTTACTGCTGAAGAGTCAGAGGGAAAATAAATGTTGATGGTCACAGCAATGCTGGGCAGGAGCTTGGCCAACCTTTTGGCCTCTTAACGTCCCAGTCCCTTGGTGACCTAGACAGACACATCACCGTGATGGTAATATACAATGCTTATATTTAATATACCTTATAAAAATAGAAATTAAGTATTACAATTATCTTCGTTTCCAAAAAGTCCTAAAATATTTAAAATTATTTGATAGAATTAAAAACAAATATAAACATAAATACTGCCTCAATTTTAAGCAAAAATTTAAATAAGATTACTTAAATTTAACTCTTTCTTTTTTTTGGTACTAGGGATCAAACTCACAACCTCACACTTACCAGGCAGGTGCTTACACCACTGGACTAAATCCCTAGTGCTTAAATTTCACTCTTTAAAACATTAATGAAGCCTTGAAGCTCATCAGATTAAATTATTAAATGATTTAGGTAAAAAAATAAATGGTTTAGGTGAAGAAAACTATGGATTTGTAATGTTCAAAGTTTATCTTGTTGCTAAAGAATCAGTATCGTGTTCTTTTGGTAACAATACCCGAATTTAAGAGTAATAATGAGCTCATTAATATTGCAAAATGTTGTAAGGTTTACTGTTTGTGACTTTTAAAAATCTAGTCTTGAGCTGGGGATTTAGCTCAGGGGCACAGTGCCTGCCTGGCAAGCGTGAGGTCCTGAATTCAATTCCTGCTACCAAAAAAAAAAAAAAAAAAAAAAAAAAAAAAAAAAAATCCTAGTCTTATTAGTCTCTCTTAAACTTTCCCTCCTGACCTTGCCTATTTGAAGGGACAGATGAGTTGCTTTTCAAGATGACCCACAGGCTGGTTGAAGTTGTCCCTATGCCCCCAGCCAGTTTATTTTCATGAAGTTTAGCCCACAGGTCTGGCTAGCTTTGGAGGAGGCTTGTGTAGCTGGCGCTCTGCTGGTTCTGTTGGTGTCTCATCAGAAGGAGCCTAGTGTCAGACCTGATCATCTGGCTCACTGACCCTAACAGACCTCGCCATGATAAATAAACCTGTCACAAGAAAACTACAGTCCAAAAACCCCTTGTGAATCTCCAGTGTATGCAATAATCTTTGATGAAACCCTAGAAAACTAAATCTAGCAATATAAAAAGGATTCTACACCATGTCCAAGTGGAATTTTTTCTCAAAAGGCAAAATTGATCCAACACACAAAAATCAATTTAAACTGTGCATGGTGGCACACACCTATAATCCCAGCACTTGAGAGGCTGAGGCAGGAGGATCACTTTGAGTTCATGGGCTACAAAATGAGTTTAAGGCCAGCCTGAACTGCATAGCAAAACTGTGTCTCAAAACGACACACACACAAAAAAATTCAATGTAATACTGTATGCTATATTAATAGGATAAAAGACAAAAATCCATAGAAGGGAAAAAGTTCTGACATATGCTAAAACATGGATTGAACCATGGATTAACTATGTTAAGTGAAAGAAACTGAACTCACCAAAAGATTACATATGTGATCTGGAAATGTCCAGAACACACACTCCTGTAAGAGCGGTACATCAGGGTCTCTATGGGCTGGGAGAAGTTGGGAGCCGGAGTGACTGACGGTGGGGGTGGCTTTTTTGGTCAGTGGAACTGTTCTGGAAATCTCACTGCAAAATCTTGTGATGGTGCTTAAAACTGTGGAATTGTACCTTTCACAACGCTGAGTTCTGTCATATGTGACTTGTATCTCTGTAAAGCGAATGTGTGTAAGAAACTGAATGGTTTGGAACCCTGTGAGAGCACGCAGATATTGACCAGATGTTAACTGACGGGTGAGGAGAGCCACTGGAGAGCTTCCAGCCCACAGAGAGGCCCTCATCTGCTGGCTGAGAGGATCCCGGTGGGTGCTCGGTAGCTCACCCCACATAATCTCCAGCCACTGGGCTCAGGAGGCCTCTGGGTAAAGGCTGCGCTATTGAAGTTGGTAGACTCCATCCCTAATTCCCAGCTACCCTCCTAAGCCTTGTTTTCGTTTTGCATTTTCAGCATCAGCATGACGACCTGCTCCACAGTGGCCGCCCTGGGCATGATGCCCCTCTGCCTCTATCTCTACACCTGGTCCTGGCACCTGGCTCAGAGCCTCACCGTTCCATATCACAGCTTAGGTCTGTACTGGGCACCGGCATGGCCACTCTCCGTTATGTAGTGCTCTGTGCAGGGCTTTTTGTGGGGTCTAATTTACTTCCTAAATCATATTATGGTATAAATTCTGTTACTGGTTCCGTTGATTGAATTTTGGGGCTTAGGAAGGTTAAGTAACTTACCTAAGACCATCAGGTGACAGGTACAGAACTGGAATCGTAGCTCAGGACTGCCAAGTCCAGGCTCTTACCACTTCTGTACGCCAGCATTTGTGTAATAATGAATCACCTGCAGGTGCAGGTGTTATAGAAAAGAGGCTTCTGGACCTCACACTTTTGGAGGTAAAAATCCAAGAAGTGTGGCCCAGGGTCTTCTGTGGTTCCTAGCACCCCCTCCCATGTGGGCAGTGCTGATGCTTCGAAGGCCACTTGTGACATCGATCACATCTTGAACAGGAAGCGAGAGAGCTGGGGAGGGTCAGGCTCTGGCTCCTACAGCAGCCCTCTCACGAGAGCCACCTCGGGGTACAGGGGACCCGCAGGTGACCAAGGACCTCACTTGAGGCCCCCACCTGTTAAGTCCCAGATTCCAGCATGAGGACCCAGCTCTTGATACAGGAATGGGGAGGTGGGAGGGACCTGTAAACCATAGCAATCGTAAGAGTTTATCTTTTAACAGAACAAAAGTGGGCGATCCTGCTTTAAAAAGAGAAAAGAAAATGATAATTAGAAGTAACAGGGCTCTTCCTTCTTTCCTTCCTTCCTTCCTTCTTTGCTTTCTGTTTTTGTGGGTTTTTCTTGACAGGGCCTTGCTATGTAGTTCAGGTTGGCCTTGAACTTGCTGTGTTGCCCAAACTGGCCTCAAACTGTCAGCCCCCTGCTTCAGCCTCCCACGCGCTGGGATCACGAGTGTGCACCGAGCAAGGCGGCTGTGTGTGGTCCAGAGTGTACCTGGATCTCCTCACTCCACTTCTGCCCTGCACGGCTGCAGATTTCCCACGCCCCATGAGCCCTGGATTTCTGCTATGGACTGGAGGTGGACAAGTCCCCTGGTCATCAAAGCCCCTCCGCCCACCATGGCCAACCCCTCATTCAACTCCTCTCCAATGCGTACCTCTCACTCAGCGCCTGCCTCTGTGTGTGCCTAGTCAGGAAGGGAGTGTGGAAATGATTGGCCTGGGTTAGCCTGGTCAGTGTTTGGAGAAGAGGTAGAAACCAGAGTTCTAGAAGCCCTGTAAGTGGCCTGGGTAGAGGCTCTTGGGCAGCCTGAGCGCTCAGACCTGTGGCCCACCGTGGAGCCTATGGTCAGAGGCTTTGTCTGCAGGCAGAGGGGCTTACCGTGTTGGTCAGGGCTGGGAGAGAACTGTGTTGAGAAACCACCATTGCAAAGAAAAGCCCAACTTTTTCTGCTCGGTAAGTATTGGCCTTGAACTTGCTGTGTTGTTCAAGGCCAATACTTACCGAGCACACTTACCGATAGAGTATTTGAAAATATGTCCCGAAAAGAATCCATAAGCAAATACAGTCCAGGGTGCTGTGAACAGCTCATGCAACTTCGGAGGCAGGACAGTAGCGTCTGGACAGATGTAGAGAGAGTTTCTGGAGGGCACAGATCCTGCTGGCAAAGCGGCTTCACCTCCTCCTTCCCACGCCCGCCTTCAAAGCCTTTATTCACTTGTGCTGATACAAAAGCCTTCTTCCGGCTGTCCTGGGACTCCTGGGCTGCACCCGGAGAACAGCAGAGATTATTTGGTAGTGTCACAAGTGCTGTTTTGTGTCTGTAGCAGGCATTCTTGGCTTTGTGAAGTCACGACCTGTGGGTCTCAGCTGGGGGAATAGCACTGTGGTTACACAGGGGTGATACCTGAACAATGGTCCTCTGTTTTTGAATCTTTGTATTTCCTGTTGTCTCCAAATTCCTGGGCCACTGTCAGAGGGAAAACATGCCTGGGTGTGGTGGCCTCCATTAGTATCACAGGCCCTTGGAGATTGTCTTCAAAGGTCGCTTTGTTTTTGGAGATGGACCCAGAACAAAACGCGCTTTCATTAAAAGAGGATCTAATTAAAAATGATCTAATTGGGGCTGGGGGTTTAGCTCAGTGGCATAAGCACCTGCCTTGAAAGCAGGCAGTCATAAGTTCGATCCTCGGTATCGATAAAAAGGAAAAAAACAAAAAAACAAAAAAATGATCTAATTGACCCAGACTTGTCGGGAAGAGAGGTGCGGTCTGATGGGTCGGTTTTTCCCCTCTCTAGGGATTACTCTGCTGTGTCTGACCATCCCGGTGGCCTTTGGCATCTACGTGAATTTCAAGTGGCCAAAACAATCGAAAATCATTCTCAAGGTAAGAACCCAGGTCACAGTTATCCTCATGCTCAAAGCCCCGGAAGACCTAAGTCAAGGGCCAGAGCCCCACAGCATGCAATTTCCCATGAGCGCCCTAAAGCTTGGGGTCTGTGTGTCAGGCTCCGTCCCCATCACTGAGCCTTGCTGTGACACTCTCAGGGGGCCCTGGAAGACTCGGGACTTGAGTGACAGAGAAGCTAAGGCCCGGGGTGCATGAGGAGCTTCAGGGCCTGTGCATTCTCAAGGCTCTTCTGTGTTATTTCTGTTTCCTTTTGTTTTTGAGGTAGGGCTTTGCTATGTAGCCCTGGCTGGCCTTGCATGCATGGCAACCCTCCCGCCTCAGCCTCCTGGGTGTTTACAGGTGTGTGCTGCCACGCCACGCTCTGAACAATCAACTCGAGCTCCAGAGTGTTTTCCACTTTTCCAGCCGAGCATCACTTTAGAAGACAGAAAACTGTGCTGCTTTCCAGAAGATTTAAAAAAATTCTTGTATTTTACACTTACAAGGGAGGAAACCTTTTGGGTCACAGGGAGATCCTGCAAGTGGGCGTCAGCTTGCTGTACCGTGGGTATCTGGTGTGCTCAGTCTGTGCTCTGGCTGTGTCACTCTGCCTGACAGCGAGGCTGCGCTGCTCGCTTCCTGGGAGATGCAGCAAGCTCTGTCCCGGCAGAGGGCAGAGGATGCGGGTGCAGGAAGGACCAGCGGGTGCAGGGCGCTGCAGGGAGCCGGTGTGCCGGGGTCATTGAAGGTGACCTCCCTGCTGCTGGGCTGGACTTCGCTCTTCTGCTCTACCCGATGTCCCTTCCTTTAGGCATCTGTTGTTGTTACTAGGCTTTCAGTGGGCAGTGTTTGCTTGTGATTTTATTTACTAACCCAGAGTGAGCCCTGTGCCCAGAAACTCCCTACATTTTAAGTTCTCTGTTTTTGTATGCTTTTTTAATTTTAATTTTTTATTAGTGTATGTTTGCAATCAGTACATGTACATCTTAATTCTTTTTATGCCCATTCCTTTTTCAGCCTCCCCTCTTGACCCCATTACCTCTTGCAAAAAAAAAAAAAAAAAACAAAAAACAAAAAAACAAAACTATCCTCCTGTTTCCTATTATCTATCTTTTGCTTTGCTTTTTAATTTATTTATCTTAGGTTTCTCATAGAAAGGAAACCAGGTAACATTTGAATCTGTGCGTCTGACTTAGTTCACTTACATTATGGGCTCAGGGTACACCCATTTCCCTGCAAATGACCCCTGTTTATCCTTCTTTATGGCAGAGTAGTACTCCATGGTGATAAAGGCGACACCATGGCCATTTATCTGTTGGTGGACAGGCAGCTTCTGAAATTTCCCTGTTAGGAGTTGCGCTGCTAAAAGCGTTACTGTGTGTGCACTTTTCTTACGATCAACACCACCACCACCGATTCGGGTGATTCCACATCCTCTCTAGCCATCACTGTCAGCGGAGAAACAAAAGAAGTTTCCAGGGTGACAACTGCATTATCCACGAAGGGCAGGTTTAAAACCCGTTTCCCTGGTGAGTCTATGTGAGTCGTGGCAGGAGGCACTTACCCACGTGTGCACGTAGTCTGGGAGCTGTGGTCGGCTTAGCCGTCCGGTCTTAGCACATTTCTACGCTCCATGCTTGGTCCTATTTTAATTTTGGGCATTGTTTTCTGAAACACCTTACGAGTCCTCTTTTGCTCCTGGCAGATTTTTTATTTTATTTTTAAGTTTGCGGTGCCAGGAATCGAACTCACTGCCTGGAGCTCGCCAGGCAGGCGCGGTGCCGCTGAGGGCGAGGAAGAGAGCATTTAGCAGTCGGGGCTTCCTCCCTCCACGCATCTTCGGGCTCCTGGGGTCCCCAGGGGCTTTGTGCCCGTTGCTCTCCCTGCTGAGTCTCCGTGTCAGGGCCGCGCGTGGCTGGTGTCCACCCGAGACTGTGCGTCTCAGGGCCTGTGCTTCCTTTCGCTCTGATCCGAAACTCAAGTTATTAGAGTGACCTTTGAATGTTTAATTTTTGTGAAGCAAAAGCTTAGCGTCTGTCTGTCTGTCCTTGGGCACTCCGGGAGGCTGAGGCAGGAGGCTCCCACGGCAGACTGCACTCCGGGAGCCCCGGGCCGGTTCAGTAGAAGGGGCCGCGGGGCAGGGCTGCGTGCGGGCCGGGCTCGGTGCCCGGTGCCTGCGGGTCCGGCTGCGGACCAAGGGGGACCAGGGGGCGCCAAGGGCCGATGCGCGCTGCCAAGGTCGCAGCGGGGAGAGAGGGAGTGGTTAGGTCACCAGCGCACCCCTTGTGGAGGGGCCGCAGGGGACCCCGGGACTGGTGCACCCAACACCTCTCCACCCGCCCCTCCCGCCACCCCGGCCAGCGGAGGCATCAGCGTTCTTGGCGGGTTCTTCCAACAGCTTTCTCCTGGCCACGGTCAGCAGCCCCCCCCCCCTTCACTGGGAAGACGCTGACCACAAAGCCCGGAGGGACGCTCTGACCGGTGCCCAGCCCGCAGTCCTGCTTTCTGTGGGTTCAGCTTTCCGCAGTCAGCTACTGTCGATAAATATGTTGGATGGAAACTTCTAGAAGTAACTCATATTTCTTTCCATTGAACGGGGTGGGGATCGCCCCTGCCGGTGGTTCCGGGGCTGCAGACTGGCACCGCGCAGCGCGCTCGCCACCGCAGCTCGCACTCAGGTTTCCGGCCTGGCCGCCCGGGCTGGTTTTCACCGTCTGTATCCGGTTGTCTTCTGGGTGCCTGTGGAGTTTCTGTCCCACAGTGTCACGATTCGGGACAGCGAACTCGGGTTCTGTTCTGTTGGCAGCTGCTCACCGGTTGGTGTGCCTCATGGATACATGATGCTCTTTCAGAGGTGCACACAGACTGCCTAGGCTGCGTCCTGTTGGGGGTGCAGGCAGCCCCTGGGGGCCCCGGGACACACCCCCTGTGGATACACAGTCCCTACAGCCCAGTGGGACTCAGTGTCCCCCCACTTCCCACATCGGCCTAACGGTGCCAAGTGCAAAGCCTCGCGCGGCCTTGCGCACCACAGACTGAGAACCCCGAGATGCTCACCGGAGCGTGCTTCACCGATTTCCTTTAGGTCGGGGCCGTGGTTGGCAGCCTCCTCCTCCTGGTGGTCACAGTCGCTGGTGTGGTGCTGTCCAAGGAGTTCTGGAATTCAGATACCAGCTTTCTGACCATCAGTTTCCTCTTCCCTTTGATGGGTCACATCGCGGGCTTCCTGCTGGCGCTCCTTACCCGACAGTCCTGGCAAAGGTACAGCTCGTTGCCCCAGCTCCTCCTCTGGCCCTGCTGGGCCTGAACCCAGGACCCCACTCCTGCTCAGCAGGGCGCTCACACCTCAAGCCCCAGAAGCTTTTTTGAGGAATATACGTTAAACTCTTGGCCACTGGCAGGTTTTGCTGCCTTGGCTGTGTCAGGAGGGAGGAAGAGTTTTGACTTTCGTGGTGGGCAGACAGGGCACGCAGCAGAAGGCGGGAGGGAGGCTACAGCAATTCTTTCTATGAAATAAGGGTCAAACTGATGGCAAAGGGAACGTGTGAAACTAGGTCTGGGGCGACCATGCGGCTCGTGGAGACCAGACACAGTTCTTCTGTATTCCAGGGATTAGATGGGATTACACTACACACAGAGATCACGCTAGGGCCTGAACAAGTTCCCAGAAGTTAGGTCGTTCTCCTATCTTTGAGCCAAATTTTTACGACTAATTATGAAACACAAGAGGAGAAAGGAGACAAACTTCCTGCTGGAGGAGGAAGTGACTTGTGTTAAGTACTATCCTTTCCACCTGGATGCATATTTCATAAATACTATGAAATAGTAAAGAGGGTGTAATACCCCATGCTGTCTGCCTGTAATGTGGTGAGCGTTATCATCCAAGGATGAGGGAGACAAAATTGATATAAACTTCCTGGAGGGCAATATAGTGTCAGATCAACAAACTTATAAACATTTAGGGTTGTTAACTCAGTAATTTTACTTTTAAAGGTTTGTTCTAAAGCTGGCTCCATCAGACATGCACACGAATACTGATAGACGAGGACATTAATTGCAGGGTTATTTATGAATATAAAAATGGAAATTACTTAAGTATCTAATAACAGGGAGATCTTTTTTTTGTTTTTGTTTTTGTCTTTTTCTTTTTTATGGGTACCGGGGATTGAACTCACGACTGCCTGCTTGCAAGGCAGGCACTTATGCCGCTGAGCTAAATCCCCAGCCCCGCATCTGTCTTAATGGTTCTGGAAAGTAGTCAAGAGGGAAGCTTTACTTCACAGAAAATGGCTTTTGATTCCCACTTTGTAGAAGAAAGTAAAAATGGTTCTGTGTGTTGCAAAATACTGGAAAATATACTCTGGTAATTCTGAGCAGTGAGAGTAAGGATAATTCTAGTCTGGATATTTTCTTTGCGTATTTCCTGGGTTTTTGAGTAAGTTTGCCTATTTTAAAATGGGATCAGGATTATTAAAGGGGAGCTGTGTGGCTGGATTCCCAAGGCACAGCGTGGGACATTCCTGTGGGCTCAGTGCTGCCGCCGCCATTCCCTTTGGGATCCGGTTCAGCATCTTCCCAGGGACGGGCGAGTTTCTGCCTGGGCTGTAGACTGACTTCCTGTTACCACACTGAAAGGCAGACACATGAGCCTAATTTTACTGACTCAGAGCTTGAGTGTGTTGTTACCTACAAGAGAAGAGGCAAGGATCGTCCTTGCTGACGTGTAACAGCTTTCACTGCCAGGTGCAGGACCATTTCCCTAGAAACCGGGGCTCAGAACATCCAGCTGTGTATCACCATGCTCCAGCTATCGTTTACTGCTGAGGACCTGGCCCAGATGTTTAACTTCCCGCTGGCCTACGGCTTATTCCAGCTGCTGGATGGATTTCTCATTGTGACAGGTGGGTGAACTTTCACTGTGTCCATCCAATTTCCCAACTTTTTTTTTTTTTTTTTTTTAAATAAACCAAACTTGTATTGTGCTGTCCCTGTGGGATATTTTTGGGGATAATATTTGGGGATAATAAAGTACAGAAACAAGATACTTTGAAATAGTGGGAATTTTACAGAAAAAATGTTTTAAAAACATTTGAAGCTGGGTGTGGTGCTGCATGCCTGTAATCCTAACATGTGGGAGGCTGAGGCACGAGGATTGCTGTGAATTCGAGGCCAGCCTGGGCTACATAGTGAGTTCAAAGGAAACCTGGACTACACAGGGAAACCTTGTCTTAAAAAACCAAAGAAAACCATTTGAATGTGAGATTACAATTAGAAACAAATATACTTCATCAACACCAATGCTCTGTGAGAACCTAGATTCCAGGACTTTGAAGACAAGCCCTCTATGAGCAAATACTGACCTCAAAATGACATTTATCAAACTATAAACATAGATTTCTTACATCTCTGTCAGAGCTTTGAGGTCTCCCAAATACCACATCACTTCTGTGTTTTTGCAGACTTCTATTTCAAGGTGCAAGTCATAGGATTTATGCCAAATCACTGTGAAACCTTTTCAGAGAAAAATGTAATGCATAGCCAAGCATACATTTAAAGATGTATCTACACACACACACATACACACACACACACACACACACACACACACACACACACACACACGGTGTTTACCCATCCATACCGCTCAATATACAAAATTACTCTAGAACCTGTCATTATACAGGTTTGTAAAGTTTTAAAAACTTATGGATATGTAAGTATGTATTTTAGTTTTGGGCCACTGTAAATTCTTCCTGTTGTCAAGGTGGCGCCTCTGAGACAGGCCCAGTGATCACTGATTTAAATGATTACTGATTCTTCTCCTCACTGATAAACGCAACTACATAAGGAGAACAGGGCAGGGTGGGATTTTCCATGGAGTAGGAGCTGTCAGAATCCTCCTGGTCCTGGGCGATGTTTTCAGGAAGCATCGTGTCGCTTCTCAGCTGTGTCTGGCCCTGGTGAGAGAGCCTGTCCCCCAGCAAGTGCTCTGCACAGGCTGCTGGCCATGGCCCCCATGGACTGACCGTCTGAATGGTGCACCAGCGACCTGAGAAATGCATCTCTACTCCAGCAGAAGGACCCACTGTGTACGCCATCACCTTGCTCCACTGCCCTCCCTGCTTCCCTGCCCTGTGTGTTTATACGTACATGGCCTCGCATGTGTACGAGGACAGTGTCTCCACATTTAGTGTTTGTTGACCCTGCTTTTAATGCCACGTTTTCTCCCCAGTGTACCAGGCATACAAGAGACTGAAGAGCAAACACACACAGCAGAGCCTGCATGGTGCTGAAGCCCCTCCAGAGATGAGACCCAAGGAGACAAATGCTTTCTTGGAGGGGGATGAAGCATCGGCTGTGACCCCCAGGCCTTCGGGGTCGGGGGGTCCCCACAGCCTCCTCGCTTCCTGTGAACTGTGTGAACTTGCTGGCCAGTCAGGGCCCCCACACTCTGGAGCAGCAAGGAAGGACGGTGGGCACTGCTGCCTGACCCCTGTCGGCAGAGCCCCGTGTTAATGACTTGCATGTTTGTGGGTTCTGAACCACAGCAGAGTCCCTTTCCGAGGGGCTCCTTGGGGCCACATGGTAGGGTCACTGCATGTGCTGTTGCCTTCCTGGAGCAGAGTGCACAGGGGGTGCCTTTCCAGTGGGTTTGGTGCATCAAGAGCCCGGGGCTCAGGTGCTGGGCAGAGCTCAGCCAGGTCCCTGTCACTTTCAGAGCCAGGGCGGGTCCTGGAGCACTCAGGAGGAAACCATGAGCTCTCACCAAAAGGGGCCCTTCCCGCAGACTGGACTGTCTTTTGTGATTACAGGCTCTATTGGTCTTTCGACGGGAGTTAACGAAAACACGGGGTCAAAAGCAAAGGCCTGTGCTGTCCCTCCCTAGGGAGCCATGCGTCCAGTGTCCTGATCTCTGTGTGTGCAGAGTCCTCAGGAGAGCGCCAGACCGTCCGTGTCTAAGCCTGGGGCAGGGGCCTGGTGGCACTGCAGAGCTTTCCTACCCGGGGTCCTGCTGACCTACCTCATTCTACAGCAGTAGGCCCAAGAAGTGTCTCAGCCCTGCACAGGACACAGCTGTCACCCACGGTGTTCAGACCCCCAGCAGTGCTCTGCTCTGCTTTGCACGGGGCTGCCCGGTGCCCTGCACCGCACCACCAGGTCATGGTGATCAGGTCACAGCGCCCCAAACATCTCCGTGGAGACACATTTTCAAAGTCGCGCCCGAAGCAGGCCTTTGCAGCCCTGCCCGCGTGGGCACCACGGTTCCCTGCTGGTGACCGCATTTGTCCCGTGCATCGCCAGCACTTCCCTTGCTGCCTTTCACCTCTTCCTGGAATGCAGTTTTATATTTCACACATTCAGCTTTCTTTTAACATGGTCAAAGATTCTCAGTGTTAAAATATTTATACGTTTTGTGAGTTACAAGACACTTTGTGACAATGTCCTGAGCCCCTTTTCAGGAGTCCACGTGGGGACCTAGCACATGCCGCAGGGAAACAAAGCCTGCAGGAGGGAAGCCCGCCCTTCCCCGTGCCCACATCATTAAAGGTCCTTTCCCTGTTCTTTTCTAGTACTTCGATGGTCTGAGTGTGTACATATTTATTTTATTTTTGAATTCAACTTTTGGCATGTTAAAAATCTGATTTTTTATGAGGTTTACTTTGGCTGCAGTAGTAGAGGTTTCAGTACAGGTCCGTTAGCAGATGATGGAGGACAGCACACTCAGGAGGGAGCAGAGGCACCGGAGGGAGAGGAGGAGGGCCGGGGGGGCCTTTCCAGGCCACGCCCTCACTGCTGCCTGTGGCCTCCCCTCCGGGTCCCTCCCAGCACTACACTGAGCCACCAGCCAACTCATCAGGGGACCCAGCCAATGCCCAGTGCCACACGCGGCATCCTGTCACCTCCCAAACCCACCGAGGGAGGCTGCGATGACAGCTAGACACAGACCCTCCCTCTGCTGAGGAATACTGCCTCTGACACAGACTTCCCTACACAACCTGGTTTCCTTTGGATTCTTCTTTGTTCCATTTTGTTTCTAGTTCTGTCTGTGAGATGTGTGAGAGGAGACTCCATGCCTTACCCTTCGAGTGTGTAAGCAGTCCCCATGCCCTGTGGGTTAGTTAAATCTGACGACGGACTACGGTGGCGGTTTTTATAATTCAGAGTCTCTGTGGTGGCTATGAAGACAGGCCCCATGAAGTGCTGGGGGCAGCCTCTAGGCTTGCGCACGGGAAGGAACCGAGAGCCCATCTGTAGGGTCACTGTGGAGATGCTGCCGCAGGCTCCCTCTTGCCCACCTGGTGACTTGGGCTGACAAGCTTGCTGGTGCTCTGTGCAGCTCAGATTTGTAGTCATTATGGACAGAAGGGTGCCCACCCTCGGGGTTATAGTACACCGGGCAACCAATGACTGCAAAGATGTAGTTAGCAGAGTTGTGTGTTAAAAGAGCTGGGTGGGATGTCCCATGGCCATAGTCTCAGCTAATTGGGAGGCTGAGGCAGCAGGAGCCCACTTTTGAGGCCCTTCTGGGCAATGCTGAGAGCTTGTCTCAAAATAAAGGGGCAAGAGGTGTAGCTCAGTGCTCCCCAGGCCAATCCTCAGTACTGGGGGAAAAAGTAGGAGGAAGGGAGGCGGTTCTCAGGTTCAAAAGGAGCATTACCATGAATTTTAAAGAAGCCATGACATCTAAAGCCAAACGGTAAAATTCAGCTCTCTGCTTTGAAAATCTAAGTGTGAGGGTTGGTGTTTAGCAGGAGCGACAGTTCTGTCAGGGCATTGTTAAGACAGAAACACAAACCAATGTGAGGGTCTGAATGTGATGCCTGGCAAGCATCCCGCCACCTGCCTTTCAATCATGCTACGAAGCACTAGGGCATCAGGCTGCTTGGGGGCCCATGCCTGATTGTCTTTTTGAGATAGGGTCTCCTTGTGCAGTTCAGGCTGGTCACTAGGGCTACCTGGGGCCAGTGATGACCCCTTGGGCTTCAGTTTCCTTTCTTAAAAAGGAGGACAACACATCTGAGCTCTGACCCAACTTGAGAAGTGGGTCCTGGGAGCAGGGTGCTGTTGCAGGAGCCCCTCGTCTGCGCAGGCGCAGCAGAGGGCACCCTCTCCTCTCTGGTCTGGTCCACCCTCCTGCCAAGGGCCCGCGTCCTGACATCGCCTTGTATGCTGATGAGTCCCACACCTCTGTCCATGGCCTGGGGGTTTGCTGAGCCTGTCTTTGGAATCTGGGTCCTTTCGGGTGATTGAATAAAATGTCTCTAAGCCTGTACAACTAAGACCAAATGTCAAATATTTCTGTAGACCTCAACATTTACAAAAACCACACACTTCTGGCTCCAGATCTTAAAAGATTGATGGGATGCTGGAAACCGAGGCTGAGGGGCCACTGCTTTCTCCTGTGACGGGAACCGAGACAGTGCTCAGGACTGTGACACGCTTTACCCACAACCATTCTGCAGAGGTGGCTGTGTGTGCATCACGGCCATGCTCAGGATGGACTGAAATCTGCCAATTGCTGCGCCCACTGGCTTCCTTTTGGGAGTGCTGCCAAGCCCCTTCTCAGGAGCTGTCTGACACAGCTGTTTTCTCTCTGGAAGATGATGGATTGCTAGGCGGAGTTGCTATGACCACTGCCAGCCCTGAAGGACAGACCGGGATAATCACAGAGCCACTGGCAGCTGTGCAATGGACTTCTGGCTTTTTTTTTTTTTTTTTTGGCTTTTTGAGATGAAGTCTCCCTATGCAGTTCAGGCTGGCCTTGAGCTCACTTTGTAGCCCAGGCTGGACTCGAACTGGTCACAATGATCCTCCTGCCTCAGCCTCCTTAGTGCTGAGATTACAGGCGTGAGCCACCACGCCCAGCTTGGGCTTGTTTTCTTAAGGAAACCTCACTTATTTAAGTTCACTCCCAATTGGCAATAAGATTGTTGGCTTTAAAACTGTTTCCGGTCTGGCCTGTACTTAGTCATGTTTGTATCTACCGCAACACAGCAGCTTGACTGTGTATGGAACAAGAAACACAGGAGTGCCCTTTCACTTAAAAGACACCTAGCTGTGGTGAACCTCTAACCCTCATTTCTTTTTTTTTTTTGTCTTTTTCGTTTGTATCGGTACCAAGGATCGAACTCACGACCGCCTGCTTGCAAGGCAGGTGCTTATGCCGCTGAGCTAAATCCCCAGCCCCTAACCCTCATTTCTAATCACACTGTGTTTGGATAATGAGTCACTTTATAGCCATATCTGGCAGGCACGCTGGAGCCGCTGGTGTAGGGACCTGATCTAACAACCCGTTTCTCTCCTGTTCATCACTGTTCAGAACATCTGTACCGATGATGTCTGCTGTGTTCTGAGTTTAGGATAAAATGGCTTCTAACTCCTCCAAGCTTCTGACTAATTGGGCGCCACAGTTTAAAAACCAGCACATGGGTAAATGTGGTATTTCCACACCTGCGTCAGCAGGCATTGCCTAGGTGTGACCACCTGCACCTGTCCGTCCTCACTTGCTCTCCGCCCTTCCACCTAGCAGTCGGTCTTTCAGGTTTTTAGTTTCCACAGGAGAGAGCGTGTGATACTGTCCATTTCATTTTTTATAACTCCATAGTGCATACATATTTTCTTTGTTTGTCTGTTTGTGAGCGCTGAGACCAATTCTGACCTAGTTGTGGTGAGCGGGGCCTCGAGAAGCGGGGCACACAGGTGCCTCCGGCACTGCCGACTTTGTTTTCCCGGTCTACACCCAGGGGAGGGCCAGCTAGCCCACATGGCAGTTCTGTCTCCCACTGTCTGGAGCAATCTTCACATGGTTCTCCCCACCCGGGGTGAGACTTCTGCTCTCTACATCCTCCCCAGCAGGTGTCTGGAAACAGCCGTGTCTGCTCTGTATCTCCATCTTAACCTGAGTGGTCCTGCCACAGCACCCATCAGTGGCTCAGCCAGCCTCCCGCAGCAGGGCTGTTGCCGCCCAGCTCTTGGTGATTGAGTGCACGGCCCCAGTGGGTATGCCTTGTAGGCTCAGCCCACGCCAAGTTTTCCACGTGCGGTCCTCTGTGCTGTCCCTTTCTGAGGTGGATAGTTCCACGATGACCTTGGAAGCTGTGTGTTGACCACAGAGCTCCTGCAAGCTTGGCAGTAAGGAGTGGCCTGCGGGCAGTCGGTGTGCCCACTGTTAAACCGGACAGAAGTATGCTGAGGCATGTCTGGGGTTGATGTGTTCCAGTACCCAGCTGCTGTAGGTGCAGGAAGAGCCATGCTGTGCTGTGCTCACTCTGCCATCTGAGGGCACCCGGCGCTGTCTCTTCTTGGCCTCACCTGGCTTTCCACGCCAGTGAGTGGCCTGTACCTTCCCCAGTAGGGCGTCAGGTCCTGGGTGCAGGCAGTGGCATGTTTACTAGACTAATTCTGGGGTCACAGAGCCTACCTGCACCACCTCCTGCTCTCCATTTCCTCGACACATCCTTTCCGGACAGCGTCCCCTGCCTTTGCCTGCCCCAGTCTGTGCTGACAGCAGATGGGGGCTTGGTGTCCGGCTGCCCTGGCTGCTGCACTCTTTGGGCCTGGTTTTGTATTCCTGTGGCTGGGAGACAGGCCGGACTCCAGCTCACTCACCACAGGGCTGACCAAGGGCTGTCAGAGCAACAGAAAGTTCTGCGCTTTCAACTTGTGATGCTGGCTGCAGCTCTTCTGACTGAAGTGAGGACAGTGCGGTGATATCAGGTTCTGAGTCTAATCCAGTGGAGTGTCACCAAGGAGCTGTGCGTATTCATTGTTATCACCTTCTGCCTGCAGAGCCTCCCCCCAGAAGCAGGGCCCAGCAAAGTATACGTGGGGGAGTGACTCCAGGCTGCAGGCTCAGAGCTGGCGCAATGGTGGGAGCAGGCACAAAGAGCCCCAGGGAATCAGGTGCAGGACGGAGTGCCACCTAGTGGAAGCCGGATCTTGGAGGCTGCTGTTTTTCTGCCAAACAGAAACCTCCCGGGAGTATTGTGGCATGATTGTTGCTGCTCCCCAGCTGGGAATCCCAAGCCTCACTTGCAGTATTCTGCACGTCGGTTAGGCACAGAAAGCTGGCGTCACTTGTGTGTGTGTGTGTGTGTGTGTGTGTGCCTCTGGAGCTCCTGGCTGCTATGCAGCCCATCTTGGCTATGCCAGCCATCCCAGAAGGTTCACTGCACCACTGCCAGTGGCAGGCACAACGGCAACCAAAATGGTGGGTGGGAGGTCTCTGGCTCCTCAGAGGCCAGGGTGCTGTGCCCACGAACCCTGGCAATGTGTTTCTGCACGTTTTATTTACAAAGTGAGACGCACACCACAAACACATGATGCAGTTAACTACGTCAATGCACGTGATGCCATAGCCCTATGTTCTCGAAAAAGTACATAAATATATTACAGGGTGATCTACGCAGTAAACATCAGAAGTTGACACAGGAAACACCTTCCACGTTTTTCTATGCCAATATTACTGTCATTTAAAGCTTAAATACTGGTTTCAAGTATCTCCTATAAAACAACTCTTAAAATACTGGGAAAATTTTGCTATAAACAAGATTGGTACATTAAAAACAGACCCAGCGTGTCCTCGGAACGAAGTCCACTGCCAGCCAAGGGTACCTGTAGCCCAGTATCTGCCCTGCTCGGTTAGTGTTAAAACAGTTTAGTGATTATCTCAGTTGAGCGCAGCTATGGAAGATAGCATCTGTCATTGGGGTGCCCGAGAGGCCCCTCGAGGTCGCAAGGTCAAAGGTGCCAGCAGGAGGACAGTTGCGAGGTGTGGTGGCTCTCGGGGTGCACATGCAGAGAGACGGCCGTCACTCGGGCCGCTTGGGCCGCTCTCTCCGCTCTTCTGCAGCCTGGAGCCATTTGAGGACGTGCAGGACCACTTGATAGCAGAAGATGTACTGATCCTGCGAGGGCGTGGGTGGGAGAGACCGATTTTAGAGGCACCAGATCACAGAACTGCTCAGGGTCACACAAATGGTCAAAAAGTGGAAACCAAACTGACAACATGGAGAGGGAAAAAGCCTGCGGGCGGGGTAAAACTTCAGAACTAACTGAAACTGTCTCTCATTGGAGGACCACTTCTGTTTCGGTGCTCTGACAATACTTCATGGAAAAATAAACTTCTTACAAAGTTTCTTCTAGCTTTACTAAAACTCATCTTGATATTTTAAAAAAAATCCATAAAAAACAAAATATCCAAACCTAAGAACATATTAAAAATAGTTTTCTTTAAATATTTTGGAGCAAGAGACCTGGAAATAAATATGTCTACAGAAATCAGAGATTTAAACACGTGCTTGGTAGGGCATGAGTTCAATCTCCGGTACCAAAATAAAACAAAACAAACAAATAAACAAAACAACTTAGAAATCAAAGGTTTTTTTCAAAATATAATTATTAAAAATATTAAAAAATTTTTCTTTCAATATTTTGAAACAAAAAAACCACAGAAATTAAAGATGTCTGAAAACGAATCTTTGTGGTGAAACTTAAGTTGGTGGTGTAGGGATCTGAGTTTGTTTTTTGACAAAGAACACGTCTGAAAATAAGCAGGAAAATTAACAATATATGAAATGGAAAGCAAAGAAACAGCTACAGCTTGGTGCCATGTAAAACAGCTCCACACATATGAGCACCAATGTGTGCACCCGCCCTTTAGGAAATCAACGCCTCCTCAAAGCAGGAATACAAGAACCTGTTCATTTCCTGCTGCTCACCTGTCTGGCGCCTTTTCTGCATCCCCGCAGTCAGTGTGACACTCACACCACGCACAGCCCCTAACCCTCTTTCTGCCACACCTTCCACCGTCTCCCTCTAAGCCAGCTCCCCTCCCGTGGTGGGTCTCACTTAGTCAGGAGCCAGAGTGGCCCTTTGAGGCCACGTCCTTGCAGGCCACGGGCTGCCACAGCTCCCGTCACTCAGAGGGGCCCGCGCTGGCCGTGGGCTCTGTCCTGAAGCCCCTGGCAGGGCAGCGGTGGACTCACCTCGGTCTGCACCATCCCGTGCCTCTGCAGCCGCATGCAGCGCACCAGCTTGGAGATGTCGAACTGTGCGGAGACAGAGTGTGTGTTAGCCAGCGGGGTGGCCGCATGGGCACCCGGGCTGCTCCCACACTAGGCTTCTGAACTGCACTGCACTGCCGTGTCTGTGTCTCTGTTCTGGGAAACTGCCCTGGACAGTAGCTTGGTGAACGGACTTCGTTACCATTTATGGTCCAAGAATTAGAGCAGGTTGCCTTATCTGAGAATCTTCAACAAAATTCCCTTCTCCAGAGAGTAGTTTCTTATAATTTTAAAAGCAATAGAAACTACTTTCTTACAAATTGCTTTTCAGAGTCAAATTCAAGAATTTTAAATTTTGGCTGACATTTAAGAGTTGGAAACAAGGGAGAAATAGACTGATTTTGCTCTAATTAAATTTCGATAGTAGACACAATGGTGTGTGAAGTGTAAGAACTGCTTTCTACTCCCATTGTTTATTTACATATTTATATAGCAGCCTATTCCAGTATTTTCAATGATTCTAGCATTCTAAGCAGCTTTATGTTAATCAGGTAAGACTGTACTCTTATTGGTTGGGTTAGTAGTAGTTTTTAGACTGCGGGTGACTATTTAGATGGGGTTCTTAGCATTAGCTCGTGTAGTAAAACACACATTCCCACCCAGACGCAACAGCAACCGCCAAAAGTCCACCTCTTCCCTTCTGAAAACGTCTCTTTTGCACGTGAGCACTTCTGCAGGGGAGCAATACAGACCATGTCTCACCCAGGCTGAGATAAGGAGGGCCAGCACAGGGGCCTCGCAGAGACAAAGGCAGCCAAGAGCCTGGCACTGGCACCGGCACTGCCCCTGTCCCCGCGTGCTCAGCGCCCACCCTGCACTCACCTCCAGGTCCTGACTGATTAGCCCGAGGACCACGTCTATGCATATCAGGGTCCCCGAGCGCCCGATGCCGGCGCTGCAGTGTGTAGTGATGGGACCTGAGCCGTGGATGTGCCTCATGTAGGCGATGAAGGTGAGCAGGGCGTCAGGCTGCGAAGGTGTGTCATGGTCAGGCCAGGCAGTAAAGTTCAGGTGGAATATCCGCCGCACCTCTCCTGTCTGAGAGCCATAACACAGTAAGCACACAGTGTCACGGTACGCTGTCCATACCATGAGGTTTTGGTATTATTATTTTGTTCTTGCAAGATTTTTCTTTTTTGGTCATCGTGGGGATTGATCACAAGGCTGAGGGACACTGCAGCCTGCTTGAAAACACTTTTGATGGTGAGGGAGGTCTTGCTCCACTGCCTGGTTGCACAGGCTGGACTTGAAATCCACCGGCATGCGGGCTTGCAGGCATGCGTCACCCCACTCAGCTGGTGTTTTCAGGTTTTGAGTTGTATATTGGGCAAGACCAAAAGGGAAGCAGACGAGACCAAGTGATTCTGTCAGTGGTTGTCAAGGGGGCAGAAGACCCACATTTTCTGGGCATGTGGTGCGGGGCAGGGCCTAGCCCTGCGTGGTGGGCCTCAGGGACACTTGCTCTTTCAGACCAGGACGCTGTTCCAGCTGTCCCTCTGTGCCTCACAGCTTTTCTCACACGCTGTCCCTCAGGCCTCCCTGCCCATCAGCACCCATCTCTGCTCCTCTCATCTCCCTCAGCACCAGCAGCGGCCCCCTGAGCAGTACAGACCATACCCGTGCGTTCCCTGCAGCCCTGGGGCCCACCCACGCAGGGCAGAGCTCTGTGCACATCGCTGAGTGCTGGATGCTGTGCCTGTGGAGTGTGCAGAGACACCCACGTGCCGAAACTCAGCATCCGAACTCGGCAACACACACGCTCCTCCTGTGTCAAAAATGTTTACAAAAGAGGCATCACTTTAATTCTTCATAGAATCAATTCTAGAAGAAATTCTCGGGCCCCATTTACATGGCACCAACAGAACCGGTGTGTGTGCTGTGTGTCTGTGATGGTGAGGTGACCCCCTGGGCCTTGGTGGGTGGGCCCTCCAGCAAGTGTCCCGTCCCCTGTGCTTCACTCAGGGACAGCACTCGCTAGACCACGCAAGCTAAGTTCCCCAGGGTCACAGACCACAGGGAAATCGCTGAGCGACAGCCGTTTATGCTGCTGCTGTCCACATTCCCGAAAAATGGCAGTCACTGTGGGGGAGGTTACCTCTTACTCACATTCCTGAGATAGTGTCAGTGAGCCCACTTGGATGCTTGGTCTTCACAAGCCCCTTTCCTGCAGCTTCTGACCCCCGTGTGCTATCACTAAGCAAGGGTGACAAGCGGTTACACGAAACAGGTTCTGTTTCCTGTTTACTTTCCTAACGCAGGTCCTGCAGGAAACCCCTAACATTTGAAATTGACTTGACGAGAAGAAAGTCCCACCAACACTGGAAACTGGGACATGGTGGCTTTACCTAGAAAGCCTGGTGTAATGGTACAGGGCCTATTTCCGAGGACAAGCCAACCTTGGGCACTCACCTGAATGTCCTCCAAGGTCATCGCGCGTACCACAAAGCTCTTTAGCTGCTGTGTCCGCTCCAGGGCCAGGCGCAGCCTGTCAGTGGCCATTGTCATTACGCCTAGGAGGTTGGGCCAGTAGCGCTGGCACTTGATCTTTTCTCCCTCCACTTCTTGTGTCATCATGGCTATCACTGTGGATTTTTGCTCCCAAATCATCTGCCAGAAATCTCCAACAGTGGTGGGGAGAGGCCCCTGGCAGGCGATGTAAAAAAACTCCTCTTTCCCCACTGGGACCCTGATGAAGCTGGCGTTGATGTAGCCCCCATCCTTCCCCAGAGGCACCCTGGTGGCGTCATCTGTGAAGGTGACCGAAGGGGACCATCAACAGTGCGCAACACTTTAGAGAGAGGCTTACAAACTTTTAACAGCTTGTTTTCAAAGTTTTGCACAGCTACGTTACTTTCTATCTATAACTTTCCCTGATGTTACAGGCATGTTTATGATGAAATTTGGTATTTATTATTACATAGACTTGGTATAAGGAGTAAAGGTAATAAACACATTTAGAACTTTGAGATCAGTAACTAGAACCAAAGCAAAAACAATTTTGCCACTTCTACCCCATTTTAATGCTGATAGCAATAATAACAGTACTGAATGACGATGCCATTTTTCACAGAACAAAAATCAGTAATGCCATGACACTGTAAAGTAGTTACCTCAAATACTACTGGCATAACTCATTTGCCTAATTAAATAGTATTTCTTTTACTAGGCTGCTAAAGCAATGAAGTAATGTAAATAAAAAGGCAACTCAGTTGCATGTAGGCCTTGCCTTTGGCTAACTAATTTTACAGAGTCAGAATATAATTTTTCAAACAAAAAGTATGAAATGTATGAGCTCTTTTACTAAAGCCATAAAGTCAATGGTTTATTCTAGAGAATCAATTTGTGTGTATATATACATTAAAAATCACTTTTAATATCTACCAAATTAAAAACCCTTTTCAAAAAATTTTTAAATTGCTTTGCTTTGAGTTGAGGTTATACTACATGGTTCAGGCTGGCCTTGAACTCACTATGTAGCCCAGGCTACCTTGAACTCAAGGTGATCTTGTCTCAGCCTCTCACGGGCCAAGATTATAAGTGTGTAATACCATGCTGGCCATAAAACCTTCCGGTATGTGTCAAAAACCATCCGTCAGTGTCCTTTCTTAGTTGCCTTCTATCTTTTAATCTAGGCTGTTTATTCCATGGAATCGGGAACATACATTAGTTTTGTTTTTATGGTTTATCCCACTCAGATTTTGAAACACTTGGCTGGTCATCTTTTTGCCTCAAAGTAATTCTCATCTACTTTATGTCAAGCCATTAAAAATGTTGTCTGAGACTTGTTTCTTGTAAGCAGTTTTCCAAGATGAAATTTTGTCTTCCTTCCTGGTTGACAAAATTCAACTGTATTGTTATTACTAAATAATCTGTTACACTGGGGTCAATGTGTCATATATATATTACAATCCAAGGGTATGAAGGTTTGGCTGAGAAAAACCATAGGAAGTTGCTAGTGTTGTTTTTATTTTTGTGGTTCTGGGGATCTAGTCTAGGTCCAGCTCAACGTAGCAAGTGCTCTACTGAGCCAAACTAACTATCCTCAAAACTTTAATGTTTTCATAGACATGTAATTTTAAAACTTGCACTAAAATAATTGGTTTTGTTTACTTCTGGTATCTGACATGATTCAAAATCTAACACAGCCTGGCCAGGCATGGTGGCCAAGCCTGTGATCCCAGCACTTGGAAGGCTGAGGCAGGCGGACTGCTGTAAGATTGAGGCCAGCTTGGGCCACACAGAATTTACCACCAATCTAAACTACACAGCAAGCAAGCAAAAGGCTATCCCAAAGAAAACAAAACAAAGCAAAGCAATACAAACAAATCTAGTGCCGCCGCCGGTCTCATTGCAGTCATGTGTGTGCGCGCACTGAGCAGCCACCACAGACGTTCCTGCAGACCTAAGTGGAATACATGAAGGTGGCTGCGGCGTATGAGTTCGAGAAAATGCTCATCTGTGCAGAAACCAGTCTGTGCTTTTTTTTTTTGGGCAGTGCTGGGAACTGCACATGCTAGGCAAACACATTCTCAGTCTTGAAATCTGTATTTTTACAAAGATTTTACTGATTTGGCATCATAAAATTAACTTCATATGCAATAATCATAAAAATTCAGGAACATCTTAACAAAATTTAAGATTTCGCTGAATTTCTGTATACAGCTGATATAAAAATGAATTCTCACTGTGTACGTACTAAAGTAAATCTCTGAGGGTGTATATGTGTACACATTCTGTTAAACTTTTACACAGTCTGAAGTATACTGAACATGCACTCAGTTTGAAGCCAAATTGGAACTTACAGGGAAGTATGTTTTTGTATCTGTTCTTCCTTCTGTTTTCCTTCGTCTGCCCAATTAGGCACTGATCCAAAGGTTTTAATTCTTGAAGATTCTATAGACAAAAATGGAGATAAATTTGTTGAGAAACACATAGTTGACCAACTAGAAACGCTTTCAATATGTGGGATGCACAGCTGGCTGATCAGGGATGACTTAGGTTGTTAATGTAACCACCTAAAATAAACCTAAGATTAACACTAATTCCATCAACCTTTGTTGGAGTCTATTATGGTAGGCACCTTTCACTGAGTCAACTAACTTTACGAGTGAGCACTTTGTGTCCTGAGTTTTAATTTTAGTTTAAATATCTGTAATAATATTTTAGAAGAAGTACAGCTTTGGCTGGAAGCCAGGCTATGGAGCACAACTTCTGGGCAGCACTGTCTGCTGGGTTACATGTGTGGTACCGCTCAGTTTCCATTCCCTCCCTCCCTCCAAGAATATATACTGAGCTTATCACAGGCAAAGGCATAGTCAGTTCTGGGAATAGAGCTGGGAGTGAAAAGAGGGCTTTCCTGGGGCTTACGGCTACTGTAAGAAAGAGATGATAAATACAAGGACAGAGTTTGTAAAATATGCCTTGGAAAAGTTAATAAGCTGCCGTGATGAGGAAAAACAAAGATCTACTTTATTAGGAGTAACAGAAGTTCTGGGATAAGCTAAAAATCTAAAGAACTTAAGCTAAGTACTTAAAGCACCATTTCTTCAAGAGATTCCTGGAGAGGAAGAGGGTATGGCTTCATTACTGTGGCCTTCAGTTTCTAAACTTACACAATGGCATACATCTTTTGAGAAATGTACACAAAGCGACAACGGACAGCAGAACCTCTCAGTAAAAGTGAGCTCCTTTTAGAGGTCTCAAAGCTCGGGAAGTGGGGAAATGAGCAGATGGACTGGGTCAGCCTGAGGCCCCCAGACAGGCTGCCTCCCTGTGTCCCACTGCTGGACCTGGATGCTGCCGCAGGGCACAGGGGAAGGGCTCTGCTGAGGCTGCAGTTACACACATCACTGTAACAATCACCAGATCACAGGAAAGTTAGTAGATGGCTGGAACTCACACTTAGCCTTCTCCATTCTTTAACTTTTTATACTCATTCATGCATGAGACAGGGACGATAATCTTCAGGGAAGTTTTCCAGGTTCTGAGTAACTAATAGGATTTCTTTAAATCAATGCTATTAGGACGCTAGCGAGAAGAATTATTTTTTGCTAGGTAAGATAGTGTTCTTTTTAATGTGAGGACTTAGTGAAAAAAGAAAAAAAAAGATAGTGTTCTTATAGTTAGAAGTAAGTGAACTTTAGCTAAATTTTCAAAAAGTGCTCTTAACCTTGGGCTATTAAGTGCATACATTTTTCTTACAAATACATGCATAAACTTTGCGTGGGTAACTTACCTCCAGCTCCCGAGAAGGGATTCCTTGATCCAGTAAGCCCTGCAGCAACTGAATGGCAGATTTCAACCTGGAGCCGGTGTATCTCCCTGAGGGCAGCACTCGGACCACAGGAAGTGCAGCCAGCTGCTCACTGGTCAGGAAGAGAGGACCTAGCAGAAGGGCGGAAGAAGATGATGATTTCTCATAAACTTTCTCTGGAACTGATGTTACCAATAAGTGGTCTAATCTGAACTTAGCATCACCTCCTGGGCTTTACAAAAGGGAGAGTCTCCAGACATGGGAGCACTAGCCAGGCAATGCCACACCAGGCCTGTGAATGCAGTCAACACCAAAGCCTACATAGCGCAGCACTGTCTTTAGGCAGTGTGCTTAGAAATGCTTAAGAGTTTTGATTCTCAGTTACTTATGTTTTTAAAAAAAGAGTTTATGTTGCTTCTTTTTCCTTCTCTTTATTTCAATGCCACTGTTTTTTTAAGAGGAAAACATGTAATCCTGTATTATCCTGCATGTGATTGGTCTCTAAGCACGCAGGGAGAGATGAAGAAAAATGCTTCGGAAACACTCCTGCAGAAGAGATGGCTCCAGGAACACAGATTTCTTTCGTCAGCGCTCACTCTTGGCAGCTGATCATTTCCCCCATACAGAAGAATTCTCTTGGGCTATTTTGGAGTTTAATCAGGCAAGTACCTTAGAAGAGCCCAAGGCCTCACCGAGTTCCTGTCCGTGGAAGTGACTAACAGAAGGCACGGGTCATCCTGGGAGAAGGCGGGGAGGCTTGTCTCCACAATGCCTGCCTCAGCGTTTCGTAGCTCAGTCATTTCCTTAAGCACTATGATGATGCAGCTGGTATGCAGCAAGAGTAACCTGGGCACTGTGGGACCCGGCAGACCAGTGTCTGGCTGAACACAGAGCTTACTCATGAGCAATAGCTGCCCACCTTCCCAGGTCACTGAGTGTGAAGGAACAGGAACTCCAAGCTTGGGTGCACGTGTGCGGCTGGACAAGAGTGTGGCTGGTGGATACATAGCGTGCATGTTGGAAAAGTGTCAGCACAACATCCTTAGTTTCTTTTAAAAAATACTTCAAATGGGAAACCACGCTGTTTCATTATGCCAATGTACCACTTTTAATATAAAAGTAGAGAAATAAAACCCTGGGCAGAATGTACCTCCACTGGCTCAGTAATAAAATGAGCAGTGGTAATAATGAGAAGAGGCCAACTGACAGTTCCTAAAAGACAAGGGTGGGACCAGGGGACCAAGTACCCACCTTCCCAGCAGTTTACCTGTGTTAGTACAAATAAAACGGCTCCTTGACATCTCGTTCCATAAGGGCAAAATCATGGCTCTGGGTCCCCAGTGAAGGCCCTTGTCCATTCCTTGGTGTTCCCGCAAGCCGCTGGGCTTTCGGGCTACTCCCATGTGAACAGCCTGGTTATACAGTGAATGTGTGATCGCTGCCACTTATCTGTGTCTCAGTTTTACCAAATGTAGAACCAAATGATGTATGAGGACAGTGAAAATTCATATATTCTGAAACTCATCTCTACCCACTGCTTTAATAAATGAATTCCAGTAGATGCTTGCCTTTCCTGGAGTCCTCATGGTCTGCAGTCCCCACTGGCGGGCCCTCATCCTCCTCCGTCTTCCCGTCTTGTGACGACATTTGCAGTGAGCTATGCCAAAAAATAGATTTGCAATGTTTGCTCTTTCCCCACAAAATACACTTAAACATCAGGCCTCTAACCTCTCATTTCCACCAAAACCATTACAATATTGTAAAACAGATTATCTGACTTAAAGAAACCCCAGATCCCGTACTTCCTAAAATGTACTGGTAGACGCACATTGAAGTGAGGTGCAGTTTTTAATCTGTCCTCACGCAGACCCCAAGCCTGGGCCAGGGGGCGGCGCACAGGGTGTTCCCACCTCCATCCCTCCCCGCGAGGAGGCACCACAGAGCTTTCCCTTGCTCAGCGCCCGCCCACTTTGGCATCTATGACAGCATCTACATTCATTCAGAGACATGCCCAGGATGCAGCCTGGAGGCAAGAGGGCACAGCTGTGCCTGGGCACTCACGTAACAGAAGGAAACTCCACACATGTCTCACTATTCTAGGGGTGCACAGCAGACAGCATCCCTCTAACAAGGACGGAGAAACTGGAAAATGTTTTTTGCTAAGATGGAATGTAAAAGGACTGAAACAATCTGGGCACATTTGCACTTTCCGAAAGTCAGGGAAGGAGCAGAGGGCTTCTGTGTGAGGACACCACACACGCCGTAAGCAGCTCAGGACTCAGGGCCCCACAGTGTCAGCAGCAGGGTGGCACTGCCTCTGCACCAGCTCCCTGTGGGCCCAGTTAGCATGCCGCATGTGAGTCCTGAGCCCTGCAACCCCGAGCTTGGACTGTGTTTCTTCATCACCTAAGTCCTTTTTGCTCTTTTGCATAGCTGCTCAGTATTTCACTGCATGAGTGCATCCTAGTCTACTGTCTCTCAGGGTGTCTTGCTACTATAAACAAAGTTGCAGTCATGGATGGTGAGTAATACAATAACAGAACACTGCTTTCCCTTGTAGAAAGGTCTCGAACACCTATGGCAGTCGGACTCAGATACACGACTGCTGCTGAAGGGGACATAGCATGTTTCTTTGAGCTATGCCCCTTTGTTTATGTTATGAAATGGTATTAATGATTCTAACAGTAATAGTTTCCATGATTTTAGAGGTGTTAAAACAAAAACAAGTACACCCAAGAATCAGTATATGAGAACAATTTTATATTTCAATAATATTTTCAACTGCCTCCCCAAGAGACTACACTAAATTTACTGTTACTCTTCCTTCTGTCTTTGCCTAACAATAAGCAGTACCTGTTAACTGAGACTTTGCTTTTTTGGTATTTATTAATCACTACGTATAAAACTGCATTAACCTTAGTGCCCCTATCTAACTTAGTAAAAAAATTCAGTGTCAGTTTGCCTTTCAAGGAAAATGCAAATAGTTCTTTTTCACTGATTATTAACACATACAAAGCAAAATTAATGTGTAATCACTGTGTTAGTCATCAATATGTAGAAGTTTTCTGGTACATAGTGTTACAAAAAGTTTATAGTGGAAATTATTTTCAAAAAGAAAAAGTTTTGAGGAGTTAAAGGTTTCTTACCATCTTTGCTTTCATTATTTTATTAATGAAATTACAAATTTTGAAAATATAGAAAAATAGAGAAACAGTAAACTAAATTACCCTAACCTGAGCAGGAGAATATAACCAGTTACTGTTGTTAGCATGTCTTCTTTTAGGCCATTCTTTTTTTTTTTTTTGTCTTTTTCTTTTTTATTGGTACCGGGGATCGAACTCGCGACTGCCTGCTTGCAAGGCAGGCACTTATGCTGCTGAGCTAAATCCCCAGCCCCTTTTAGGCCATCCTTGAATTTGTTTTTTCTATGGGTGAGCCAACACAGTTTTTTAGAAGCAATAATATAACACATGTATTTTCAGCCAGAACAATTTAATTGTATAAAAATTTTGAAACCAGTTTAAATATTTAATCATATTTCCATAATTTACTCAACCAGTTTCATTTTATTGGGAAACAAATGGAAATCCTCAGAGCATTTCTGAGGAAAGAAGACGGGAAATGTTACAGATACTGTAAAAGTTTTCCTACCTTTCACTGTTTATTTTCTCTTCCCAGTATTCGGTACTAATGCTCGTTCCAGTAGACTGTAATGAAGAAAAATGAAAATTAAACTACTGTAACACAAAGCAATCTCATGGCTTTTTTTTTTGGTGAATCACTTGCTGCTCTCATTTACCCTCCTATTACAGAAACACACATGACACTCCATTAAGACACTGCAGACAATGCCTGTGGGTCCTTTTCACAGCGCTGCGGCTTTCTATCAGTTCTACATGGGATGGACTTTCTACACTGTGGCTTTCTACTAGTTCTATAGGAGAGAGCAAGGGAAAACACGAAGCACTAATTGTTTAGGCATGTACACTTGGCATGTGCTTTATACAACTTTAACTTAAAATTTTAAAGTTTTAAAATAAGCCAGGCACGGTGGTGTCAATCTGCAGTTCTAGTTATCTGAGGGTAAGGCACGAGGATAATTTGACCTTGGGAGTTCCAGGCCAGTACGGGCAGCAGGAAACAGAACACAGCACACCTGAAGATAGCTCAAACGTGCTTAAGTGGCCTTGTCCTTTTATAACTAATTGTTTAGGCATGTACACTTGGCATGTGCTTTATACAACTTTAACTTAAAATTTTAAAGTTTTAAAATAAGCCAGGCACGGTGGTGTCAATCTGCAGTTCTAGTTATCTGAGGGTAAGGCACGAGGATAATTTGACCTTGGGAGTTCCAGGCCAGTACGGGCAGCAGGAAACAGAACACAGCACACCTGAAGATAGCTCAAACGTGCTTAAGTGGCCTTGTCCTTTTATAACCAAAGGTCAATGACTTAACTGAGTGTGGTCCTCTGACCACAGTACTGTACAGGACCAGCTTGCTGCAAGCAGGATTTGTTGCGTTGTCCCCTTAGACAGTGAGTAACCCTTCATTCAGCCTTCCTAGGCCGTGTTAGCTCAGTGAGCAAGGTTCCTCTTCACAGTGTGGCCTAGGAGACCGGGCCCTCTTCTACTTGTCCAATCTCCGTCGCACCAAGCTTTAAACCTGTGGGTGTTTCGCAGGCTCAGAGCTGCTCGTCCCCTGTCACGGAGCTCTTTCTGTGGCAGACACATTTACAAACGCTGACTGTGTCTTTCCTCCTGAGGGTATGTCCTAGCCCAGGGATGGCAAACCTTTCAACACTAACAGCCCGCTGCGGCACTAGGGCCACAGGGTCACCATCACTGCCTTGGCCACTCAATCTGAAGCACATTTCCTAGGTCGTTTTCTCTGTAACACATTACAAAAAACTACACAGACTCTCAGCACTTAAAATTATACATGTAAAACATGTTTGATTTTCTCTTTTTTCCTCTATTAGACTTTCATGAGTGCAGACATAATGCCTGTCTATCCACCAATATGTCTACACACTTCATGCTGAGACACGGAAGACTACCTCAGTCATTTAATAACAATGACATTTTAATGTGACCTTTCAGCTACAGACTTTGTAGAGTTAGAAAAGCATTTGCATTCTGGACATCGGAGACAAGGCACTGCAGTACTACCGCAGCAAAGACTGAAGCTTGGGTGCATGGCTCGCTTTTCTGAAGAGCAGTGAACCATCCAGGTCCAAACCCAGAAACCCAAGTGCTTTAGAGCCATGCACCCCACTTCCAGCTGATTTATAGAGCCAAGGCCAAATGGAAATCTGCCGATCCAGCGGGGCTGGTGGCTCACAGCTGTAAACCCAGCACTTGGGAGGCTGAGGAGGACTGTGTGACTTTGAGGCCAACCTGGGCTGCAAAATGAGTACAAGACTGGCATGAACTACAGAGTGAAATCTTGTCTCAAAAAAAAAAGGAGGAGGAGGAAGAGGAGGAGGGGATGGAGAAGGAGGAGAAGAAGAAGATGAAGGAGGAGAAGGAGCAGGAGTAGGAGCAGGAGAAGGAGCAGGAGCAGGAGCAGGAGAAGAAGGAGAAGGAGAAGAAGGAGAAGGAGAAGGAGAAGGAGGAGGAGAAGAGCTTCACTGGACCACGCTTGTGGAACTCTGAGATGGTGATGGCGCAGCATCACGTTACACTGCAGGGCTTGTCTGCACTGCACAGGCCAGGCCTGCAGGCAAGCATGCTTATCACACAGCAGAAGGGAGCACTGGAGGGCCCGGCATTCTCAGAATACTTACAAATGTCTGTAAAATAACCCAGATTGGATAGGAAGCACATCACTGCCTTTCAGCATGATAATGCCATGTCTCTGGAGAACACGTTTTTCCTTGCTGTTCGGACCTCGTGGGGCAAGTATCTAGCCCTCAGGACATCTCTAGAGACACGAACGGACCAACATCCTTCGCAGGCACCCAGGTCACACTAATGACTGCCTCCTCTCCTCTGTTCAGCCTTCAGTTTCTAGACAGAGCATAACACACACTCTGCTTCCAATGGCGCAGTGCCCTGCATGCCTGCAGCCGGCCCAGGCCTTTCTGCCTTTGCTAATGCAGCCCACAGTACAGGACAGTTGTGCCCACCTCATCTCAGCTGTCAGATACTGTTAAAAAGACGACTTCCAGTCAGCCTAACAGCCGACCCGCCACTCCCACACGGACTGCGTTCCTCCACTCTTCCTATCCCTTTCAGAGCTTCACATTACCCTTTCACTCGGCGTGTGTCTTAGCACAGCTTTTACCACACTGCACTAGCGCTCTGCACCCCTCCACCCCCACGCTGATCACCAGACGCTCCCTGCAGATAGGGGCCAGAGCACTGCCCCCTTCTCACTGGCGTCTCCACATCAGCGTCCAACAGGCTCAGAAATGGGAATAAACAGTGCGGACTTTGGAGGACAAGTTGCAGTAGTACATGTGAGCAACAGTACATGTGAGCAACAGAATTACGTTCACAGGTAAACACAGATACTGACTAAAGCGCTCTACTAAGAGGCAGTCAGATGTAGAGACATTTGTAACACAGAGTGGCACATGCCACGACTCTGCACCAGTAATTACCAGGGGGTGCATCTCTCCTGTTGTTTTTTTCTTTTGGTACCAGGGATCGAACTCACGGCCTTGTGCTTGCCAGGCAGGCGCTTACACCGCTGAGCTAAATCCCCAGCCCAACACATCTTTCCTTTTTAAGAAGACAGTTCTATACTTTATAATCTGAATAGTTAACATTTTCACTTTTGGTATGAGTTAAAACTTTCAGAACTGTACAATATCCTGTTAGTGCCAATTCAATACCTAATCTACAACATGTTTAGGACGATCTGTAGATAATCTACCTATAACAGACTGCATATGGCATGTGATTACAGACATATACATATAAGACCATATACACTTAGACTGTATAAATTGATATCCAAACACATTAATATATTGTATAATACACAAATATTTTAGTGACACAAAACATTTTAATATAAAAATATATGCTGGGGATTATGCCCAGGGCTTTAGTTTAATGTATGCTAAACAAGTTCTTCATTGACACGCTGTATGTATCATTTTTATTTTATTTTGAGACTCCCGAGGAGCTGGAATTACATGTGCCACCATGCCAGACTACCAGATTTTTCCATTCCTTCTTTATTTTGGTACCAGGGATCGAACTTGCGACCTTGCACTCACCAGTCAAGTGCCTGAGCCACTGAGCTAAATCCCCAGCTACTACCAGATTATCTCTGCAAGTTCTGAAGCACTCTATCATCATATGGCAATATTCTGGTAATACAAAATGAACCAGGACTGAGCCAATATTCTCTTCCCGAATATGGTTCAGTCTTCCTTTCAGCTGTGGAGATGAATCACAGATGCCACTTGTCAATCTGTCTCTCAGGAACAGAATTCTCAGTGATTTAAACACATCTTGTTTGATACAAACAAAACTCTTCATGTTCTTTCCTAAGTACTTGTTCCTTCTTTCTTGAATTTACTTTCTTACTTTGTTATGTTTACTAGTGGCTAAAATTGCTTCTCAAGTTCCTAAAAACTGTTAATTTATAACTTCTGCGGATGGAACAGCCCGAAGTGCTGGGGTGCAAGCATCACGCATTCTGAATGCATGAACGTACTGGTCTGTCTATATTTTGTTGGGAAGCCAAAGAAATAATCTCCATCTGTAAGTCTTTTTAAGACTTGCTGTAGTAGTTTGAAATGCTAATTTTTCCATGTGAACTTTAGAATCATTTTATCACGTCCACTTCATTTCTCATTCAACAAAAGTTGAAAAAAATTTTTTTTTTTGCAGTACAGGGATCGAACTCACTGCTTCACACTTGCCAGGCAGGCTCTTGTGCCACTGAGCTAAATCCCTGGCCCAAACGTTGAAATATTTTATAGGAACATACTGAATTTATAAGTGACCCCAGGGAGAATTTAAGTTTTCTATCGAAGAATAAAAAATGTTTTTCTTGGATATTTCTTTCATGCTTCTTTGTGTTTCTGAAATTTTTCATTAAGACAGGTCTGGCACATTTTCTGGTTGAATCTATGCCTAGAACTTTTGTTTGTAAGCAGTGTAAATGAAATCTTAACCACTGTTATACAAATTTAATTGGTTAAGTAAATTTACCTGGTTAAGCAAATTTAACGAGCAAATTCAACTACTACGCAAAGATTGTGGTCCACAGCCAGGCATGGAGGCTCACGCCTGTAATCCCAGCACTCAGGAGGCTGAGGTGGGAGGATCCTTGTGAGTTGGAGACCTGCTTAGGCTACAAAGTGAGCTCAAGGCCAGCCTGTATAGCGAGACCTGTCTCAAAAAGACAAAAAAACAAAAACAAAACAAAAAAACCATTGTGGTACACACTGAACTATGTACCTCCTAACCAAATTCGTAGGTGGAAGTCCTAACCCTCAAAGTGGGTTGTACACTTGAAAACAGTGCCTTATGCAGTAATTAATGCTTAAACACTGTCGTAAAGATGGGACTCCAACAAGACTGATGTCTTTGCACTAAGAAACAAAAGCAGCAGGCATGCACCAACAGAGGAGTGGTGACATGAGGACAGTGAAAGGTGATCATCTGCAAGCCCACATGACAGGTCTGCTCAAAAACCAATCCGATGGCACCATGGCCTTAGGCTTCAGCCTCTGGAACTGTCAGAAAGTGGACTGCTGCTGTTTGGTAAGGCCCTACCCCTGTCTGCTGAACTGCCAAAGTTTGTTATAGCGAACCTGAGCAGACTAAGACAGGCTGCAAACTGAACTGTCTGCAGAGGACAGATTACCAGAACTGTAAAACGCTTGGGCGGGGTAAGGCAGGACAACAAGAGAAGGAAGGTAGAGTCTACTTATACCTTGTAAAATTACTTTTGTCTTGTGAAGCTTGAGCATTTATAGCACCAAAAAACAAACAACCTTAGAAGGGGCTGGGAATACAGCTCAGTGGCATAAGTGCCTGCCTGGCAAGTATAAGGTAGTGAGTTCAATCCTTGGTACAAAAAAACCAAAAACCAAACCAAAACAAGAAATCCCAGGGACCTTTGCAATACTGTTTTTCATCACGTAGAAAAAATTTAGCAATCATCAGTAGATGTCCAGTTTAATCAGTTATGATTTGTTGACATGACAAAATAATGCTTTAGAAAGTTTGAAGCAAAGTTATATAAATTCATGTGGAAAGAAAGTAATGATCAATGGTTAAGGGAAAACCAGATTTAGAACAGTGTGATACAATTTGTATTAAAAACTTTTATAATGAATATACCCAAAAATCATAACATTAAAAAGATGACATTCTGCCATCAACTGCTGTCACCACAGTTTAGCTATAAACAAGAATGTATGTATGTTAAGTTTTTCTCCTATTTTATTTTATTTTATTTTATTTTATTTTATTTGTTTCATCTTTTTGAGACAGGGTTTCACTATGCAATTCATGCTGGCCTCAAATTCTTAATTGATCCGCTTGCCTTAGCCTCCTGAGGGCTGGGATTATAGGCGTGCACCACCACACCTGGCAGGTCTCATTTTTAAGGCAGCTGATGTGACTTTTTAAATTTTGTTTTGTTTTCGAGATAGGGTTCTGCTACCATAACCCAAGACTGGGCTTGAACTCTCAGAGAGCCTCCTGAGCCTCCGGTGCGGGGATCAGCTTAACAAGACGTTTTTGAAGTGGCAATTAACGATTTTCATTTATTCTTTTAAAGAGACTTTAGGACAAGCATCTTAAGTGTCATACTTAATATTATTAATAATACAAAATAATTAGAATCATTTTAACTTAAAGTGTTCAAAACATTCTTTTCAGAGAGCCTACTGTTATGATTATTAGTATTCTGACAGCATGAAAGAACATCTTAAGTGAAACCACTAAAGAATGCATCTGAAATACTCAGCAGATGTAAGCGTCCTTGTCCTTTGAGACATTTGTGAGTATGAGAGTATGTATAAGTAACACAGGTGGCTGACTATTCTAAAAACCCAACTCAGCCAGTTTAAAGGGGTAGAAGACATGAGGTGGAAAGTGACAGGGAAGGAGGACGGCGAGAAGAGTCCAGCACCCTAGGCTGTGGTCTGGTGTTACCCTCACCTCAGCAAAGTCCGTAGGGAGAGATGTGCTATCCTGGTCTGTGTCTTCTGCTCCCTCTTCCAATAACCTCCCATCTGTATTCCGTGTACCTGGGAGAGAAATATACAGGTCAACAGGAACTTCTGGCACTGATGAAGCAATTGAAGAGTTCCCATTGGTCTTCAAAACAAGGCTATATAAAGGCCAATATTTACAAATAGTTTCAATGCTGCAAATGTCAGGAACACAGAACATGTAAGTGTATCATTTTTGATTAAATTATCTGTAGGACTGTAGTTCAGTGGTAGGGGATATGCTTAATATGTATGAGGCTTTGTGTTCAGAGTCCAACACACAGACACACACAACCACACGAAAACCACACAGAACAAAAAAAACTGCAGTGTCCTTACGATGGCTAGCATTAACTATGCAAAAATCTTGGGGATATTACTTCTTTTCTTTTTCTTTTTTTTCCTGGTACCGAGGACTGAACCCTAGAAGTGCTTAGCTACACTCCCAGCCTTTCATATTATTTTGAGTTATTTGGGCTGGCCTTGAATTGAGGATCCTCCTGCTTTAGGCTGTTCAGTTGCTGGGATTACAAGTGTACACCATGTGGGCCTGGCCTGGAACAGCAGTTCTAAAAACAAAGCCACAAGGTTACTGACACATTCTGAGATCTCAGTGACATGGTAGCCCACTGAAGAATACAGAAAGGAAAATACATACTGGGAGAAAACTTATCTTACTTCTGAAGTGTTACCAATGAGGAACAAGGCAGACACTAATGCACCTCATGTTTACTCAAAACACGCCTATAGAGACATGCCTGTCTACTGCTCTGAGGACCGACTGACCCACACAGCTCCTGTACCTGGGCCATAGGCATCTCCTGGTGTGCCAGTTTCATTTAAAAGGTTCTGAGCTTCCGCATCCACCACATCCAGCAGGGACTGGATAACTTCAGCTTCTTGAGGATCATCATACATTTCGTCATTTTCTGTATTAGATTCTTAGAAAACATTAATTTACATGAATGCTACTTAGAGAATGCTGGATGAGAAAGGGACGGGTCGGCCCTACACTGTGCTTACCTGTGCAGCCCGTTGTTTCTAGTTTTAGAGCTGACCTGGGTGTCACAACAGAAGACCCCACAAATGCAGTTTACAAAGAATAAATCAAAAATAACTTTGGCAATATACCTTCCCCAGACATTAGTAATTATATGTTTATTTTCTTAAATTAATCTCAAATTATTAACTCATAGAAGAAGCCCAAAAAGCTTTATTACCAAGATTAAGGTACCAAACATCCTCCAGATAAGGTCTCCAAGCTGTTAGGCAGCCTAGGAGGCACTGCTTTACAGAATGCAGGAGACAGCAGGAACAAGGCAGCTGTCTCTCTGATCATTTGAAAGACTAATTTTAGGCTCAGAGGTGGACCCTTGTATATTAATGCAACTAACAACATTAGCTTTACATTCCTTACTTGTGTTGTTTTATTTTCTTGAACAATACTCTCTCCTAGAAGCTGCAATGACATGTAAGGCAAATACAAAAGGATACCTGATACTTCCGTTACCTAAAGCTTTAGGGTACTCAGAGTAACTGGATTAGGTACTCGGAAAACTACCTTCGCGCCCAGTCAAACTTGCTAATTTCTTCATCTGAGAAGCACATTTTCTTTCAGGGTGCGAAACCTCAATTATTTCTTCCCCATTAACCTAAAGTGTAAACAAAGCAAACCATCAGGTTACTGTGTTTCTGTCTTCCAGGCTTAGGGAGAGACTCACACTGCCCCTCTCCTCCTCTTCCCACTCCAGGACCATTTTACAGCTTCCCACCTCAAGCTGCGTTTCTGGGAGAATCAGTGCTCATGAGCAGTGCGGAGGGGCAGGCTTTTCACCAAACACACTGGGAAGCACTAGGTTAAGTAACATCCAGGGTTTTCTGTTCCAGAAATTCTTACATACTACACAAGTAATAAGCCGTGTCAATTACACAAATAGTTCAGCTGCTAAAAAGAAATGTATTATAAAATAGTCCTTAAACTTACTGGACTAAAAAAATCTCTTATTTGAGACAGTTTATGCGATTTGTCTTTCAAAGAACATTTCTAAGAACTTTAATAGGACTACAAAACCTTAGAAGTTGAGGGAAAGGGAAAAGTTTTGAATTATTTATGAGGTGATTACATGGATATAGACTACAAATTTAGTGATCTGTTATACAGATTTTCACATCTTAACCACATGTGAATTTAAGAAAAATAACAATGGATTCATGACTGTATAGTAATTATTAAGCAACAGAATGTAACTTTTTAATGCAATGATAAATTGCAAAAAGCACTTATGGAACATAGCTTATAGAAACAAAAATCTGGCTAGGTTGTAGCTCATCAGTAGCATGGACCAGCATGAGGCCCTGGGTTGGATCTTCAACATCACCAGAAAACACAAAAGAGTGGGGTAAAAATATAAAGTTACATGATTAGAATAAATTAAAATAATTTTGCAGAAATAAAAGGTTGTGGTTTTCTCAGGTTTTATTCTTTTATAAAGGGAGGACAAACACATGGTAGATATGACAGAATTATTATGAATCATGATGATGCTCTATTATATGTTTTGAAGTCCTGTATCACTTTTATTGTTTTGTTGGGTTGGGTTTTATACTGTTCTGTCTTGTTTGATTTTGTTATATCCAATGACATGGGAAGCTATTTCAAAGATAATACGATATATTATGATAATCATTTGGGATTTAATATTATCTTGTTTTGAAGTTCTTTATTGTGCTGTTTTGTTAGTTCAATTTGATTCTATTTGATTTTTGATTTGATTTTTATTGTCTGAAGTTATGGGCAGCTAATTTAAAGTCATCAAGAGGCATTATGGTAACCACTGCTGATTTCCTATTATCTTATTTTGAAGTCCTGTATCATTTACACTATTTTGTTCTGATTGGCTATATTCTATTTTATTTTGCTTGGTTTTACTCACTTTAAAATAAAAATTACAAAAAAAATCCCAAGAGTAGTTATATTTAAGAACTTAAATATACTTAAAAATATATATATTTAAAATAAATATATATATAAAGCTTTATATACATAAAGTATGAAGTATATAAAATATAAATATACTTAATATATATATTTACTTTAAATATATATAGACTATTTTTACTTTAAATATATATACTAAGTATATTTAAGTTCTTAAATATAACTTACTAAACTTATTTAAGAGCTGAATTTGTGGCAAAGGATATAAGGTTGCTTATGTAGGGCTCTGTATACTTTACTTACTAATTCACCACAAGTGTCTTTCCTATTAATACATTTATCTAAAAGAGACAAATATTTAAATATGACATTGGTCCAGTGTGAACAGAAACGATCTGGGCGCTCTGACATGACAGAGGTGGACCTTACCTACCTTGGAGAATGTGTCCTCGGGAGTGACAGTTGACTGGCCACAGAGCTCTGAGCTGTGGGGGCCTGCAAGGAACAACACAGGAAGGAAGGGACAGCTGGTCACACTCACAGTGAAGACTCGGCATAATGAAAGACACACGGCAACGTCCATCTCTGCCAGCATACGGAGAGGCCCGAAGACGCCCTCGGTTAAGTACTTGAGTGGGGACAGGTTCCACGGAGAGTACTTGCCTAGTGTGTGCTAACCCTAATCCTGTGTCTGAGTCTCTGCTCAATCTGACACACATAGAAAAACCATGGAAGGAACCCCATCTTTCTGAGGGTGTCATTTTACTGGTATTTTAAAGAGGCTGCATCATAAAGTGAGCAACCAAGTGAACAGAATAAAATCGAGAGGTTCATCAAAGAAAATAGCTGACATAAACTCTCATCTGTGGCTGAAAGGTTCAAGAGGGAGGGACTGAATACCAATGATCTGAACCCACGGGCGGTATCACGAGTGCTGAAGTTTCCTCCTACTCCATGACTTATGGGAGAACAGCCAGCACCTACCTAGCTTCATAAAGACTACCACAGGAACACAGGAAATACAGCATGCGGATAACTGAAGGTTACAAATATAACTGTATTTATACACCGGATCCTAATGTTAGCTCTGAGCTGTAAGTACAAAAACTTGTCTGTTTTTTAAAACGGTAAAATTTTGCATTTTGGCCACCTTCACAGAGTTCCTGTTACTGATACTGTATGAGTCTGAAAACGTCTAAAGAAATTGGTCCTATGAGGATCAAATCAGAGACCCTCACAGATGGCTCATGAAGTAGCTTCTCCAAGGAGCAGGGCACTAGAAAGTGACAGTCATCTCAGAGGTCACTAGGAAAATGTCCTCCTTATTCTTCTATGAGCTGATTTTGGCATGAACTGGAACTACAGAGGGCAACACGATGGACCCCTTTTGCTCTTTAGAAGATAAACAACTGTTATAGTAACATGTCTTTTAGCTACTATTGGTGCTTAGACACTGTCCTAAAATGATTAGTTATGCTGATGTACTGAATTCACTTTCTAAATGCAGCAAGTTCAATCGTATTTCTCTGTGTCAAACACAGCAATAAAAGCTCCAATTATAGGCCCTGCAAAGAGCATGCAGTCAGATTTCCTGGGTTTAAATTCTGGCTCTTATCTTTATTAACTCTGTGAGCATGGGTAAGTTATCAAATTTCACTGTGCCTCAGTTTCCTTTTCTATGAAGTAAAAATAGTAACCCTAGAATTGCGAAGTTACTGTGAGGATTAAAGTGTTTTAAAGAATGCTTAAACTAGAACAAGCATTAAATTGCTGAAAACACAACAACTATCACTAGTACTTCCACTGCTCTGCACTACAATATTTCCAGTGCCCAGAACAGTGCCTAACTTAGGAGTTCAGTGAGTACATTTTTGAAGCAAGTACTTTGTGATGAGCACGACGGTGTTTCACGTCTACGCCTCAGTGTCGCCTTCCAAGGTAAACAGCAATAACACTCTTGTTTTACTCATGGGAAATAGAGGCTTATGCACGCATAAGAACTCATAAACTTGGGCCCACAGGCTGTCAATTTTGTGCTTCACCCCGTTTTACTACTTTTGCACTATACTATACACTGAATTTCATTAAAGTACAATATTGTCCCCTAGATTTTGTAAGACATTCTGGAAACGTAAGAAAAATATTTCAGTGGCAACATGCAACTTGCTATTTAGGGGGAAAAAAGCTCCTTCTCCTAGCCACTGGTGTTATAAAATGAATGTGTCCTTACCATTGGCTCTGGCTGACTCTGGAGCTGACACGGCAGATTTCTTTGAACAGGGAAACACTGGCTGCCCGTCTCTGTGTGGGGAAAAGGTGCAAAGATTTAGGAGAATTTGCTTTAATGTCCTCTGAACTATTTATGAGTTTCAAGGGTTTCAAGGCTAGGCACACTGAAGTTGGGGCCGACACCTTGACAGTTCTCACCTACGTGTTTTCTGGAGGGAGAGAATTCTGACCCAAGGAAGAGGAAGAGTAACTCCTTTACATTGGCCTTCTTTGGGTTTCAGTTCAACACCACACTCTGTTTCTCCTTTCACTTAAAACACTTGGAATGTTCATGACCTAATAACTTAGTTTTCTGTCAGTCAGTAAATAGCTCAAAGATACTTTAACTTAGAAGTTCTAGATTATAAGTCTTATGTATTTAAAGCTCCGATACAAGTTTTTCTACTAGAGTATTTAAAGGGAGAATCCACACATTCAGAGAATTGTAAGAATAGTGCCACCCAAAGAGAAAAACTGTCAGAAAGACTGCACTTTGGGAAACGCAGATGAGTATGCAGTCTTAGGCATGGGGGCTACATGAGGGGAAGGGCAGGCTGCCTAAGGCAGGCAGCCTTGAGAGGGCCCATATGCCACAGGCCTAAGCAGCCCTCTGTACACCTTGCTGGGCAGCCCCCAAATACAAGGCCCTAACCCTGACCTTGTTCATCCAGGTCATTTCTCAAGGTGGGGAACAACCTGGAAGGGTGAGGCGACCTCCCTCACCTGCAGAATGCCCACCTCTTGCAAGGCTGTTATGCGGTGGTGGGCTTCTGAGGCTGCTCTCCCATCATCCTCTCCTGTAATGCAACCCCTGGCCTGTGAGGGAATCTACCAGGCCCACAGATGTTACCTCAGTGGCCTTCAGGGACACTGGAACTGACCCCTCACTACCCTCATGCTGCCTGCTTTTATTTCTGTTAGCAACTTTTGTACTGATTAGTAACAAAGTCCTTTTATTTCTGATTTCAGGGGTACTATGTCTTCTGCCAGAGTCCATGAAGGAGTAACAGGCTAGCTTATTGGCTTGCAAGTAGGTAAATTCCCAGGCCTGTTATAGTTTTTTTTTTTTAAATACATATACATACACATATTTACATACATACATTGTTTCTTTCCATTATAGTTCTTGATATATCATTACTACCAACACACGTCTCCAGTGTTGCTACCTTGTGGATTTTAAAGAGGACATGTGCATAAAATAGTACAGAGAAGACTGTACGAAGAATATAGAGGAAAGCTCTTGTGAACACTACTACACTATCTTTAGTAACAACAGCTAAGATAAAAGGAGAAGAGCAGAGAGGGACTACAGGGCCAGGTGAGTAACACTCTACTGCTTTTGAGGCAAAGCATTCTGATACCCCTAAGAGTGGCAGTAATTAATGTTTAGCTAGATCTATGAAAATAACTACACCAATCCAATGTTTAGAAACCTATAAAAGAGTCAGGTCAGAGATTATAGTCCAGAAAAAAGATATACAATTAACTTAAAAGATTCAGAAGGAAAAGTAAGTTTATCAACTATTTAACTCATAAATTTCCATATTTTAAAGGAACAATTCACCTATGCAGTTGTGAATTTGGCTCACTTTGGAATCAAGACAGCCTGGATTCTTATGTATTATAAAGGCAAAATATGGGCTCCCCCAAATACGCCAGTGACTTAGCTCTAATTCTCAGGACCTGTGAATATGTGGCTTTACAGGGCAGAAGGGATGGGATATTGAGGTAGAAAAATTACCTGGCGTTATCAGAACTGCACTGTCGTCACTGAGGCCCCACCTAATACAGGAAAAGAGGGGCAGGAAAGTCAGAGGCAGAGAGAGAGACTGCAGCAGAGGCATCAGGGACCACTGGCTTTGCAGACAGGCGGGGACCAAGAAGCCACGGAAAATAGGGAGTCTCTAGAGGATGGAAAAGGCAAGGAAATGGGTCTCCTCTGACAACCCACAGAGGAAACATATCCCTGATGATTCCTGGATTTCATCCCAGTGAGATGCATTTTGTACTTCTGACCTAGAGCACTGTAGTACTCCTGTTTTGCCTTAGAGATCACTGAATTTATGGTAATTTGTTACAGAAGCAACAACATCTTTTCTTCAATCCATTAAAGAAAACTTGTTGTTGGCATTTTTTACTCCAGTGAAGCTGTTTGGGGTGCAGTGAAGTTCGCATCTCCTCAGTAGGTGACGCGAGATTCCAGCAGAAATGACCAGTCCTGGCTCTCGGAGTGGACTGCTACTGGCCAGAGTCAACAGCTTCTTTTTATCCAGGAGCTGACCTTAGTTTAGGCTGATGGCAAAGGCACACACACGACCAGTGGTGACTGGTGAGGCTTGTTTGCATATTGCTCTGGATGGTGTTATGTAGGTGTGAGCCATGAAAGCAATGCAGAAATTTGTCTATCATAAAACAATACAAAGGAATAACTGGAAAAAACAAAGAAAGGGAATCTGAGCCTTAAGCAACTTTCACCTGGGACCACTTTTCCTTTTAGGCTTTTACAATCATGTAAACTCATAAATTCTCTTTCTTGTTCTAAGAAGTTGCCTTGTATTTCTGTAGCTGAAAACACCCTAAGTGATAAATGTGTCACTTGTCCTGTTAACTGGAAATATGTACTTGAAGAGTCACCCACTGCGGTCTGCTAGGAGCTCTGTCCTGTCTTTACTGAATATGGCTAGTCTGTCTGTGAAGTGTAATTAGAGCCCAGAGCACGTGCACACACACACACAGCGCCCATGCACTACTGCAGAGTACCTTGTGGCTTTCAGCACCACCGAGGGAAGCGACGTGCCCAGTGCTCTGTTGGCTTCTTCCAAGGTCAGTCCTTGTGTGCTGATGCCATTCACATAATGTATGACATCCAGAAGCTGGAGGTTCCCCTCGACGGCTGCAGAGGACCTTGGATCGATATCACTGATATACACCACCTGATGGAGACTGTCATGCCCTCCCGATAAGGAAAAACCTTCAACAAATGAAACAGAATTGTTTTCTCGGTCATCAGGTGACTTGATCAGTCCAGAAAACCCCACTGTACAAAGCATGAATTTTCATTACCCAGCTCTTCTTTGTTGCACGTTAATATAATGTCAGGTAGCAAATGGGGTAGCACCGGCATTCTGGATAATTCGAGAACTCGTCCGAGAACTAATCTCACTGTCTTGGGTGCTGCCCGGAGCAGATTCACCACATCAGTGTGAGTTATGCTTGTAACATCTGTATCATTAACCTACAAAACAAGAAAGGGGGCAAGTCAGGATTATAATTTTATAATAGGAAAGCCAAATTGCCAGGAAAACACATTAATCTTTCTAGCATTTTACATAATATAACAATGCAATTAAAGAGGCTTCCAAACTAAATCTGAAACTTGAAGCATCTCTGAAAGTTAACAGTACAAAAACCTTTCAGTGGTGGAAAAGGAAAACAAATCCAACAGAGAAACACAGCATTATGTTAACATGACCTTGTTCTTTCACCAGCCCTGGCTTGTTCTTTGGCAGTGACGGGGAGCCTTTTAGAGACTGAGCCCCCAAACCCTACCTAAAGCCTTAGTCACTGCAAAGAGAGGTTTCAGGGCAGAAGAACAGCCCACATGAGCTAGTGTGCTGACACAGACGGCTCTCTGGGGCCCTGCAGCAGCTGTGCCGCAGCCTCACACCACCGTTCTGTGGTTATGGCTGCAATGCGGACAGGACCCACGCCTGTCCCCTGAGGCTGTGTGCGAGGGCCGTGGTCCTCAGGGTGCTGGCAGGGTCTTGAGAGGCAGAGCCTAGCAGGAGGCCAGTAGATCCTGGGCGTGTGCTCTAAAGAGAAACGGTGAAGTCTAGGGCCTTTGGCTTACTGTTTCAAAACAGGATCTCTTTGCCAATGTAAGCCCTAAACATCCAAAATCATGAGATGAACAAACCTCACTACAAAGCCAACTCACCTCCAGTATTTCTATAGCCATAGAAAACAGACTAAGTTCCATTTGCATAAGTCTCCCATTTCCCCCACAGGTCCCACCTTGATGAGCCGGTCTCCAGGCTTTAGCCTGCCGTCTCTCTTGGCCGGGTCCTGTATGACGTCATGAACGTAGCAACCGATGCTCTGGCTGCCTTTGGTGACTGTAAAACCCAGGCTTCCTTTTTCTGATTTAATTAGAGTGATGGGCAGTTCTACTTCCTGGAGAAAGACAACAGGGATCCTTTAAGATTGTCTATATTACGTAAAGCCAGAGAAAAAGATGACTGTTTTGATTAGCCAAAGAGAAAAGCAACTCTTGAAAAGTTTATTTAACACGATCAAGTGAAAAACACCAAGTCTTTCATCCGTGCTAGAACACTTCCTTCTACGAAGCAAGTGAAAGCTGGGCTTAAGTCCCACTTTACATGTTGGTCTCCAGATAGTGGAGACGGTATCGAGGCCTTTTCCCAGTTTTGCATTTCAGCTACATAAGGATATATCAACTGTCACACTTTGACAATAATAATAATAATAATAATAATAAAGGAAAACAACCAACCAAACAACAACAACAAAAAACCCCAAAACTCAAAAGGTTTTGGAGGGAAGACTTAAGTTTTTTACATATTTCTAAACGAAGACAGTTGCCTAAGCGCGTAAAGGTTTTGTGTTGTCTCTGGTACAAAAAGGAAGTTTTGAGTGATTATATGTTAGAAATTCATTTATTAAGATGTGCAAGCAAACCAATTTAAGAGGGGCTGAGGATTTAGCTCAGCAGCATAAGTGCCTGCCTTGCAAGTGTGTGGTCGTGAGTTTGATCTCCGTTACGTATAAAAAAAAAAAAGCAAAACAATTTAAGATTTTAACTGAGACACATAGATTACTCAAGTAGATGATGACACATTTCTTTTCTTTCTTTCTTTCGTCTTTTTGAGACAGGGTCTCACTATGCAGCTCAGGCTGGCCTTGAATTCACTTTGTAGCCCAGGTTGCTCTCGAACTCACACTGATCCTCCCACCTCAGCCTCCTGAGTGCTGGGATTACAGGTGTGAACCACCACACCCAGCTTGATGACAGATTTCTAAGGAAATCATTCAAACTGCATTTTCACTCTATTGCTAAAAATAAATCTGAAGATGCAGATGCTATGCACACTTATGCCATTAAAGGGAAACAAAATATTGTACAAACTCCACAATATTTAAGATTTTTTGGTAGTGAGCTATAAATGGCTTTCATACTTTCTTAAAGATAATTTTTTACAATAAAGATTACTTAGAAAACAGTATTAAAATAGACTCTCAATCCATAAAAAAGGTTAATATCCTTAGAAATTTTGTTTCCAAGGCTGATTTGTAGGTTTAGAAGTTCAAAGGCTATTATCACAATATGAAGGAAAACGTGAGAGAAAATATTTAAACTTTAAAGAGAAACAAATGAAGTCCATTTCCTTGGTGTCTAACCTGGTCATGGCAACCTCTTAGCTTCCAATGACACAAGTACAGCCCGTGGGCACGCGTGCTGCAGGTCTGCCCCTGCTGGTATGGTTTACAGCTGTGTTTTGCAGGTGTATTACATTTCATCTCTGCATGACCCTCTCAGGTTAGCAACTCCACTGGACAGTCAAACCTGCTCAGAACCAGAAGGGACTTATCCACAGGTGTCTGCCACAGGGCAGCAAGTCAGCAACACAGCCAGGGATCTGTACCCAGGTTTCTTTGTCCTCTAATTTCTCAGCAGATTAAGGTATTAGATGCACTATCTATTAAATACAGACATGAAGCTGCTCTAAAAGGCAGCTGCTTACCCAACTACAGGGAAATCAAAAATGTCTGCATTTGCACTAAAAAAGTACAGAATTTATTTGTTTATTTAACATGCTGGCATGTTTTTGAAAAAAATACAGAATTTAAAAATATAGAACACCTTACCAGTTCAAAGTCTTCAAGGTGGTTTTCTAGGTCATTTTTCGAAGTCTCTCCTCTAGCTGATTCAGAACTGTGATGTGTGCGGTATCTACCCATTGAATCAGAGGAAGTGGACTCTAAGTGGGGCTGGCAGTTCTGCTCAGGAGTCACATCCAGTGTTGGAGGAAAAGGAGGGTCACCACTGAGACAAAGAAGAAAGACTATTTTCAAATGCATTCCAACATCCACAGAATCAATCTGTGCCATTATAAAAAACGTGCCGCTCACATATTCTCGTCTGGTTCTGACTGAGATCCTAGCTACTTTTTGGTCTAATTTTAGAGTGTGAATTTATTTGTATATCTGCATGCCAATATTACCATTATTAATTCTCTGTCCAGATTTTATTCTCAAGGCCCTCAAATCTCTAAACTGTATAAAGATAGGTCAAAGTATTATACTTGATTCCTAGTTGTTAGTTCAAGGCCGAGGCTAATTTTATCAGAAGATTAATATATATTTCAACTGAATTAAGAAGGAAAGACTAACTGTCTCATTCCTGGAGTTATCTGGGTGACAGAATAGAAAAAAACAGGAAAAAAACCCCACAAACATTTAAAACAACTCCGGGTGGGCCTAGATAGAACTGAGACTCAACCAAACCTCAAATGTACGAGCAACTTTTAGAGGCCCTGATGCAGTCATTCCTTTGTCTGCTTCTACTCTCAGTCAGTGCTTCTTTTCCCATCTTAGTTGTCCTGCTTTCTGCAAATTTTTCTTCCCACTCCCTTCCCTGTGTAATTTGTTCTAATCTTCCATTGCATCACTACCTAAATAAATCTCTTCCCTTTTTGACTGAGTAGTATTGAAAACCAATTTTCTCAATTACTAATAAACATGCTCAAAAGAGAAGCCAGGCTCAGGTTGCCAGGTTAGAGTGCTTCTTGCTTTACTAGATAAAAGTGTTAATCACAATAGCTCGACACTGAATAAAGTCATCATTCCCCAAACACTGAGAAGTTCACACACACACACACACACACACACACACACACTCCCTCTCTCTTTCTGTCTTTGTCTCTCTCACTCTCTCTCTCTCTGCTGCTACTGCTGCTAACATCAGCTGTTTTCAGTGTGAAGCATAAAACCGACAATACCTGTCCTCAAACTCTGCTTTGCTGGGTACTTTCTGAGGACAGTAAAACAGGGTGCACACGGCATGTTCCTCACTCCTGGGAGCTGCATTCTGACTCTGTGCCTGGGATACCATGTTGTGTAGGGGCTGGTGCAAAGCTGAACTGCAGGCCATACTTGGCATCTTTGCTGGAGCTTTCACCACGTCATCCTCTCCGTTCCCGCTGCTGTCGCTGTAGCTATCGTTCCTGGAGGGGCACTTGCATGGCTTCCTGTTCCTGTCGGACATTTCGGTTCTGTCTGAGCTGGTGCTTTGCTCCACGCATGATGGCTGAGAAGGGTCTTCACTGCTGCTTGGAAGCACTTGGGCTGGAGAGTGCAGTGGGGTCTGTAAGAGACACATTTTAAAAGGCCAGATGGTGATAGCTTACATAAACTTTAGAAGCACTCAACTGGAAACAAACCTGTAGGATGACTGCACTTCCTATCAAAACAGGCAATTTTCTGAAGAAAGGTAACTTAAAATCATTACAGGAAAAAATGTTATAAACAACAATGGCTAATATTGTATTGCTTATAATTTAAATCAGAATTACATCCTACTTTTAAAATTTAAGTTTCTGAACTCCTCAAATATGCTTTGCAAATAATTTTAATAATCACCTATTAATCCTAAGAATGACTATACCTTTAACTTGTTTCAGTCTTTTCCTTTTTGGCTACAGAGTTGTTTTTCAGTTATTCGTATTAACAGAAATCTAGGAAAGCTTCTTTGTGCATATATAAATTTTCATCTGGCTTTCTATATCACTGTAATTTTGTATACTAACCAACATGGGATTTTTTTTTTTAATGCTTTGCTAAATATTTTCTGATTGCTTTCCCAGTGTCATCTCCTAAAATGCTCTATAAAGGTGGTGGGGCGGGGGGGGGGTGTTAGCTCAGTGATGCAGTGCCTGCTCAGCAAGCCCTAGTGCAGGGGTTGTGACATCTGTCCCCGACACTCCTGCTCTCTAAAGCCCAGTCACCATTTACAGCAGAGCTGCAATCTGATGCAGACAAATGAGAGGCAAACCTACTTTACTCGTGTTAGTATTCACGAGTGAATACTAGGTGTGGACTCCTACCTGCTGTCTGCAATCTGTAAACCACCACTGGAACAGATTTTGGATCTTCTAGCCAAACCTTGGCAAGAGCAGAACTCAATCATTCCCTATTCTTTATTTAAAAAAAAAAAGCTCAAAATCTTAATTCATTTTTATGCAAATAAGTTTAATCCTCAATGAAAAAATGGACATAAGACTTTTGTAATCATGATTTTATTTTTTCCATTTAAGCTTAGAAGACATATTGCTGAAGTCCCAGCATTTAGGACTTTAGAAATGAAAAGAAAGCAAAAGTGAATTGTGAATTGATCACATCTTGGGCGGGGGGGTGGGGGTGGGGGGTGGTGGCACAGAAATTAAGGCCGGGGAGTGCTGAGCTACATCGTTATTCCTTCTCATTTTTATATTTTGAGACAAGGTCTCACTAGTTGCCCAGGCTGGCATGACCTTGTGATCTCCTGCCTCAGCCTCTGGAGTAGCCAGGATTATAGAAACACGCCGCTTTGTCTATTAAACTGACCACATTACAAACAGGAATGTACAAACATGACCCAAGACAGCACTCCCGGTAAAGCGTTAGCTGGGATGAAGTACAGGAGACTGAGCCATGAAGAAAGCACCTCTGGCTCAATCGACCAGTCACTGAACAGGACCCTGTAAAAGATGGGCTACGTCTTCTTACCAGAAGAGCAGCATCAAGTTCTGGCAGCACTCCAGGGGGAGGTCTACAGAGAAGCAAGCACACTTCTGGAGCTGTTCCTCGGAGAGCAGATATCACTTCCTGGGGTGCCGAGAGAAACACATGGGGACACACTATCAGTCGGCATGGAGGCCAGTCTGCAAGGCTCCTCAGCTCCTCCTCACCTGGGGACCCACCTGCTGTGACAGGCCTTTCAGAGAGGCCCCGTTCACCTTCAGGATGACGTCTCCCGCACAGATCTTCCCACTCTCTGCAGCTGGCTGACCAGGGAAGAGCTTTTTAACCCTCACTATGCTGGTGTTCACTTGTTCCGGTATAAGATTATCTTCTCGAGAAAAACTGAATCCTAAGCCCGAGCTATTTTTAAGCAGTTTTACCTCAAATATATTTTCTGGAAAAAAGATGTAAAAATTAAGTATTTTAAAATTGTGCATGTACACAAGCATACACAAACTATGCTTTTAACTATATTTTAAAAACCCTATTTCCCCTTCTGTATGCATACAATGCTCCTTTACATTACACTGAAATCCTATTTTTCAATTTCTGTCATTAAGAAAATTTAATGAACAACATGCAAGGACTAAGCTGTTTGGACAGAAAAGCATAAAGGACAGTTTAATGGGGTGGGCAAAGTGAGGTGATCCAGAGAACAGGAGGTAAAAGAGAGACTTAGCTGAAAACAGCAGAACTTAGCATTCAGCAGAATTCAGGAAAGAACAGCAGAATAAATGCTAGCTGAGGGTATGGGAATATATTTTGGTGACGTCTAACTTAATACAGAAAAATTACAAGGGCATTCTAAAAACTCTCAGCAGCAAAATATAGGAACAAAGATCAGAAAAAACAAAACAAACAAAAAAACCCACAATGAAAGGATGATAAAAAAGAGCAGTGTGACAAAAAAAAAATACATTATTATTTTTATTTTCACAATCAGGAAAAATAATGCAGGCCTGGACTACCTTATTTTGGCATTAAGTTAGAGCTGCTAACATTTGTGTGATCAAGCGAGATTTTAAATAAAAGACAAACCAAGATTGTGTGCCACCACCACGTTTTTAAGGTAAAGAGCCTTTAAGCTCTAAGAGGCAGAAAGTTGGAGTCTCAGATAAACATCACTCCAGTTTTACAAATCCAAGAATCCACTACTACGTCACTCTTAATTTTTTAATTTTACCACTAATTGGTGAATTTGTATGGCTCACAAATTTTGATGAAGGACCAGTATTTGGGAACTGTTAGATGGAAGGCTGCCTAGCCATGAATTGTAAATCTACAAGTAAAAATTGTATTTTGAATAATGAAGCAGTAATTCACAGTGCCACACGAGAGTTTCCCAGGCCTGACCTTCAGTAACAAAGCCGTAGTCTTTGCCAGGAGTTGCTTTCTGCACCACTTTTTCTGACGCTTGACCTTGTGGGTTCTGGTCTGGAAGGGTGCACTGCAGGGTCACAGGGATGTGTTCTCTGGATGCCTGTGGCTGTCCTTTTTCTAACAGTAGATGAACCATCTGTATAAATGGAATAGCACTTCATTAATTAGGAAGAGTAACAAAGAAACAGTATCAGGACTTCACACAGCTGGAATATAAAACAATTCAAACTAGCCACCTGTTCTACCAAAATATAGTTAGAGGGGGAAAAAAACAGACAAAAGAAAGGTTTGAAAGTTTCAAAATCAAGTTTTTATTACTTTCCTGTATAAAAATGTTAATGATTAGAATCATTAAAAATATTATTAAAATCATTAGGAAAAAAATTCCTACTAAACTATAATATAAAAGCCACTGTAAATATAAAAACCATTATAAATAATTTGGTAATTCCCAAATCCAAAATGTAAACTGGTTTCTCTTCAGACTGCATAAATCTTTTGTCTTCTTTACCAAAACTTATCTGAATAAATGAATTTAGCTTTTGATCTGAAGAATGAATAGAAGCGAAAAAAACCACTAAAAACTAGTAATGTTTATGAAACACTTAAAAAGTCCAGTCTCCATCCCCTCCCCTCATTCTTCTTTGGTAATATTAGGACTAAACAAGACACTGAAAGCCAGCTTCCTCAGTAAAAACTTTTCTGTAACACTACTCAGTTTGAGAGGCAAAAAACAGACCCAGGGTGGTTAATAAATCAGGCTTGGTTTCTTGATAAACAAATGCAGAGGTCTCTATGCAGCTGATACTGTTCACATATTCTGGTGTCTCTTTCGGGGATCTTAGCAGGTTGGTACAATGATTCCCCACCTGTCCCGTATTCCTCAGGATTTCCACAGCTTGTTTATGAGTGGCTCCTTCCAGACTCACTCCATTGACAGCAAGCACGCGATCACCTAAAATTAGGCAGGAGTTTTGAAAGGAAGAAACCATCACAATTTACATGTTTACACCTGCTAGCTTTATTTCACATTAATTTGAGGACAGAGCCAGACAAGTTCTGGACAAAACTGTTTCATATCTTCTTAAATATGTCATTTAGTTTCTAGTTCCATTCTACAACTAATCTTCATTATATTCTAGAATACCTCTATAAAAATCAATCTACATCATAAAAAAGCTAAACTACAAATGTAGAGAACAAAGGCAAGGCCCTAGTTAGTTCTTGGAAATGTAAACGTCAGTCTTTCTGCGAGAGCAGTCACTTTGCTCTCTCCATTCACTGGCAACTCGCTTACTAACAGGTAACTCTGTCTATGTATCTTCTGATACTAAGACCTAAGATAAAAGAAGACTTTTTAAGGTAGTATCAAAGACTCTCTTAATGCATTATTAAGTGAGTTTGTTTTTATTTCATATTATAAATTTAAGTGTTTATAGCGAGTCTATTACTTTTTATTTATAGGATGTGATATCTGTACATATAATTCCTATACACACAAAAACATACCCTTGTGAATTCTACCATCAGATTCTGCTGCCCCCTTGGGAATAACAGCTTTCACATAAATTCCACCATGTTTGACACTAGTATTCACACCTCCCTAAAGAGACAAAGAAAATAACATTTCATAACATGAAAAACTTGTACTGTCAAATCTGAACATTAAAAAGGATGCAGTTGACCAGACGAAGGAGTAGCATTAATTTCACATGTGCAATTATTTCAATACCAAGAGTATTGTTAGCTAAGTTTTCCACATGTCAAAGTTACTTCTTTTTGGCAAACTATTCAATTCAGTAAATAACAACATACTACATCTCAGCTATACGAGCTATATGCTCTTCCTTTGTAAGTCTATATCATGCATTACAAGCAAGCAAAAAGCAAAATCCATCTACGCAAAAGTAGTGTGAGAACATAATAATAAAAAAACAGTGTAAGGAATAATACTTTCAGATCATATTCGCAAATTTGAGAGCAAATGTGCCAAGCCAAGGAAAAGACTTTTTATAATAGTTGTTTTTTTTAAATCAGGGATTGAACTCACAACTTCATGCTTTCCAGGCAGGTGCTCATGCTGCTGAGCTAAATCCTGGACGACATTTTATAATAATTTTAAAAGGCTCATTTTAGAGAAGATTTAGGCAAAATGTAGTAAGTTTTCTATCTTTTATGGATATGCAGGTTTTAATTTCTCTTTACCATAGAAAGATAGAGATGTATAGAGAGACAGAGAGAGAGAGAGAGACAGAGAGAGAGAGAGAGAGAGAGAGAGAGAGAGAGAGAGAGAGAAAGTGTTAAAAATTATTTTTAAAATTAATTTTATGACTGGGTGCGGTGGTAGATGTCTGTAACCCCAGCACTTGTAGGCTGAGGCAGGAGGTATGCCATGAGTTTGAGGCTAGTTGGGGCTACATTGTGAGTTCAAGGTGAACCTGAACTCCATAGAAGGACCCTGTCTCAGAAACTCTCCCAAAAAAGTTTTTTTTATTCATACATTTAGATATACCAAATGATCACATTCATCATAGGGAATTTGTACTTGTACATAATATATTTTAACTTTTCTGAAAGTATTTTAAAATATCCTAGAAAATTAGGGTTTTTAAAAATCTCAATATATTTGCAGGGCTATTTCTCCTATGTTTCTGAATGGTTTTTCATAACTTTCAAAATTTTTTGGAATGTAATAAATGATGAAATTCTAGTTTAAGAATAGGTAATTCATCAGTATGATTCTAAAATAATTTTATCGAATAGCCCATGCTTGTATTTAAACTACCTTAAAGATACTTATTTTTTGGAATGTGTAATTTTAAACTATTAAACATTTTTACAAGTATTCTGTATTTTACAGAAAGGAGATACAATAACCAAAGTTTTAATTAGTCATGACCTAGGTTAAAGATCATCTTATTAGTCCATGCACATGCAGAAATGTCAAGTGTATAAAAGCATACACATTCATTTTATATTTTGCATGTCTCATATTCAGATTAAGTGAGCATGAAAGGCATGTTTATAATTTTTTTAAATAGGAAAAAATGAACAAAGTTCAATTTTAAAAAAAGCTTTAAGATGATTAATTTTAAAATTTTATGAATATTTGATTAGTGCTTCATATGAAGCAAAATAGTTCAACTAATAAGTTGCTATGTAACAGGCTGTGGGAAATGAAGAGAAAACATGTGAAAACCTTGTCAAACAGTACCGTGACACTTATCCCCAAGCTGTTCTTATTTTTAGCCAGTTCAACCTCAAAGACATCTCCAGGTTTAGAAGGTGACGAAGAAAAGGCTTTAAAATTCATTTTGTTGGGTTCATTCTCTGCAGAGGAAGATTCCTTAACAAAGAAAAACAAAAACGAATTTCTTGTTAAGATCAAAATTAATTACCAATCGAAGACAAATATGTGTTTTTTGGGAAAAAAATAAAATACAAAATACTAGAGGATAAAGTTAGAGTGTAATAAAAAACAAAAGGGTTGGGAGACTCTTTAAGAGATCACCTTGTCCAAGGCATTCATTTTTATGGCTGAGGAAACGTCTGGAGTTTGAAGTGCTTGTTTAAGGTCAAACAGCAAGAGATGGCCGAGCAAAGCCTAGATCCTAGCTAGAACAGAGCCTCTCTATAATCCTTGTTTACTTTTTATATTTCCAAGGTCCTCAAATACTCCCATTTGCTTTAAAAATCTGTCTATCCATCCATCCATCCATCCATCCATCCATCCATCTATCCATCTCTATCTCAAGTGGGGATTTTGCCTGGAACCTCTAAGATGCGTGAACCTTGTGTTCTGTTTTACTTATGTTTGAAAACTTATCTGCATAAGAATAACAGCTAAGTCCTGTCTGTAAGGGCAGAACCCTCTTGTGAGGAATACTGATCTTCAGTGAGCAAGAGGTGTGAGGTTTTTCTCTAAAATTGTGAATGAGAGCTTACCTTTCCATCATTCCTAGGAATGTGCTACTTTCATTGCTATTAGTATCCATCCAAAGTTTCAGATCTTAGGCTATAAACAGTAAATCAATTGCCTATTCAGAAAACAATTTTTAGATACTGGAGTTTTTTTCCTAACATGTTAAATATGCAAGAGGCGATCAACTTGTAAGAAATGATTTGTAATTTGAGTACAGTCATTTCAGGGTTAGCGTCAGAGCTCATACTTACTCTACAAGCTAGCATGGAACGCAGAGCTAGCAGTTAGTAGCAGAGTACAACCATCCTTCCTTTCCAAAAATCATGGAAGCAGCTTTTAGTCAGTCATAGTACTCTTTGACATATTCGTGATTGTATGCTTTGTTAAATGGAAAACACAAACAAACAAAAAATTAAAACATGCCTTTTTTGGTGTCTGGTGGTCTTGGCCACTGGAGTAAGTGGCTTCGTCCATGTCTGAGTCTCCACCGTCAGAGTAATCTGTTGCATCAGAGATGGCTGGTTTTCCAGTTTTGCTACGGATACTGTCAGAGGAAGTTCTTTTTCTCTCGATGGCTTTTGATATTACCGATGGGGAAGGGCTGCCGCGCTGGGATTCCTGCCAGGCTCGGTCACCTAAATGGCTGGCAAAGATACCATTGACCTGGCCTGGGGACAGACTGGCACTCTCCGTCCTGGAGTCCTGAGAACTCAGGCTTCCTTCCCGCAGACCCCCAGGCAGCACGCAGGAGCCTTCTGTGAGCTGCCTCAGGGTACCCCGGGGCCAGGGGACATCCTCCAAAGAATCCACTATGATGTCCCGGGCGTAGAACGGCTTCTTCATGTAGTTTTTAATCTCACTGACCAAATGCACAGGAGAAGAAGGTACTGCAAGCCAAGGTTGAAGAAGAGAATTATCAAGTTATGGTTACACTCATACAAAAGGCTCCTGAAGGTCACTGAGGAGTCTCAACATGGGTAAAACACCTCACCCAGGCCCTGGAGCCACAGCAGAGGCCCTGCAAATGGTAGACTGGTAGGATTTTTCTCGCTCCCCTTTTGGTGGTTCTTGACAACTTTTTAATTTTTATTTTATTTTAAGGAGAATAAAACCCAACAAACAAAACAGGATAAAGTCAATCAAAACACAGTAGAGAAAGTGATACATAATTTCAACACATGACAAAAGGTGGTCAACAACGGCTATCCCAGTGTATTTTGTTATTTTCACAGTAGTGGTCCATTGCCTCAGACAGTAAAATCGAATGAAACAAAACAGAATAAAACCAATCAAAACAGAGCATGGAATAAAACAAGACAATAAATCAGAACAAAATGATACAGTGAGGATAACACATCTTTTCGCTCTGCTCTTCCCAGCCCAGCTTGGCCTCTGCAGACTCATGGAAACAGAGGCTGGCTTCTCTTTTCCTGGCCCCCTTAACAACCTTTATTAAAGTATGTGCTTTTCCCCACCTCCTTCTCCCTTTCCCTCTCCTTTTTTTCTTTCTCTTCAGACTAGCCTTGAACTTGCTATGCAGCACAGGGGACCCTCTTACCTCAGCCTCTTGAGTGTTGGGATTATAGGTGTGCTGGCCTAAAATGTATACCTTTCTGTGTGTGTATGTGTTTTAAGACAGGCTCTCACTGTGTTCAGGCTAGCCTTGAACTCACTTGTGTAGTACAGACTGGCCTCCAGCTCATGGTGATCCTCCTGCCTCAGCCTCCAGAGTGGGTGCTTGAATTACAGGTGTGCACACACCACACCTGGCCAAAATGTGTGCCTTTTTTTCTTAACTCCCCATCTCACTTGTATTCTCCAAGTCTCATTTTTTTCCTTACTTTTTATTGTAATCAGAAAAAAACCACATAAAAGAAAAACAAAAAAACAAAAAACTCCAAAACAGTAACAATACAGGCTTTAAAAACAAGAGGAATTTAACAATGGCTGTTATTACAAGACTCATTTTACATCAACGGCCTGTGAAGATTTTCCAGATTCCACAAGTAATTTATACTTGCTTTGTGTCATCAACATTCTTGGTCCTTCTGCCCTGACTCCCTCATTCTTTCCTGCCCTCTTTCCTTTCTCTGTAATGTGCTGGGGACATAACCCAGCACACACGATGAGCAAGCACTGTACCAATGAATTGTACCTATGGCCCTCACGCTCCTCATTCATGAAACAGTTCTTTGCATACTTGCTGCATATTTTCCAGATAGCATTTACTGGACTTCAAGTCATTATCAAGGAGGGCAACTCTAAATTCCTGATATGTAATTCTTATCAGAAGCATTTACGAAAACTTTCTGAAGACAGAAACTGAAAGAGACACATGGAAAAGAATTATAGATGTAAAAAACAAAAAGCTTCTGCACAGCAAGGGAAACAACAGAAAACAGCATACTGAATGGGAAAAAGTCTTCTCCAGCTATTCTTCCAACAGAGAATTAATAAGTAGGATATATAAAGAAAAAGTCCAACCAATAAATAGGCAACGAATTGAACAGACATCTTTCAAGAGTAGAAGTGTAAATGTCAATTAAATGTATGAAAAAAATGCTCACCATGGTTAGCTGTGAGGGAAATGACTGAGAGGACAGGGTCCTGTCAGAAACTAACACTAGAGCTACCCACTGGTCCAGGATTACCATGCCTTTGTGTACACCTGAGGGAATTAAAGTCAGCACATTACAGGGACACCTGCATACCCATGTGTACTGTGCCACAATTCACAACAGCTGGTACCCATCGGCAGAAGACTGGGTAAAAAAGTTATATACAATGGAGTATTATTCATCTGTAAAGAAAGAAGAATTTTGTCACTTGCAGGAAAAATGGGTGTATCTGGAATCATGCTGAAGAAAATAAAGCAGATTCAGACGAATACTGCATGTTCTCACTAATATAGGGACTCTAGAAAGATGATATGAGAAGGAGAAGGGAGACTGTCAGGCTGTACCCTTCCTGCCTGCCAGCAGAGGCACTGTTCCCAGCTCAGCTCAGCACCAGGCATGCCTTCAGCAAACACAGGCTGTAGTAAGAGACAGGATGGAACAGGGGACCTTCCCAATACCCAGGCATCTGGAGATACCCAAACACTTACAGTGGACACCTCAGGGTCTTTGCCTCTGAGGCACAAAACATCCAGAGAGCTTTGACCACTGAGGTTTACTAAGATCTTCCCACTTAGGGTCCCTGCCTTCTTATGAGCCTGTAAAAAAGGGTCCGCACCTCTGCTCCTACAGAGGCCTTTCTACTCTGTTTGCCTGCACCCAGTACAGTATATTCCACACCATGCTGCCTTTATACAAGCCCATGTTTCTGCCTCACACTCTCCTTACAGAGGATATAACTGGATAAAAGGAACGTAGGGAAAAGGAAAAGGGTGTAAGAGAAGGAAGGTAATGGGGGATGGAAATATCCATCCATCCCTGCCCAGGACACAGGGTCTACTCTCACTGAGGTACATTCCTCCAGCCTTTTCTTGGAGTGGGAGTGGATTCTCACCAAGTTACTAATTGGCCCAGGCTGGGTTTGAAGGTATGGCTCTCCAGCCTGTTTCCCAGAGTTTTGGATCATAGGTGTACATCACCATGCCTGGCTTGTTCAAAAAATACTGTGAGCAATGAAACTTACTATTTTGAAAAAAATCTGGAGATGATACAGGACATGGCTTTAAAAGGATCGTTTTACCAACACAGCTGAATTGTAGCTAAATTCCCCAGGGCCCATCAAATCATATCAACAGGTCAAGTTCTTAGGGCAACAGTTTATGGGCAGCCCTAACTGAATACACATGAATGTTAAAAAATGAGCATCACAGGGGATTTAGCTCAGCTGCATAAGCACCTGCCTTGCAAGCAGGTGGTTGTGAGTTCGATCCCCGGTACCGATTTAAAAAAAAAAAAATGAGCATCACAGTTAGAACTCAAGAAAGTATTTTCCACTAATATATGGGATAAAAATAATGAATAATGCACATATGGGATGTATGTGTTTACGTCTGGTGCTTCACTATTTTTCAAAAATACTATTAAAAATGAGCTAAAATGCACATGTAGGTGATTAGTGATTAGTGAATCCCAGGTCTGTACTGATTTTTTTTTTTTTTTTTTTTTTGGTCTTTTTCCTTTTTTATCGGTACCAGGGATCGAACTTGTACTAATTCTTACACCGTATTACTGACTTTTCATACTCTACGAAATGTCACCATTTGGTCTCTGACCCACTGCGAAGCCCAGTGAGTCCTGGTACTTGCTTGAGGCACAGACTCAAGTGGAGCCGGAGTGGTGCTGGGCTGTGGAGCCTCTGGCACTGCCTGGGGCACTGTGCTGCCCCTACCTGGCTATGCACAGTTCTCCCACAAGCACCTGCCTACCACCTGCTGCTCCGAACAGCTCTGCAAGGCAAGACACAGATCATGGTCTCCTCTTTCAGTGGCTCAAGAGACTTTAATTCACAGACTAATAAATAGCAGGGAAAACTTAAACCCAGGCTTTTTGGTCTATTCACATGCCTTTTCTTCTACAGTGTGCTAATGACAGGGATTAAAAGACAAAATATGGCCTCATTTTTAAGCTTCTGGTTTGCTGTTCTTTTCCTTTTTCCTTTATTTATTAACTTATTTAGTCTTTCTGAGATAGGGTCTCGCTGTGCAATTCAGGCTGGCCTAGCACTCACTTGGTAGCCCAGGCTGGTCTTCAGCTCACCACGATTCTCCTGCCTCTGCCTTCTGAGTGCTGGGATTACAGGTGTGCACCCCTGTACCTGGAATCTTTTCTTTTTTATAAAAGAAAGATTATGGACAGGACTTCATCGATTACTATCATATAACCATATTACTTACCCCGTGATAAAGAATTCTATTTCCTACTAGACCTGAATAGACATGGAACAACCAAGTACTCAGAATTTATTTGACTTTTTTTCTTGTGGTATACTGGGATTGAGTTTAGGGTCTCATGGATACGCAAATGCTCTAACACTGAGCAATATTTCCTACATTTTAAATTTAATTTAATTTTTTATTCTGAGATAGGGTCTCCCTAATTTGTCCAGGCTGGCCTTGACCTGCCCTCCTGATTACCAGCAATTACAGGCATGACCATCATATCCAGCAGGTGACACTAATTGTGTGCAATCAATCTATTTCCTGTATGTGTTACTAAATAGAAACAAGTAAGGTAATCTTGGAATAGTAAATGAAATGCGACACTGAAGCATAAAGTTAAAGAAGTTAGAAGCACAAATGTCAAACTACTGGAAAAAAAGTAAAGCGGCTTAATTCTAATTTCCTGGGCTAGCATACTGAAGTGCTTATGAGAAGCGCAAACAAACACAGAACTAAGAAATGATCGCATTACCTTTGGGTATTTTTTCCTTTGGCTGAGAGATAACAAGTGTCACATCTTCAGGTGCATTCTGCAAAATTTCAACTGCAGCATGGTGGCTGACCCCCTCCAGACTCACACTATTCACAGATATCAAGCGGTCTCCTGCAAAAACAGACCACAGTTTAATCTTGCATTCCCCACAGCAAAGGGAGTATCATGCTAAACCTTAGAAATGTCATCTTGTCTTTACTAGTTTGTTTGGTCTAAGCTTCACTTTGCCTTCTTTTCAAATTCATACCTGCTTATTAGTAAGTACTTAGGAAGCTATCAAAACACGAAGTACCTGGCTTTAAGCACCCATCCAAGTCAGCCGGTCCTCCAGGGGTAATGGAGCTGATAAACACACCTAGATCCAGCCTTCCCATCTTCTCTCCACCAATAATCTGAAATCCTGTAAACATATGTTTAAAAACATCTTCAAACAGCAACGTGGAGATGGAGGTCAAACATGATTAACAGGTAACACATTTGACATGGAACTAACTGTGTGAAGTCTGCTGGACGTATTTTTTGCGGGTACCTCCTCTTAGGGGTCTGGTGATTGGGTGAGGTGCTAGGTTGCAGGGGTGCAACAAGTATCTTGATGGGAAGTGGCTGTTGCCTCAGTGTCAACGCTATGCCTCAGGTTATTTTTCTTTGGCTTTTCACAGATCTTCAGGAACCTCATGATGACTTACCTAAGCCGTATTTTGAATCTTTCTTCAGGTTCACCAATGCAATCTCCCTTTCTGGTGATGACACGATGCTCCATCTTTTGTGTAGCACATCTATTAGGAATTTATAAATTTAAAAGAAAATAAATGTAACATGCTCAAGCATAAATAAAACTAATGATAAAGCAATAAAACTGCCAGCTTGCTCTAATTTAAACATCAATGAATACTGTTAACAGACTGCTCACACTTTAAAAATATACTTTGCATTTACAGGTATTGCTGTCACAGTCTTACAGTGATTTCTAGTTTATAAAACAATGATTATCACATTTATTTCTTATAAGTTAATCTGTTGGAATTGATACATTTCAGTTACAAATGGGTGAATAAATTTTGAGAGGATAAATGAGTTGAACAGATTGTTGACTAGCATAAAAAAAGAGCTCTTCCCTCAACGTGGGTTTCCTGGTTCCAGGCATTTGTGTGACACTGCATTTGACAAGTCAATGTATTACGGATTATCTTCCAACAAACCATTATCAGAGAGATGCTTGGAGTCAATAAATGCTGGCTAAATAAATTAAATGAAAGTCAGCATCAGAATTAAAAATTTTTTTTTCTGATCTCCACTTAGCTTTTTAAAAATTTTTTTTGGTCTTTTTCCTTTTTATCGGTACCGGGGATTGAACTAACGACTGCCTGCTTGCAAGGCAAATGCTTATGCTGCTGAGCTAAATCTCCAGCCCTTCCACTTAGCTTTTTTAAGTACGTTAATCATTCACAAATATATTCTTAACTAAATAAAAAATATGCTTAATTGCCATGTTATTCAAGTTAGTTCATCTATTTAGCAATGCAAGTATTTAAACATGTAATTCTTAAAATCAATTACAATTTGATAGCGCAAAAATGGCCTGTGTATTGACCTGGTAGCGATTGTGAGTTCCACACACTTACAAAGGTTTTTTTGTACATTGAATATTCAGATTCAGGGCTGTGTCATTCTTAAGCATTTTGAAACTTTGAAAAGTAGAGATTATGGCATATCTAAAACACAAACCTAAATTTCCTTAAACTTTATACACATTTTAAAAACAACTAAATTACTGTGAACAGACTTTATGTCTTTGCCCAAGGGATGTAAATATGATACATTACATTCTAGAAACACATTTTTTTGGTTTTGGAAAAAAATATTAACTATCATTTCCTCTTGGGAGTGAATCAATCATATATCTTAAGCACCATGTAAGTTATGTTTGTTAGCTCCTCATAATGCATAAAGTACTAGTCAGTTGTTTCTTTTTGGAAAAAAAGTTATAATTAGTAAAGGTAGTTGTAATTTCTAAAGATTTTATTAACAATATGATAGAAATATCACCGTACAGTGGTAGAAAGAGCTTTACATATTAGTCCTAAGCAAAAGTCCGTGCATAAGGATCTAGCTTAATGACTATGTCCCACGTTTCTTGTTCTAAAATAACCAGTAGGCACTAGTTTTCAACTTTTTAACTTTTGCTACAAAAAAAAAACACAACAAAAATCATAAAACACAGTGAAATAAATAAGGGGAATTACTGGTGAGATGGGAAGAATTGAGATCAAGTTCTAGAGTGATTAACTGATGACTATTTTCAATTTCCACCTCTCAAGTTAACAGATCTAAGCACTTTACTGACGAGGAATTGTAGTTGGAAACATTAAATTCATTACTTTACAATACCTGGGAAGTGCAAAAATGCCCAGGCAATACAGACAGAATAAAATCCACCTAGGACTAGATTGGTGCCATACTCAACCACTGTACACAGTGTTTCCACCTTGGGGAACGTATTCAGTCAGAGTTAAAATGCTTTGTTTTTATTTTCAGCATAATGTACAAACAGGACAGGTCATTAGTCATCTGGCCGGTAAGTGGGTGTGTGTGTTTTTCACTCCTTCACCAGAAGGGAAGAGCTCTCCGCAGTCCAGGGTTCGCCACTGTGCTTAGCTTTCACCCAGCCATTCCTTCCCTAGATTAGCATCTCCTTCACATCTAACTGCAACTCTCTTGTGTCTCTCTCTCATTTAAGTTCTTTGAGAAATAAAGGAGGTGATGAGTGTGAAATCTTATAGCACAGCAAATGCGAGGGAAAAAAAGCAAAAAGTTAGCTCATTAAGGACGCAGAATCTCTTGCACATTGTCAATCAAATACATTACAAAGGTGCGGGTGGGTCATGTCTACTCAGGAGTCCTAAATGTGCTCATGGGGAGAGGCTTCTTCCTGCTGGAAGAGGTGTCAATGAAGTAGGGTAGGGTTTCCTAAGTGGGTAGAGGGACTCACGGGGACAGGGCAGCAAGTTAGACGTTCACAGGAGCTGCAGGGAGACTGAAAGCATCCCGGGAAATGGCCAGAGAACAGGACTGGAATGACGACTAGACCAGAAGGGAAACTCTGCTAGCCCACAGCCCACTTCTCTGTTCACACTGTGATGTCCAAAATCCTTTCGCATTGATTTTTTAAACCTGTGAGGCAGCATCTGATATTGTAAGGTACGTACATGACAATCTATGCAAATATTCATAATATCCAATGAGGACTGAATATTTTGCTTTTCTGTAAGTGAAACAGGTTTCTTTTTTTTTTTTTTTTTTTTTTTATCGGTACCAGGGATCGAACTCATGACCGCCTGCTTGCAAGGCAGGTGCTTATGCCACTGAGCTAAATCCCCAGTCCCAATGAAACAGGTTTCTTAAGGAGCATGACTTTTCTGAGTTATTTTAATTACCATATGAAAGCACACATTAATATTCAAGTATTTAATTTTAAATCCGTAATTTTCCTTTATATGCTACCATCATGAAAAAGTTTACAAGTAATAAAGTGATAAAACCTCAGCTTGTAGTTCTCCAGGTAACACAGTATGCTGCGAGATCCCCAGGCCTGCCCCCCCCCCCCCGGGACAGTCTGAGAAGAACTGATGGGTGCATCAGAGAGACCGAGTGCAGCCTCTCGGGACTGGTGACTTGGTCCAGTGCTGCCATGCCAGGTTGCACTAGCATGCACGAGGCTGAGGGCAGCCCTGTCAGGATGATGTAAAGCGATGCTAGTGACAGGCATGTGACTCATAGTTAGACTGCCAGTAAAAGCATGGCTCTGGCAGTGTCAGAGCTACACTGGAGAAGTGGAGGAGCTCAAGGAAGTAGGGCAGGCTTGGTGAGTGCAAAGATGGTTAAAAATAAAAATGTGCATCAATCCAAGAACGTGTGTGTGTGTGTGTGTGTGTGTGTGTGTGTGTGTATGTGTGAGAGAGAGAGAGCTACCCAGTGCCTCACGCACACTGAAGTCAAACTTTTCTGTAACACACAGCTCTGAGGCCATCGATAGGATGGGAAGGCTACTACTGGTGGGAGGGGTCCTGCAGACCAGGCGGCTGAGGCTCTGGGAAGCCCATCACCTCCGACGAAGACCTACTTCAAACCTTGAGAATAAATGGTCAGTAGCACCACACTGGCACACAAACAGAGAGGCATAACTTGCGCTGTTGCACCATTTAAATTGTCATCTATTCTAGTGGAAAGGAGGAACATAATTAAAGTTTTAGTTTTCTCTATCAGCTCCTGTAAAGTCAGCTGGGACCACATGGCATTTCAGGCCCATTCAAATCATCTATAGAATAAAAAGACATGGATTGAAGAAACTTTCAGTTTACAAATTTAGTTGACTATCTTTGGTATCCAATTAGTTCTCCTGTTTATTCAATACTTTACGGGAACTTCAGAATTTTTTAAATTATAATTTTCAACTTTGCAGGTATTCATATTAAACTTTAGTGAGGGGAAAACTAGCATTTGAAATTACCATGGCTCCTGGTATTTGACTAAACAAATGTTTTAAAATCTTGTTCCAGTTATTTAGTATTTCATTAAAAGGAAATAATGGGTCTTAATATTGAATGCTGTTTATTTCAGAATTTGCCCCACGTGACTGTGGACTGCAATAGTCTCTTTTCCAGGAAATTTAATTTTTTGCAGTTTGTTTTTGTTAACAGTCCTGTTAGACACTACAAAATATCGCGTGTATTTCATTTTATGGACACTCCAGGAAACAACACAACAAATTTAGTTAAAAGTTTTTCTTAAGTTGTTATATAATACAATAAAACAAGAAAAAGTAAGAATCAAGTTCACATAATTACTGGGTAAGTTTTACACATCTTTTACTTTTACTCTTAGGAGAAAATATTGAGAAGCATGTTTTTGGAAAGGCTTCACAACTTTTTGTTTCAAAAAGGACAAACAAGGGATTGGAATCCTTTCCACATCTATTTCAAAGTGTAAGTTTAGAAGACTTCATGACTTTTCTTGTTTTTTCTTTCAAGTTTTGTATTCCTTAAGAGTCTGTGGAAGCCACAAAAGGCAGACTGAACTTGATACATTCATTATTGTTTCCGGTGATAAACAGTTCAGTGTTACCTGATGTTCATTTACAACTGTCTCTAATAATCCCAGCCAGCAGGAAGAACCATGAAACAAGAATGAGAAGTTCTCCTCTTGACTTGTGGGACAGTAACATAACTTCTGGACCCTCTGTTGCTGTAACTGCAAACTATGTTTGCCATGGTGCTTTGTTACGTAAAAACTGGACTCTCAGCAGAGCACTATCTCAGTTTACTGAGGCAGGCTGAGAAAGAGCTTGTCTGCAGGCTGACTGGGGGACACTTCCACAGGAAGGGGGTGGCCCTTCTGTAGGTGCTAGGTGAGGAGATGGAGCTTCAGTTGCGGAACCTGCATTAGCTTGGTCATACTCCCTGGATACCCAATGTAAATCTTTTCGACCAGAATTTTAGTTAAAACATACTGCAGGTCCTTATCTTTGCATAGATCATTACCCAGATTCATTTAAAAGTTCGGCAGGAAGACACAGTACCTACAAAGAGCTAGCATTATCATGCCAGGGGCAATCTAAAGAGTAATAGAGCTTGGGCTCGGGAAAGGGACTGCCCACCTACAGACCGTGGCTCCACTGCTGTGACCTGCACAGGTGAATTCACCTGAGCACTCACTCCCGCCCCCGGGACTGTGGTGGGGATTCACACAGAAGGAATGGGAAGTGCTCAGTACAGTGGGAAGCACCCGGTACCAGTAGCTAGCCAGGGATGATCCCCACGGTGGGTGTGCTCAGCCACTTCCGTTACAGAAAACTGGACGCTACCATCTTAGTCACTCAGGCCCATCTGTGCTCAAATATTTTTGTTTTTAATGCCCTCGACTTTTTTTGAGGATTAATGTATCTAGAATAGAGATTCTAAAAGTCTTTATTTCTTATGAAGTATTTAAGACACTGTGTAGTTTCAATTCTGGAAATAACCTTACTTCCAAGAAAAATTTCCAGCTCTTGAAGAATCAGGAGGTGTAATTCTGTTATCAAATGGAAATCATGTAAAATAGCACAAACTGGTGTTTGACAGTTTTGATCTACAAAACGGCCAGTTCCAATCCCATAGGCTCAAACTGTTTCATGCGGGCGAGAGGTCTTCACTATCAGGCACTACTGCTTCAACGAAATTTGGCTGTAACAAGAGTTCTGGTTAGCATGCTTGTTTCTTTCTTATCATCACTTAGTTCCCTTTTATTTATTTATTTATCTTTGTGGTACCAAGAACTGAACTCAGGTAAAATTTTGAAACACTTTTGAAGGTAAGAGATGTATGGGTAATAAACCATTTTTCTACCATAAATTGTTAAATCAGTTAAGATAACATACAAATTAAAAGTACTCTGAACTTAAATGTAAAAATTTTGAACCCACTGACTTAGGTCACTGTACATTTCCAATGTTCCTCCTATGACTTTGATTCAGATTCTTTCTGAACTATAAACCTGAACATTTAAAATCTTCAAATTCTCATCATATTAGCATTAAGACTAATCCCTAAAATTCTTTGTTAGCTATTCTCCCTGCCCCCTCCCGGTCTCTGTCGGTGGTACTGGAGAGTTAACCTCGCACCCTTATACTCAGCAGCATCCCCAGTCTTTCTTCTTTTTCATGTAAAGACAAGGTCCCACTAAGTTGCCCAGGCTGGTTTGAACTTATGATCCTCCTGACTCAGTCTCACAGAGTGCTGGGGTCACAGATCTGAGCCACCATGTCTGACAGTGCCTGGTTCTCAGCTTTAACCTGGCTCTGTTGTCCCCCTGTTCTGATATGCTTCTGTTCTCAGAATCAGTTTTTCTTCTCATGTCTCTGTATCTGTAATCACACTGTGCCCTTGGTCTGGAGAGCCCATGTCCTCTGAGCAAATCCTTTTACAAGATTCAGCTCTGGCCTCCCTTTAAAATGACTCTCCTAGTTAAAAATCTTTCAGTCAAAATGAGCTCTTACCTAAAGTATCATCTTAAATTTCTAATAAACATCCTTATCTTCAATTTGTCATTTATTTACTTTACCAGCAGTAGCCTAATGAGTAGGTTCCATTACAACACCACTGTGCTGAAAAATTCCTCTCTTCACTCTCAGGTGAGGCCTAACCCTTGGCACGGAACCGAAGGTTTCCAGTGTTAGTTTCAGGACTGCTGCATCAAGATACAAGAAAAGGCTGCGCGCAGTGGTGCGCACCTGTACTCCCAGCACTTGGGAGGCTGAGACAGGAGATCCCTATGATTTAAGGCCAGTCTAGGCTACCAAGTGAGTTCAAGTACAATCTGAACGGCACTGTGAAACTGTTTCAAAGAAAAAAGACAAGACAGGAGAAAGGAGATAATGGAAATGGAGTGAGGAAGCGGGGACAATTTGCAAACCTACCATTATCTTTTACATGTACTTGGGATGAAGAATTTCCAGAATTATGCATAGGCATTCCTGTGATATAAATTAAATTATTAGACATTTTATAAAATGACCAGATATTACAGAAGTAATTTCTTCTGAAATACTAAAAAAAAAAAATTAGGACAGCAACATTTTAATTTATACTTAGAAAAATATGTCTTCCCACAATGGGCACATTTACTATTTTTAAATAGTACTTAAGCATATTAACCTATTTGACGGCATAAATTTAAACACAAATGTGTTGTTTTTGACAATGACATTTTGATATGTCAAACATGAAAATGATGAAATGGTTTTAAAAGCATTTGTCCAAATGTTAAAAAATTCAATATTCAATAAAATCAATAATTCAAACAAAAAACAAATGCAGAAAATAAATTCCTTCACGGATTACAGAATATTTACTACTTTCCTGGCACATGGTAGATATTCTTGTTAAAGCCTTTGTGGTGAAAAAGCTTAGAATTTAGGAGATCTCATTCTTTGAAAGTCTAATATATTGATGAGTCTCCTTACTATTTCAACAGTTTTATCTGTGAGATGAAATCTTGGCTTTATCTGCTTAAATTTTTTAAAAAAACCCATTCAACTTTAATGAATGGTAGTGGAATCTCTGAAACTTGTGGATGCTGCTTCCCATAAATATTTATCGACTATAAGATAGTTTTCTTCTAACTCCACTTGGCCCACATACCCACATTCCATTACACAATTTAAAAAAATTTTGGACTTTAGGTCCAAATTACGGCTACAGTTTGGGCTGGGGGAGAGTGAAGTAGTAGTAACTTTCTTTTGTCTCTCCAGCTGCCTTTCTTTTGCGTAGTAGTTTACATTTCTGGCCTAGCTATCAAGTCTTCTGAGTGCGTAACGTTACTGCCTTTTCTCTTTAAGATACACAGGGTAAGGACAACCTGCACTTTTAGTTTAGTAAGGATACATTTTTTGTCTTTAAATAATATCCCTTTAATAGCTGGCCGGGAGACTTTAAAGAAACTTATACCTCTAAGAATTTCTATCAACCATAAACCATCCTGTAAACTAAGTTTCCAAAGATAATTACATTTACCCTAAGCTGACAGCACCCTAAACAAGCCTTTGAAAAAAATACAGCCTTATCAAATCCGGCCCTACAGACAGACTAATCGGGAGAGGCCAAGGGGCAGCGACCCGCAGTAGTGGCCCCACACTGCAGGGTTTTCCCACAGGACCGCCATGGGCACTGCGACCAAGAAACAGCTTAAGGAACAGTCGGTGCCGAAACCATCACTTGTTTTCTGGGTGCTGCGGGTGTGGGACCTACAGTAAGTTCTCAGGCTCCTCACTGTGAGCACGAGGCCGGGAGAAAGAAGGGAGGAAGCTTGTTCATGCTGACCTATGCCACAGGCTTGACCAGGGTCTTCTGCGGATGAGTCTGATCCATGCTCCCTCCTTTCAGGACTTCTATTTAAACTTGCAATGGACTTTGAACTAAAGAGGGAAAAGGAAAGTAGGAGGGGAAGTGTCAATGTAAAAAAAAAAACGGTGCAAATAACAAGATGTCAACAAAAACTCAAATGTATGAAATGTTAGAATTCATGAATGTGTAGTTTGGGAGAGTTAAGCATGCTCTTACTTATTGAGTTTTGTGGGTCCTGCCACAGATCCTGTATCAGATCTTGCTGTCTGGTGGAAAGGTTTTCCCACCAACTCTGCAGTGGTGTACAGTGGGGATTCCGCGTTAACACTGACATTTCTCCGATGAGGAAAGAGGGTGGCCTGACTGAGGTCGTGGTAGGATTTGCTCAGCCCGCTGGGCTTCTCCTCCCAGGAGGCCTTGTCGCTCTTCTCCTTTGAGCTGTTTTGCAGTGGTTGGTAAAGCGACAGCTCTGAGCAGGAGAGTCTCTTCAGGACCTCAGCGTGAGCAGACAGAGGTCGCACAGCGAGCTTGTGGAGGCTGCTGCTGGCCAGGCTGCCAGTGCTGATTGCGCGTCCCATGTGAAGTCCTCTCATGGACTCTGCGTGGAGGCTCAGGCTCCTAATCGAAGCTCTCTCTACAAGGAAACAGCATTGCTTTACACTCTGGAGACACCACAGTATCTTTAGGAGAAGAGTCACTTTCATACATAAATACGGCACACAGCTGGTCAGCGTTTTGAGTGCCTGAAGGGGACAGCCGGGAAAGGCTGGCAGCCGCGGTTTTAAAAGGAGGTTTGCAGATCCTGGTTTCCACGCCCTCTCGCCATTCTTTCAGCTTCTGCTCAGCTACCACCCACTCAGCATTTCCCACTTTGGTGAACAACTCTCTGGGATCCAGTGATGTTCACAGTGTAGTCTGCAGACCCTAAAGTCCTAACAGCTGCCAGCTAGAGATGAGACTGACATACAAGAGCGCACTTCAGCCTAGTGGTGCTTTCTCTGAAGCACCTCGAGTAGGATGGGGAGAGGGAGAGACGAAACCTGGGTGGGCTGACATGCTTGAAAAAGCTGTGCAGAGCAAAGTTTTGTCTGAAGAAAAAATTTCCCGTTACTTTAACATTGCAGAATGTAGGAAAGATGCACTATCTCTGGATGTGACTGTTGCATTGTACATTTTACAACTGGATGTCACTAAAATAACAGCGCAATAATGCCACAAAAAAGCAAAATCAACAACTCTTTAAGGCAACTTTTTTTTTTTTTGGACTTTTTGAGACAGGGTTTTACTGTTCAGATCAGGCTGGCCTTGAACTCACTTTGTAGCCCCAGCTGGGCTCAAACTCACAGTGATCCTGCTGTCTTGGCCTCCCAAGTGCTGGGATTACAGATAAATACCACCGCACTTAGCCTAAGACAACATTTTTATTTTTTCACTATCTTGCTGATCCCACCTTCTCACCTTGATGACTTCCTGATTCCACTGAGGGCGAGGAACCACGGGGGATCACACACTGCTGCTATCCTGTTTGGGCATCTCTTATTAACTCACTAACTAACTAAGGTGGCCCATGAGCTAGGGCTCTCTCTGTGCTTACATTCACTATTAAGTACAAAGTCTTCTTTCAGAGTAACTTTGGCACACATTCTAACACTTGGCTATTCCACTACAAGGACCTGACATCTGAGGCTATTCACACAAGCACTGCCTAACACACAAATAAAGGACTAGACATGCAATTCAAATGGGCTGGTTCATGAATTACAACCCACATCACAGGCTGGGCCCGGGCAGCAGTGACCGTGCTGTACCCTGTTTGGAGTGAAGCCTGAGCCTGTGGTGAACAACTGGGGAAACTTCCTTTAAAACACGTCACATGATTACTAACTTAGATCTTTAGGGTCCTTGAAACACAGGAAGACTTTTAACATTCATGAATCAGAATGAAGTTTAAATTAATATGTCTTCTTATCACCAAGAAAATTCAACATTCTTTCTCTAAAGTGGAAAAGGTCATCAAATTAAGAGTTTAAAAAAACCCTTTGTAAGCTGGGTGTAGTAGTGCACACCTGTCATCTCAGCACACTGGGAGGCTAAGGCAGGAAAACTGCAAGTTAGAGGTTAGACTGGGGAATTTAGTGACATAGCAAGGCCTTGTTTCAAAATGAAAAATAAAAAAAGGGCTAGGGATTTAGCTTACTGCAAAGGCCCTGGGTTCAACTCCCAGAGTGAAAGAGACAGTGTGGGGGAGAGAGAATTCTATCTCTGTTTAAAACTCTGAAACATCTTTTTTGTCTTTAACTTGAAGTACAATGTTTTTATTAGCACTGATGACACTACTTCCCTTTACTCTGAGAGCTGTCTTCAGTTAAGGAAGGAAAGGAGTCTCGTGTAGACTCAATGACATGGAGCGGAATGTCTTTTTATGGCCCCAGGTTCTTCCTCCTTCAGGAAAAGGCAGCAATAAGGGCACCTGCTGAGTCTAGAATTGTCTGTCTGTGATCATTCAGCCCTGTGGTACTCAGATTCATTCACAGCCTTGTTTTTTTTTAGACAGGATCTCACAATGTAGCCCAGGCTGGCCTTGAACTCTGGTGATCGTCCTGCCTCAGCCTCCCAAATGCTGGGATGACAGGCGTGTGCCACCAGGCCTGGCTCACAGCCTACTCCTGGACAGGACTGAAAGCACTGTATATTCTCCTGCTACAGGAGTACAAAGCAGCTACTTCCCTCATGGATCACCACCTTGGAATGGAATGGGCTCCAGCATGGCCTCCGCCCAGGAGAGGCAAATGGCTTGGGTCCTGGCATTAGCGCTGAACATGTGGGTTCCCCCCATTTTCTGTGACCCAGGGGTCCTAATGTGTTTGTGCCACCGGGCAGTCCTCCTCCCACTGTCCACTTACTCTCTGTGCTTTTGACAGAGGGACTTCATTTACTCTGTAACCTGAAGTGCTCACTACCTAACAAACAATGTGCTCAATAAGGGACCACTTCTTAATTTAATTTCATGCAAATTAGTTCTTTGTCACTCTCTAAAGGAAAGTGCGCTGCATTGAGAATTAGATATCAGGGCTCCAACCCAGTTTGGCTTCCTTAGCTGAGACGATGCCTTCTCTGAACGTGTTTTCTCATTAGTAAAATTTTGGACTCAGTGGCCTGAAGGTACTTTCTGCCATCCACACTATGATGCTAAAGAAGTTCAACACTTTTATTAGCACTTCAATCTCCTATAGCTTATACCAGTAATTTCTACCTGTGTGGTACAGGTAGGTAAGTGGTAGACAGTGGCTCCTCACGCAGTTCTAAGAGGAAATAATTCTTCTGAAAGTTCAACAAAGTCTGGGCAATTGATGAATAATACTATCTTAAAACTGTTCTTACCTATGAGTTCAAGGATACATAGCTATGCTGATCCCAGAGGCGGAGCTGTGAGCTACACAGAGCATTTCTCCTTTCATGGACAAGAGAAATGACACTGAAAAGTCCAGCTGCCTTCTACACCGCTCCTCCTGCTCACATGGTGTGTGGTACATCACAGAGGAGCACGGGGTGTAGCAGCCCTGTCACCTGTTGTTGCTAGCATTACAGTTACCAAAGTCCCACACTGCTAAGTAGCAAAGTGAGCGATGGCAAAACAGTGTGGATCATGGTGACAGCAGCAGCAGCAATAAACGTTTCCTGAATTCTCACTGCAGGGTACACGTGTGTGCACCTCCTGATGGAACCCAGGACCTCCTGCATGCTAGGGAAGCACTCTATTGTTGGGCTACGGCCCTGGGCCTGGTCTGCTGGGCATTTTCACAGCGCTCTCTCCATGTATCAGTTCCTCTTCACTTCACAACAATCTTATGATGCAGGTATTACCATTATCGCAATCATCTGAGCTGCAGAGCAAAGGCAGAGAATCTAAGTACCTTGCCCTGGGCTTTAAGGTTTGGAAGGGACCAAAACTCACGCTCTTGGCCACCATTCACGTTGAATATCCTTAATTTGAACATGCAAAATCCAAAATGTGACACTTTTTGACTGTTTGACATGCCACTGCAAGTAGAAAATTCAGTATCTGATCTCACCTGCAAGGTCACGGTCAGAACACAGGCACATTAAAAAACATAAAGAGTCACTCTCAGGTTATCCCTAAGGTGCGTACGAGACAAACATCTATTTTTTTACACTTGGTCTCATCCACGATGTATCTCATTGTTCTAAAATCTGAAAACAATTCCAAATCCAAAACACTCCTGGTCCCAACTGTTTCAGTTAGTAGACACTCAAACTGCACTGTATTGCTCTTTAATACGAAATGCTGAGGACAAATGGATTCGTGCCTTTGTCTTCTGACTCTTTTTACTTTACTTCATCTAAAGTGGTATGATCTTCAATTGTTCAATTCGGCTCCAACTGGGAATTTCAAATGAGAATTCTGACAGCTCTAACAGCTTGACATCTTGCTATACTTTGAAAATACACAACAGCATATAAACTTTTTAGTATAGCAAAGAAGGGAAATTTTTAAAAATGCAATTACTTTATACTAGTGGTTATCATATTTTAGCATCCATAAAGATCATTACTGAAGAAAGCTGCTTAAAATACAGATTCTAGGGATCTAATTCCCAAAGACTGTATTTTTCCAAGTTTCAGGTAGATTCCTGGAATCTCATTTTAAATAAGCACAGGGTCTTACTGTACCTTGCTTCTGAAAGATTGAGAGGCATCTATGCATAGTTCACCCCAGTCTGTCCTTATGGGAAAAACATTTCTGTAAGATTTCAGCATGGAAGGAAGTTTGAGGGTAGAATTCATAGTACAGAGCATCAGTGCTACTCCATTACATTTTTAAAATCACACACTTCAGAGTGTTCACTTCACTCTGTAAGCATCTGCTATTGTGAAACTGATTCTGTCACTCAGAGTGCTCTACGTGGCCTTACAGGGCGAGCTCTAACCATTTCAGCTCTGAGTTATTTTCAGGGCTAAATTATTTTCCCCATTGGTTCCTTTTCAGAAGAAAGTGAAACCACTGTTCTGACCATTTATACTGAGCACCATGGCTATTTATTTCAGTTTCTGAGCAGGGATACACCCAGCTAGCACTAAGACACGGGAGGCGGTGAACTGGCCCCTGGAGAGCCAGCCGCTGCGGTCTTCCCGGCCTGGGGAGATTCTCCCTTGTCCCCATGCTCACTCCCTCCGTCTCCTGTTGCGCTGCCCCCGTCCCTCCCTTTACCCCTTTCATTTGTGTCCACTACTGAAGTAATTTGTCTTTTAATTCAATCCAAGAGCCTCCTCGCCGGTCCTCCAGCCTGATCTTCCCCTTCTCTTGTAACACATATCACAGAGTCTGCATGATACAATTTGTTAAACTCAGGAAGCTCACTGAGTCCCACTGTGTCATGTATACTGGTCTGTACTGTTTCAAATAGTATGTAAGTTTACTATGGCTGGAGCACATGGACCAAACGCTTTTATGATATTTACACCAAACACCTTATAGCTAATTACAAAATAAGCCTCTCAACAGGTCCTCCCTGACTTAAGCTGCAGTGTTGTTTCCAAAATGAATGAAACTGAAATCTTGGCATCATTTGACACCTTTACAGATTTGATACACCCATTTAATAGCTACATATTGTGTAACTTTTCATTCTAAGTACCGCAGTTCTTTCCAAATTTGTTGCAAAAAACATGCCCAAGTCCTGGAAGCAGTCTGCTGCTCCTTACCGATGTCTTGGGCATCTTGGTTGCTCTGTCTTGCCCGCATCTGCAGCTGGAACTTATGCTGGGCCGAGCAGAGGTGCAGCAGGTACTGGCAGACCTTGCTGTTCTCCGTCTGGAAGGCATGTTTTATTCCATCTGACGTATTCTGCAATGTGATTTTCTTCTTCTACAATATGAACCAGGGGTGTCCATAATTAGGATGCTTTCCTATGACTTTTATATAAACAAAAAACCTAATAAGGAAAATACAATTTACATTTGTATAAGCTATTCTTTGACTGACACCCAATATAAACATAAAAATGTAATCTAGTAGTATAAGCAAATGCAGGAAACAAATTATTGTCACTTTCAGAAGCTGGAGCCTAAATTGGATTGTATGCCAGCATGAGCATGAGAAACATTTGTTTTAAGGAAATGACTGACATTTTGAGTTGATGACAATGTTTACAAATACCAAAGTTATTTAAAATAATGACCAGAAATATGTATTTTACTCATCTGGGCATAGAAATGGAAGCTCAACTGTGTTGGTTTTTCTTAATTTGTATGTAATGATAACAGCTGTGATTTAGTTAACTATAAGACAGATGGTACAAAGACTGGGACAGGAGAGGTGGGAAGTTAAAGAAAAGATGGCGATGAAATGGTGCAGGATAACGTCTCTGCTGGGCTGAGAAATGAAATGCTTTGGTGCTCAGAGACGGCAATTCTCACTAACTCAGGGAAAGGAGGGAAGGAACAAGCCAGCTCTATGTCCCTAATGTTTCTCAAAAAGCGAATGCTTCCTGGAGGCTTCCTCAAATTTGCAACCCATGTGGTGAAGCTTACAGGGGATGCACATGCCTTAAGAAGTCAGCATGTAATGTTCTAGGCATCTAAGCGTACTATCCCTGGGTGAGCACCTCAGTCCAGCGAAATGTACACTGTCTCTTACCTACCGTGCAAGTCATTCTCTTTACTTCATATCCTTTACTTTTATTTCAAATGCAAAAATAGATGCAGCAAAGTCAAACAGTGGGATCACAAAAGATACAACAACAGAATTACCCACACTATAACTAGTCAGGCACTATCTTCATAATCTCTGGCCCTGCTTATTTATATCTTCAAATTGATTTTTATTATTTATAAAAATATGTTAAAGAAACTTTATGCATAAATATAAACAGAAAACTAGTATCACTTGTCACAAACAGAATCTATCTACAGAAATAAATGACAATGAAAGCAATTAAAAGCAAAACCTTGTAAAATTCTAGCTAGATATTGTTGCCAGTGAAACCTCTAGGAATAAGCCTGTTCTACTAAAAATGGAAATCAGCAAATGTTAGAGAAGCCTAAAAGACAGCAGCACCCAATAATGCTCCCTGCAGGTTCATACCAAAGTCTGTGATTCTAAGAGAAACCAAGGTAAGGCAGAGAGTGACAGAAGCAAGTCTGCATGCTTCCAGTGCAAGCCAGCGAGGGCGAAGAGCTGCCCTCAGAAGATGCCAGACTTGGCCAAGGGAGCAGCACCCTGACTGCAGGTAGTATATAACCAGTAAGTCTTTACATGACTGTATAATAGTAGCCCTTCCATCAGGTAGGGAGCACTTCACCTAACGAATTTACCACTCAGCTACTATCAAATGATTTGTAAGGACCCTGAACTCGACAGGGATAAAGCTCTCTTACTGACTAAACCGTTCACAGGAAAGACAGAAGAGCCATAAAACTGGTATCTAGTAAGATACCCAAAGGCAGCAGAGAGAGGTGGGCACAAAAAGCCCCACCAAAGATAAGTGAGGTGCAGAGTTTTCTATACTAGTTACAGAACAATTATGGAAAGTGGTGCTGTAGATGATCTCACATCAACTACGGAAATCCTGGTTTGAAACAAGTCTTGACTTCACCGATGACAGAAGTGTGACTGAGAGGGTACAGCTGTCAGTCCTGCAGGCTGGCATTTCATTCCCCACCCCAAAGGCAGAGAAAAGAGAGAGAGTTCTGCGTTAGAGGAAGAAGCTCAGGACCGACAGTGCTGTCAACTCAAGGAGTGAGGAGCAGTTCCCGGGGACGTGGTCCTCTCTTCACTGTGTAGAGCTTTGCAGACAAGCTGATCATGGCACACACAGTGCTCTGGTGCGATAGCTTGGTGAGTAACAGAGTGCATCCTGTAATGGTTACTTGTTGCTCTTCCAAAACAGGTCCAAAATGAATGTGTATTAAGGTCATCTGAAGTTTCCTTCAGACACTTGTTATGCCAGAATTTCCACTAGCCTCAACAACTTCAGACGTAAGCAGGAAACCTTTGAATGAGGCTTAGTTCTCAATTATGTTAAGGGTAACGCTAAAACAGAAGCAGTCTTGGGGGAATATCCTTACAAGTATCACTCTGGTGAGAGCGTATTTCAGCCCAAACGTGAGTAAAGACATCAGCATCCCTGAATGCCATCAGGGAATAAATACCTGGACATGATTCCTATTCACTCTGGGCTTTGCCAATGGCACATCAGCGTCCAGAATCAAAATAGGCCTTAGAACTTGGCATCTGCCATAAACACAGTATTTTCTGAATATAACTTTTCTAACTTTATCTTACTAAAGAATATGCACTAAAATCTCAAACTGCAGAAACAAATGGGACTAGTTTATAAAATGAATTGTATCTTTGGATGCATGAGATTCCCATAATAGTTACTGCAAGGAACTTATTCTTGAGCTAGATAAATTTTATCAGGATTAAGACAGTTATCTGTCTTAAAATATCAGAGTTGTTTCTCCATGTGAAAGTTGTGGACAAGCCTAGAATAAGTCCTGATGTAACAAAGAATTCTATTTGGTTGTAATTTAATGTAAGTTAACCAAGTATATAACTAGCTCAGAATGTATCACAGTTTGAAAAATCACCTCCTGATAAAACTGGAGCCAAATCTCAGTACTACCTCCTACAACTAAGACAGAAAAGCTAAACAGTATTAAGACATAACAACATTACTGAATGGTAGGGCCTAACTTACTTAAGGGAAGTTAGCAAACAGTTACACAGGAACAGGCAGCAGTTGTTTAAAACTACAAGGAAGAGGGCATTAAAATGGACGTACAGAGAAAGAAATCTTCCTGGTTTCCCTCCACGGAAAGCGAAGGACCAAGGTGCGAACTCCATTGTGAACTTCGAACACCTGGACCCCTTTTGAACAGATTCCAAGCAGTATTCCTGTCTGTGACTTCTTCTCAGGGTGCACCCGGTGGAAGTGGACGCCATATTCCGTCAGCCGCTGGCAGACCTGTTGGGATAGTACCACGCCATGACAGTGCACACTGGTAGATAAGGCTACATACAGAAGCTGTGCCTGCAGCAGTGTAGTTTACTGTGGAAAGGACAGCCTTTCCAACAGTGTTGCCAGAACAATGTAGATCCACTGCCAAAAAATAAACCTCAACATTTACTTCATTGATAAAAATTCCACTGTGCTTGACAGCCAGCACTGCAAAATGAAACAAAACAAATCTAACAAAAGATCACTTCAGTAACTTTAAAAACTTGCTCACCAAGAGTCAATGTTAAACTATAAAGGCAGTACATGCTGAGAAGTAGATTTATGTGCATATATTTAAACTACACCTGGGGGCATACACCTGGGATCCCAAATACTTGGGAGGCTGAGACAAGATAATGTCAGGTCCAAGCTTAACTTAGGCAACTTAGCAAGACACTGTCTCAAAATAAAAAATAAAAAGGGCAGGGGATATAAGCTGTGTGGGAGAGCACTTGCCTAGTATGTGTGAGGCCCTGGGTTCAATCTCCAACACCGAAACAAACAAACAACAAACCAGAACGTCTCAGATTCAGTCAAGAATAAATTAAATAAACCACAGTATCAGTTACTGGTCTCTGAGCTTTTAATTACACTTCCTCCTTATTTTATAGGAAGACATGTACCTTTCATAATCTTATATGCTTACCTTTAAAAATTCTAACTCTGTCTCTTTTTCAGAAGCTCCCACATAGGTGTTATGCAGTTTGGGTAACTCTTCTTTAACATAGGATAAATCCAGTTTCTCCATCACTCTGGCAGGCAAATAATGCTCCATTCTAAAGTACGACACTCCATGAACCTAGCAGGGAAACGTTTTGTTAGTGGCTCTCTTTGCCTTTTATTAGAGCCCACCCTTTTCTTTTAACCAAGAGATGAACACGCTGTTCTGCTTCTCTCTCTGAAGAACGAGCTTTAAGGGATATGCGTCAGTCTCCTTTTACTCAGGGAGGTTCATGACTGATGACACGGGACAGGAAGGTACATCTGAAGACTCACATCACCTGTGCTAAGAGTGGATACATGTGGGCCGCTGCACAGGTGGCCCTCCTGGCCCACTGGTCAGGGTCAGGAGGCTGTGTGAATACAGCAAATTTTCAATACACCGAGCTCTGCTCTGTCCCCAGCTCCTCGCTGCAATGAGTGGTACAGAGGATCCTTTAAAACTGAAGCTCAGCCTCAATTATTTGGAGAATGGGAGAGAAGAGAGTAAGCACCAGAGAGCCCTAAACTCTAAAACCTTAGATGGAAAAATAAATTTTTAACATTTTAAATGGAAAGATACATCTCACACTGTACGATTACACGCAGCAAACATACTTCTCGAGTTCAGTCATTTTGAGGCACTAAACTAGCTTCAACAACTTCAGACCTAAGCATGAAACTTTTGAATGAGGCTTAGTTCTCAATTATGTTAAGGGTAACGCTAATACAGAAGCACTCTTGGAGGGAAGAATAAATCCAACCTCTGGCTGATAATCTCCATACTCAGCTTGGAGCGCCAGGGATGCCAGCAACAAGGAAGTCTCATCATCGCAGTGCGTCCTCTCCTCCAGGACATCTTTCCGCAGCTGAAGGTAATACTGGTGATAGGTCAGTGTGTGTCTGAAAAAGTAAGCAAGCACACCAACAGCTGGCCTTTATTCTTCAATGTCGGGGTGAGTTTAATTACAGGTACAGAAGTTCGTTCATTACTAAGCTTGCTGTTAAGTGTTTTTTGCTGTTGTGGTTGTCTTGGTTTTGTTTGTTTTTGAGACCAGGTCTCACTATGTAGGCCAGGCTGGCCTTGAACTCACAGTGAACCTCCTGCCTCAGCTTCCCCGGTACAGGGATTATAGGAGTGCACATGTTGTGGTGATTGCTGGTAAGTTTTAAAAAGGCACAAGAATTCAGTAAGCTGTGTGAAGGAAATACTGATCTCCTTTATCCGAGATGGTGGCTCCCAACCTTCCACATCCAGACATGTGATAAGGTTCAATTTATAAAGTAGCCACAGTTACAACAGTTACAACACAGATCTTAGTGACCCTGACAGATTTTCTTTTCTTTCCTTATTGAGTTAACAGCTTTTACTTTTCACTTAAAAGCACGCTTTGTGGACTCTCTGTGGCACACTTGAATTGGTACAATTCCACGCTAGGTGATACGACAAGTGAGACAGTGGCTGAGTGACTAGAAGGCAGACAGTGTATGTAAGCACAGATGCACTGTGCAAAGCAGTGACCCATCTGCTGGGCAGGGCAGGGCAGGGCAGGGCAGGGCAGGGCTGGGCAGGGCAAAATGGCACAAGAGTTTGTCATGGTATGCAGAATGAACTGCAACTTCAAATGCATGTATTGTTTACTTCTGGAGTTTTCTATGTCAATTTTTCTGACAAGGTTGACCACGGGTAACTGAATTACGGAAACAGAACTACAGATAAGGGAGGGGCTACTGTACTTCTTTTAATAGAAAGATGAATTTATCCTTGATCACTATCAAATAGCTCACTCCCAGTAAGTTCAGGGAGAAAGAGTGGGGACCCAAAGAGAGCAGATGAGAAACTTGGTTATGTGGTACTCACTGTATTAGGCTAATGTCATCCACAAAAAATTTAATTCGAAAAAATAAAGTAAAGTCAACAGCTGCTTTGCTCTTTTTCTTTGGTTCCTCTTTCCATCCTTCTGGGGCCACTTTGGTTAATTTTAAATCAGGATCAACAAAGAAATATTCATTGTCTAAAACAGAGTGAGAAAAATGATCAAATAAAAAGTTTCCCTTTACTTTCTTTACCGTACAAACTAGGGTCATTCAAGAATAAAACAGCACTGCTAGGAGCATGATAGGCTGTGTACAGTGAGGACAACAGGGCCCAGACTTCAAGGTGCAGGCTCCCGGCACAGGGCTGGCTCAGTTCCCACCACCTCACTCACTGCCCGCACGCCTCTCAGCGAGCTGTTTCAGCTCCCGGAACATCACTTCTGGCCGTAAGGCTAGGGTAATGCCAGTGCCTGCTTTAGAGGGCTGTTACAAGGATCAGATGACATCTGGATACAAAATACTGGGTGAATCAGTAGCACATGGTGTTACAATTCACGCTCAGCTATTATTTGCTATTACTGAACTACTAGCTGAGATGCAGGAGGAGTGAAAGTCATTACTTTTTATTTTAAACGTTATCACTTAACTGTTACTGTTAAGTGATACTTAACTGTCCAAATATATGAGGATTACCTAATAAAATCTGATTTTGTGCAGGATATTTAAGAAAGAATTTTTTTTTTGAGACAGAGTCTCACTATGTAGTTCAGGCTGGCCTTGAATTCATCATGTAGTCCATGTAGCTAATTCACCTTGAACTTGTACTGTATCCTCCGGCCTTAGCTTTGCGAGTGCTGGGATTACAGGTATGTGCCACCAAATATTGCATATTCATTGGATGATTTTATAAAATAAATTATTCATTTTAAGACATAATATTCAACAAAATATATTTAAGAAAATACTTATTTTATGAAAAAAGTCATTACAATATGGTAGAGTTTCAAGATCATTGACCTTTGATTGTCATTTACAGTACTTTGTTGTCTAAGTTAAACATTAAGAAATCTGAAATATTAAAGAGTAATTTATAATGGTTTATTAAAGAATGAAAATCAACTCTAAAGAGCTCATTGCTATGACAATTGTGACTGATAAAGACAACCTTTTATCAAAGATGTGCTCTGACACCACGATGGTTGTGTATGTCAAAGGGTTCAGTGAATGTAATGTTTGAAGACTTCAGAAATGACTAATTTTCTGTCATTGGCTAACACATAAGAAAGAATATATGGCTTTGGCAGTAGACCAAAGAGGTTGTGAAAATTCAGAACTATGTCCTTGTGATATATACATATTTATGTACTTATATACCTGCAGTTAACATGTAGATAATAGTCCTAGAATGTGACAAATAAAATCTGTTGTATTTTTAACTGGGTTTAGAAGGTCTCAGCTACTCAAGAGGCTGAAGAGGATTATTTGAACCCAAGAATTTGACACTTGTCTGGAAAAATAAATACTGCAAAACAAAACAAAACAAAAAGCGACAAAACCCAACTTATTCTTATAGAGTGTTAGCCAAAGAAAAATTCTTTGTAACAGTACAGGAGAAGGTTAAAACTGTGAATGAAGCTGGGAGAAGTCCCAACGGATTGGCTTGTTCACTCAGTGTTTCCCACAGCGCAGCTGAGCAGGACGGTGGCTGTAGAGGGTCAGTTTCCAGGCTGTACTCTGAGTTTAAAGTGCTCGGTACCTTTGAGGGTCGCTAAAGCAAACAGATGATGTTCCACTAGGCCGATGTGGGCCACGACCATGTCAAACACATCTTTGCAGATGGTTCTGGTATCACAGGTCAGTTCCAGCCTCTGTCCACTCAAAAGCATTATGTTCACTTTCCTCCGATTATCTTCATTTTTCCCTTTTTTGGTCTGTAATTGAAAAAGGAAATGATATTTATTAAAATAAGCTTTAAAGTCTTTAAATGACTTTAAAGGAGTTTTTGAAACAAAAGTATAATAATTTTGAAACAAAAGGATAATAATTTTGTGCAAGGTATACCAATTGGTTTTATTACTTACAAGGATAGACCCGGGCAAATCCAAAGCTACAAATGGTTCAACCGTCATCTTCACAAACTCAGGGCCAAAGAAATTCTGCAAATCACATAAGAAGAATTAATATTTTTTACCATTTCTCCTGGCTCTTTCCTTGCAAGAAAAATAATGCTATAATAATACATTACATTTAAAGCTACCACACTAAAACTAGTGATCTAAAACAAATGCAGAAACTTTCAATGCAGTACTTCAAGGAAATGTGCCAAAATCAAGAATGGAACACCCCCTGCACACATAAGCTTTTCCTGATATTTGTTTTCTATCATTGAGGTCAAATATAATGCCCGGCATTATATGTTTTATTATTTTATTAGTTTTCAATATTTGGTCTCCAGGTAGACTTTAAAAAATAAGCAACCCTGGGCTCAAGGTGTAGGTCAGTGGTAGAACAATGCACTCTTGACATCGTGAGGCCTTGGGGTTGGCCTCCAGCACCACACACACAAAAATATGAAGAAACAAATAAAATAACAAAAAATAAGTTATCAAGCTCATTCACAAAGGCTTTGGTTTTATGTTGCTAATGTGTAAACTGAGTGAACAGAACTGCATTGTTTTGTTTTATCCTATTTTATTTTTTGGTAGCAGGAATCAAACTCAGGACCTTGTGCTGCTGAGCTACACCCCCGGCAGAAGTGCATTGTTTTACAGTGTGATATACAAACTCGAGTTACAGTCATCTGCTTGGTGAGTACAAAATATACATTTCCGTCTGTCTCCAGGACCGTGGAATGCTGAGATGCTTCAAACTTTTGTTTTACATAACAAGAAGTGGGGACCACATAGACATCACATTGTCTCCTCCCCTCCCAATCCCCTCAGCAAGAAAATACCTCAGGGATGGGAAGTTCAGAGAACGGGGGAGTGGAGTCTGCAGCTGACCTGCCTGCTATTCAGTCTACTCTCTCCCTGGTCCTACTGTGTGTTCAAGGTCTTTAGTGAGAGAACTGATTTTTAAGAGGTAACTTCAAACAAGTTAAATTCTAGGGGCAGCAGAGATGAACATAGATGGAAAGACTAGGTCCAAATGGGTGAGGAATCTCGGGGCTAATCTTGAGGCTGAATTAGGCGGTGTGTGTGTGTGTGTGTGTGTACCTGAGGTGTGTTTGAACTAACAGAGGTCACTAGAGTCTTATTTTTGTTGGCTTCCTCTTTGGACTGGGTTGTATAGCTCCATTTGGTTGCTTGGTGTGGGAATTCTGTCTAATTAACTGAGTGTGAAACGCGCCAATACCATGTGAGTAAAAGGTTAACATCAGGGGGCTTGTTAATAGTCAGTGAACTGATAAGACACATTTTAAGCAAGGACAGAAATAGAGCAGAACAAATTAAAAAGATCTGGGGCAGGAATCACAGAACCTAATAAAGACCAACAAGAGCAACAGAATAGTAACAAGCTAAATGTGTCTGCAAGGAAAGGAGAAAAGAAGAAGTTTAACATATATTTTGAAAAAGAACATTAATTCAATTGTAAAGCTGTTCCTCCACTTATTAGTACACTCTTTCAGCCTAAATATGCAACCACCTGCTCTTTCCACAGAAAACACACCATGTGGCACTTTAATGACTGGTAGTTCAAATGACCCAGTCACTGATAGAGCATGTCTCAGTAAAGATGTGTTTGCCTGAAAATAGCCAGAAACTGACTGCCTAACAAGGAAATGTAGATGGCAGTGCATACTCTAAAGGCACAATCTGTAATTTGTGAATTGCTAATGAACTGAAGCTCCGGTCCAGTTTTCTGAAACCATGATTTAGGAGAGGCGTGTGTCTACGAGTGTGCCCTTTGGGTTCTTTACTGAATTATCACATTGGAGATTTCCACAGTATTTTAGAAGCTCATAATATTTTCTGTGACATCCTGCTTATCCCTCAATTTTGATACAGGTATGGGTTATAAGGGTAAACTGGTAAAAGTTTTATTGAATTCTTTCCTTTCAGCTTAAAATCCAGTTATATTTAGTTAAAATGAAAAAATTTTAAAAATTCATCAGTGTCTTAGGAAATAAAACCCAATTTCATGTTTAAAAATTATTACTGGGGCTAGGATGTAGCTAGGTGTACAGTGTTCACCTAGCATGTGAGGCTGAATCTCCAGCATTGCAAAAGGACAAATAAATAAAAACAAATCCCTAACAGTAAAAAATTAGGTCAGTGAGGCACAAAGCAGTTTAAAAGCTTACATAAAGCCATTTAACAGCATCACAAGGAATAAAATTCAAGCCTTTCCAATTTGTAGCTCAATGCAATTTCCAACATCCAAAACTGCTTCTCTCCTTAGAATACTGTGAAGGAAATTTGAATTCTACCAACTCAAACCTGCTTTTAAGATGATTCTCTGAAGCAGTCAACAATAGTAACAACAGAAGAACTAAAAAGAAAAAAATCACTGCCAATTATATCATCTTTATTAATACATATTAGTATGTTTTTATATGAGAAAAGGCAGGATCATTTTGAGTTTAGTTTCATAAAATTATTTTTAAGGTCCTATGTTTGTAGAAAAATACCCCAAACAAAAGAATACACACGTTTTTTACAACACTGCTTCCAGGCTGGGGATGGAGCTCAGGACCAGCACTGGTCTAAGATATGCAAGGCACTGGCTGAGCAAATGTTTTCCCAGGAAGTATTTGTGGCAGACTGCTCCTTCCTATTTCTGCATGTGATGCTTGGAGCTACGCAGCCATCTTTTGGCTATAAAGCAAGGCACTGCCAACACTGAGAGTGGCAGAGTAGGAAAGAAGACGCACTGGAACATAATCTTAGAGCTTCTGACCCAACCCTGAACTCAGTATTATACTTCTGATCTCTCAGTTTGCAGGATTAAAACATGATCCCCCAGGGCTGGGGATTTAGCTCAGCGGCATAAGTACCTGCCTTGCAAGCGCATGGTCATGAGTTCGATCCCTGGAACTGGTAAAAAAAAAAAAAAATTCCCCGTAATACTGCATAAAGCCAGGTGCTTCTGAGAATCATGAGAAACTGAAAAAATTTCTTTTGCTATGGGTTTGGCTGTGCTACCCAGGCCTGTGGGCTCAAATGATCCATCCTGCCTCAGCCTTTCTAATTGTAGGGGTGATAGGCACCTGCTGCCATGGCTGGCTAGGCACAGAGTTAAAAAACGTAGAGTCAAGATACTCTAAGTCCATCTCATTTAATTTTGGAAATATGGTACTGACAATAACTAAATATTTACTATTTTAATGTCAAGTAACAAGATACTTAGTCCCAAATGAAAGCTAACACGGAATTTCAACTTCACTTATAGGCAACTGCTGGGTACTAGGAGTCATCTGTGAAGCTCTGCCTGATGGTTCCCTAAGAGCAGGACTGGACGCCACGGCCGAGAATGCACTTGCCCGCAGCTTCCTCTGGGTCATGGCGGTCTCCAGGGCCATCTCTCTCAGCGGGTCTCTGGTGATGTCCAGCATGGAAGCTGTGACCGTGTCGCTGGGGCACGGGTTGAGCCGAGGTTGCCGAAGGACCATTGCAGCCTGCAGCTGCACCATCTCTTCCTCCTGTCGCTTCAGCATGACCTCCTGGCTGACCGAGCTGCTGTCCGGGGCTGTTTCGCATTGCCTGCTGCTTAAAAAGAGGAAAGGGCAGGGCTGGACAGAGCACAGCTGTTTCAAGGCTACTAAAGAAAATTCTGTGCTGTGTAAGGCATCGAGAACTTCAGCAAATTCTACATTTCTGTTTTAGAAGAATCTTTGTGGGAGACATGTGCCTGTGGGTATGCACGCACGTATGGACTGCTCCTAGGTCCCCTGTAATTAGCTGAGGGATGTGCCATGCTTGTGATCTTCATTAGAGCTCCTAAGCCACCCTAGCCAACTAGCAAATCTGATTATACTAGCTATGCAAAACAGAACCCGACATCCCATGTGCACACTCCCTACCCCAGCAGCCTGCCTCCTCCTCCCCAGCAGGTGGGAACACTTTGCTGCACAATGGTGCACTCATTACCTGCTGTGCAGTAGTTTACTGGCGACCCCTCATCTCGAGCAAGTCTCTTGAGGGGATGTTTCTGTATTGGAAACAGCTCCATCTCCAGTAACTGAAAGTAGCTAGCAAGTGACAATAATTACCTGTTGAGTGAATGACTGAATATAATCTGGCTCACTGTCACTTGTGATCCTCCTGCCTCAGCTTCCCTTCATGCTGGGATCAAAGATGTGCACCAACACGTCCAGCTACATGTAGAATTCTCACCAATTATATTAGCTTCCTGTTCGAGTTATTTTATATCAGAGCTACTCACAGATAGCTAAAGTGATTATCATTTTATCTCATCCAACACAGTAACTGGTAGAAGTTTCTATGAAGACTGAAGTCTTGAGAGGGAAACAACAAAAGCAAGCCAAAGACCCAGAAAATCTGTATCACTAAAGCATCAAAAAATGGACTATTTGGAGCCAGAAAAAAGGTCATTTCAATAAGCAGAGTCACAGAAGCTCGGAGCTGCACCATGTATAAGCTGTTCTCCAAAAGCAGACACATGGAAAGGCTGAGGATGCTCTCTAAAGCAGCGGAGTCCTTTTTGGTCTCTGAAAGACACTTTTGATCACTGAGAATCCAGCATTACGTATGCTACTGCATCTGACCCATCGTTTCCTGTCCCCTGCCACTGTGTGATAGGAATCAATAGCTCTGTTTGGATTTGTTTTGTCATCCCATTCTGGCTAAAGGGAATGGAATTTTTTTTATAAGGAAGCTTGCAACATGAGCAAACACAACACTGTTTACAGATCTTGCAATAGAAAAGAATGAAGCAGGAGGTTCTGATTATGGACCACATGCTGAGGATGTTAGCAGAAACCTCTGTGTAGATCCAGGAAATTCTGTGCTTGCATAAAGACTTTAGATGGTGTTGGAATCCATGCATACTTCTGGGGGTGGCAAAAGGATGGGACTGGTGGAAGGAAATATAGTTTAGCAACATGTGTGAGACAGGACATACACCTGACAATCTGCTTGTCCGGGCAGTAGTTTTTCCACCTCTACCTATATCTAACTCAGATGCTATGTATACCACAGGATTTTTCCATCCACAAATTAAGACACAAACAAACAGTTTATCTTTAGAACAGAGCTCTAACAAGCTAGTATGGCTTTAATGTCTCCTTGAATAGAATCTAGAAACAGTTAAAATGAAGGTTATCCCATACTTGATACTTTTGAAATTTATTAAGAAAACTGAGATAAAGCTCATGAGATGATTTAATTTTGTTTAGAATTATCTTTAAATAACAAATTGCAAACAAATTATTAACACATAATCCAATATTTTTTCCCAGTTGTCTCTACTCCTTTCAGTCAAGCTAAAAGGGCATCGTATTAACTGTCCAAGGCCTTCTGCAAGTCAGATATAGAGAACAGTGAACTCTAAAGAAATCCTTTCTCCAGGCAACCTGAGCTGAGTGCAATTTATGCTGGCTTCTTACTACCCTTCATCCGCAGGGCTTCTGCCTCAGTAGGAAAACCTGCACAAAGATGGACCTTATACCTCTGTTCAAATGATTAAAGTGGGGCTGTCACTAGATAATAATAAAAGACTTCTATGCAAACATAGTTTTAGGTAAATGAATACTTACGGGAGTGTTTCTCAAAGAAAATAAAATATTTTGGGGCCCGGGATTTAGCTCAGTGGTGTAAGCACCTGCCTGGCAAGTGCAAGGTCGTAAGTTCGATCCCTGGTACCAAATAAATAAATAAATAAATAAATAGATAAATAGATAGATAAATAAATAAAAATAAAATAAAATAAAATAAAATATTTTAGGCTATTTAAAAAAGGCACAAGAGGGGGCTGGGGATTTAGCTCAGCGGCATAAGTGCCTGCCTTGCAAGCAGGCAGTCATGAGTTCGATCCCTGGTACCGATAAAAAGGAAAAAGAAAAAAAAAAAAGAATAAAAAAAAAAGGCACAAGAAACAAAATAAATTCAATAAAAACTAAAATATTGAAGAATTTAAGGAAAATTAATTTTAGTGCAATGGATTTAATCACTTGAACTCTAAGCCATGGATAAATTGTTTTAATTCTAAGGCTAGAGTTACCTGGTCTATTAATGGTTTATAGGTGTGAAACAAGAGTCTGGTAAACTAATTAGCTAAGGGACAAATACTTGTCAATTTTAAAATGATTCTCTTGCATCTGGTAGCACTTGAATTAAACAAACTGAAAGATCAAGTTCAAAAAGATTTTCTCATGTTGGGAGGAAATTCTAAAGCAACCTCTGGACCTCTAATATTGTATTACAATTTGAAATTAATGCTTAGCCTTAAGAACACCTTTTGTTCCCACAAGGGAACTGTGCACACATGACAATGATATGATATCAACATACTCACTATTAACCTGACATATTTCAGTTTCAAAAAGGAAAATCAACGCACAGCTGTAATATCACCACCTTAAACTTTACATAAACAATACTAACATCAGTGTGCAAAGTATTTCAGTATGCAAATGAGCTCGAAACAGCCCTAATCAGGCTTTTAACCAATACCACACAACTTTTTTAAGCCAGATAGTGAGTAACTAACTCTTTATGTAAAGGTCACATAGTAGTAATCTACTCATTATCCTCTCAGCAAATAAATTTTCACCAAAAGCCTGCTGGTAGAGCCTATTCTAACCTTAAAAATAAGTATTATTCTTCCAGAAATAAAGGTTTACCACACTCTCTTGACTGTTATTTTCTATTCATATGGACAATTAAAAAAAAAAGACCTATAAATAATCAGATTTTAAAAGGTTCCAATCCCTACCTTTCATAGAATTGGAGGAATTTTTGAGAACTTATTGAAGATAGGAGAGTGAAGGAAAAGGACGGGGAAAAGGAAAATGGAAAAAAAATAAAGATAATAAAAAATGACATCCAATCTGATTTTAAGAAAGATGCAAAACTAAACAAAAAACAGGGTTCACCAGCGGTCTATTGCTCTGCTGTGTCCCCCAACATACCTTGGTCTCTGCAGCCGGCCTTGACCTGGAGTCTCACCCAGCCCTGGGAGGCCACTGCTGGATTCGAACCTCTTTGAAGCTTCAGTCCTTCTCGCTAGTCAAAAATGACAAAGAACTGATGGTACAGGTGACAGAACCACGAAAACAACCCTACCAAAAACTCAAGCATTTTTATAATTTGTACAGATGATATTAATATAACCCAACCAGTGACATGTTATTAAATCCTGAGGTAAGTTTTGCTATTTTTACAGATCATGACTTCCTGTCTGTAGGAAATTGACATCATTGTTTGAAACCGCTAAGTTCTTATAATACTAATGGTAACATTTTACAATTCTTAAATTTTCACTTGAATTACCTTTGCGAAGAATTACAATCATGACTTAAAACTTTTTTTTTGTTTGTCTGAGATACCTCTTACCTTGTCTGAAGTCCGACTCAGAGGAAATAATAGATGGACTTTCACTGGAGGTACTGAAGATATCACTGTGGTAAGTTCTGTACCTTCGCACTGGTTCTAGGGAGATTAAAACAGCATTGCTTTAAATTTACTAATCCCTGGAATGCATTCAATAGGTTCTAATTCTGAGATGGTCTGGCATATTGATTAGGGCACAGACTGTAGAATCAGGCTGCTGGGTTTGAATCTCCAGGAAACAATTCAGTCTCCCAGTGACTCATGTTTTTTCTAAGCCCAGACGGGATGTAACAGTGTGCATACCTCCTATGTTTGCTGTGAGGGGCCAGTGAAGGAACACACGCAAAGCTCTCAGCACAGTGCTACCTCAGCATCATCACTGACAGCCAGTTACCAGAATGCTGCGTGAAATCCTGTTACCAACGCAAAATCAGAAGCAGAGAACTTGAAATACAGACAGCAAGACAATGCACAGCCTCTTGTTTGAGCTGGGGCATTCAGGCCCAGCAGGATGAGAGATTAAGTGTGGGGTGGAGGTGGGGGCTCCAGGCTTGTGCGGTATGAGCCTACAAGAGGGCAGGACCCGGGCAAGAGCAGATCACAATCTCAAGGCTCCCACCTCTCTGCCCACACTGTCCCTGTGCCCTGGCGCGGCCTCTCCTGTCGGGAGTACTACCTGTCTCCTCAATCCCCTCTGCCAACAGGATGCTGTCACTCAATAGTTCACATTCAGAGTGGCCTTTCCCGAATAAGAAGTCTGAGCGGTCACTTTGTTTCCTGGTGGTCTCCTTCAAGGCAGTTCGAAACTCCTCGGTTTTTCTACAACCTACTTGCTGCCTACATCTACCTATTCTGAAGTCTCACAGTCACTTGTGAGTATCTCGCAAGAAGTCTGGACCTCTCTATTCCCCTCAAACTTATATGGGCAAATATTAAATATAAACTGAAACACTAGACTCAGAAAGCCTCACCAACCATCCACTTCCCCAACAAATCCTGCACTTTTTTCACTCAGTTTACAGAAAACCCAAGGACATAAACTTCCAGATTACTGTCAGGGACATTTGCTATGCCAGCAATATGGCTTCCCTCCATAAATGAGTTATCGCCCCTTTTTCTCCGGGGAGCCTCGCCTTTCCTGTGAGCTTACAGGATCCATTAGAGGCTGGGTTACGCATTGCTGGTGCTGCTTTCATATTATCTTAACTAGCCGCATCTCCCCCTCAGCAAGTACTTCTCCACTTGTTATTTCTCTAACCTGAATTACAAGTTTTCTGACAATAAGGATCTCATCTTTTTCAGATGAACATCTAGTATTCAGCAGTTCATGGTGTAGAGTTAAGCACAAAATACTTCCTGAATAAACAAATACAAGTGTTATATAAAGGTCACACACAGAGACGATCTTCAAGAGAACGATTTTTCATTGCACCAATGGATCAGACACCAAATCAGAAGGGTAAAGGACAAGATGGTAAGAAATTGAGAAAACGGTTGTACGTTATTCTTTCAAGAAGTTTAAAAAAGGAACGGTAAGAACACAGAATTACCAGTCTTTCTGGCACACTGGAATGTTCACACATGGCTCCAGGCAGAGGAACTGCAAATGGAAACTGCTGTGCTGAAGGAGAGGGGAGATGGGGTACAGAGCTCCCACGGGATTAATCATATGTTTGGCAAGAAGAAAAACTTTTTTTTTTTTTTAAAATCATGGTTAAGAGAAAGGGTGCACATGCAGAGGAAATTTCAAGATATTCCTGCTAGAAAACTGCCTGCTAATAAATGAATCACTTCCTGTGAGCTTGTGTGTCAGGAGGCTTCAGATGAATAAAGAGACTGTTGTGGAGACCGTGGCAAAGGTCAGCAAACGCCACACATGAGCATTTAGGTGGGACAGGTTGCATGAAATCCAGCGGAAATGAGGAGAGTTGTTAGGAGCTTTTCTGGGCCCCGGAGAAAGCAGTCTATAGGTCACAGCTAGAGCTAAAGAGGGGATGTATGGCCCAGGTAAGGGAGCCAGGCAAGCATTCTTTTTCAGGAGCCCGTAATCTGGGCACAGGGGCTTTCTTGTGCTAGAACATGTTAAATACAGGTTATTGAAAGAAAAACTAATAAATAAATGAAACAGTTACACAGAGAAATGATTGGCCATGGGCTGGATGGAACAGAAGTTATACGCTGTTCCTTAGGTAACATTTACCTGGAGAACCAGGCATGACACAGCAGGCTGGTACTTTGTCCGGCTTTGTGTATAGCGAACATAAATATCAGGTAATACCATAATAATGGAGTTTTAGAATTGAACATCGAGGTATTTACTATTACCTTTTTCTAAATGATGGCATTCTACCAAAAAGAAGTGTCATTGTAATTTTGTAAATCCTCTAGTTTACTATTAACGTGATTTGAAAGGATTGCAGAAGACTGAAAACAATAGTTTCAGCTCACACCAGTTACGTTTAATAGCAATACATTACACGCAAGGAAGAGTTACTTAAGAAAAAAAGTTATTTTCAAGGGCCAACACACTACTTGAGTTTTACTGTTACAGACTCACCATGCCAATATTTTCTGAGACTTTCCTGAGGAGACTTCACCACATTACAAATGCAGAATTTGCAACTTCCAGGACAGTAAAACCAAGACCAAAGTTAAAGAGGCAACTGGTTTTAATACCACACAAAGAAAATTAAGAAGTCATAGAAAGCCTTCTCAATAAATTGAGTGGGGACCTTTCAGTCATGTGGGTGTTAGGCCTTTTAAATAATAATTTCATGCTCCATATTAAGCCATAAGTGAATTTACTATTTCATAACTTTCTGTAGTCACGTAACATCCTATATAATTTCGATCTGAATTTCCATTCTTTGGTGATACTTTGATTGTTCTTATGTTGTTTTACATGTCCACATTTCTTTTCTCTATCTGGTCTATGTTTTGTCTTTTTTTCTTCAGTTTACTGACATTAGTAGCAAAACTTTTTAATCTCTGGTTTTATCTGCTGGGACAAATAAATACAATTTATCCAATTTTGATAAATCCATTTTAATCTATTTGTGTGAAACTGGCAGATTAAACCTAAGCCTTCATACTGACCTACATCCACAAGGCTTTTCATTTTTTAAAATTTGGATGTGAGTCAAGAGGGTATTGTCTAATTTCCATGTGTTTATATAATTTTGTGGCTTATTTGGCCCTTGATTTCCAATTTCATTGCACCATGATCTGATACTATGCATGGGATAGTTCCAATTCATTTGCATTTACTTAAGCGTGTTCTAGTATGTGGTCGATTTTGGAGAATGTGCTGGGTGCTACTGAGAAGAATGTGTATTCTGATGCTGTAGGGTGGAATGCTCTGTAGAGATCTACCAAGTTCATTTGTTCAGAGGTTTAGTTCACCTCTGACAGTTCTCTGTTAATTTTTTTTTTCTCTGTTGATTAGGTGATTGTCTATTGTGACACTGGAGGGTTGAGGTCCCCGTTACAGTAGTGTTAGTGTTTATAGCCTCTTTTATAAGTGGTTTTGGGAAAATCTGCTTTCCACATGCTGAAGATTAAACCTATACCCGTATCTTTTACCATGTACTAAACTAAACTCAAAGTGGATCAAGGCTCTAAATATTAAAACAGAAACAATCTGCTGGAAGACAGAATAGATAAAACTCTTGAAGACACAGATGTAGGTGAAAACTTTATAAACAAAACCCCAATATGAATGAACCTAGATTACAAAGAAAATGTTACAAAGAATCAACAACCGGGATTATATCATATTAAAAAGCTTTTGCACAGCAAAAGCAACCACCAACAGAGTAAAGAGACAACCCACAGGATGGGAAAAAAGTTTTATCAGCTATTCTTCAACAAAGGACTAACATCAAGAATATATGAAGAGCTCAAAGAAATCAGCCCCTGATCTAGATTTAAAGACTCAATCCAAAGAGGGGCATCTGAAATGAATAGATACTTCTCAGATGAAGAAGTACAAACACAAATAAATATATGAAAAAAACATCCAACATCACTGGTCATTGGAGAAATTCAAATTAAAACCACACGGCGACTCTGCCTCACTCCAGAAAGAATGAGTATCATCAAGAAGCCAACTAACAGCAAATGCTGGTGAGGTTGTGTGGAAAAATGAACACTTCTCCCTGTTGGTAGGAGTGTAAATTGGTACAAACACTACAGAAACCAGTATGAAAATTCCTCAAAAAGCTAAAACTAGAGGTTACACTGACCACGCTATTCTCCTTTTACGTATCTTCCCGAAAGAGTTAAAAGCATCGTAGCAGTAACATACGCACACCCATGTTTCTAGCAGCACCATTTATAATAGCAAAGTCTTGGAAATGGGCCACATGCTCACCAATGGATACTGGATAGAGAAAATGTGGGTTTTTATGTACAATAGGGTACTACGCTGTCATGAGGAAGGACAGGTGTGAGACATTTCCAGGTAAACTGATGCACGTTGAAAAGAACATAACTTTAAGTGAAATCAATCAGACATACATGTTTAAATAGCACACTGTTTCTGCTGTGTGAGAAACCCAAAGGGTGACTAAGGAGCAAAATGGAGGACAGAGATGGGGATGTGTGTGTGTGGAGGGGAATGTTCACATGCGAAGGGGGAGGGCAAAGGGGGAAGGGAAGGAAGGGAACTGGGGTAAAAACAAACAAACAAGGAAAACAATAGAAACAAAGTTTTCAAATGGAGAGGGCAAGAAGGATTGAAGGGAAGGGAAGTTTATGGGAAAAAGAAAATATAGTATATACATTTTAAAATTTCCTATATTATGCATGTCAAAAGTGTACCAATAAAATTAATTAAAAAATAAATTTGGAGACAGGGTCTCGTTAAATTACTAAATTACCCTAGTTGGGCTTGAACTTTTGATTCTGTCTCCCCCTCCAGAGTGTTAGGGTTACAGTGATGCACTGCCATGCCCAGCTTCTCTTAAACATTAACAACAAATCTATTCCCTTGAAGAATTACTGGTCTGTAACTGTTCTTGGTATCATCTTAGGGGAAAGAGGCCCTACCTTATGAAGCCTTGTGTGTGTTAACTGAAACAACAGCATGCTTGAGAGGT